TTAATTTGGCTGTACAGAAATATTGAAATCCTATTGATGAAAATACATGTATTAATACTTGCCATATATTCATGCCTAAAAGTTGGGGTAAGCAATAAAACACGAGTATTTAGATCATTTATATATTTATTTCACATTTTCAGACTTTCAATAAAAAACAATAACAATTCATTCCTAAATGATAAATGGCATACTTAACTAAAAAGGTATAATTGCAAATAATATTACTGACTTTATAATATGGAAGGAATAACAATTCACTATTAAAACTACAAGTACTAATAATAAGCAGAAAAAAATTCTAGTAAAGAATTCTTTCTTAAACATATTTCCTTTCAATAATGTCAAAATGGGAGACAAACCATGGTAAATTATTCTATTTAATTTGTAGTTGTCTTTACTAAAATAACTATCAACATCACATCTCTGTACAAACATTTTTCATGGACAGCAATGGTAATTTATCAATAAAAAGTATATTTAATTTATTTTGTTGATTCAAGGGAAACAAAAGATAAAACTAATGCTAGTCGAAAATGGTGTTTGATACCAAATTGTAAAATTCCTTATTTATCATCCTATTACAATATCAAACAAAATCCACAAAATTAAGACTTTCAGTTGTATTACTTTGTTGAATTTTGCTATTTTTTTATATATCGAGGTCGGTCAAATTTGTAAAATCTTTCCTACAGCAACATAAAATTAAAGAGAACACTGTGTACTGGACAAAAAAATGTCTTCATAAACCTGTAACACAACACAAAAAACTTGACAGTATTAGCACTTCCAGGCAAAACAAATTAAATAAACAAATAATTATCTGATTTTTTATTAAGGTCGGTTCCAAAAAATGGTTCTAAATTTACGATTTTTCTGATCATCAATCAATTTTGAAAAGGGGTTGGGACCCCCCCCCCCCCCAGAACACCATGAAATGCTCACATAATTAAAAAAAAAAAGTAAACAATCGAAAAAAAGGAGGGTTCCAACAACCGGAACACCCCCCTGGATCTGCCAATTTCAGTCAAATTTGATGATACACAAAAAAGAGGACTCTATCTTAAAGACATATCTAAAATATCTGTAATAATCTGCAACAAGAGTGCACACGCTGAAATGTCTCGCTTTCTTTACTAATCATTGATATTATGTTGATAGTCCTAAATATAAAGCTTTATTACAACTGTCACATAAACTTAACATTAACTAAGTAAACTAAACATTGACCAATGAACCATGAAAATGAGGTCAAGGTCAGATGAACCATGCTAGGCAGGCATGTACAGCTAACAATTCTTCCATACAACAAATATAGTTGACCTATTGCTTATAGTTTAAGAAAAACAGACGAAAACACAAAACCTTAACACTGAGCAATGAACCTTGAAAATGAGGTCAAGATCAAATAAAACCTGCGTGACTGACATATAGATCATAAAATATTTCCATACACCAAATATAGTTGAACTATTGCATATAGTATTAGAAAAAAAGACAAAAACTCAAAAACTTAACTTTGACCACTGAACCATGAAAATGAGGTCAAGGTAAGATGACACCTGCCAGCTAGACATGTACACCTTACAATCATTCCATACACCAAATATAGCTGACCTATTGCATGCAGTATTAGAAAGAAAGACCAAAACTCAAAAACTTAACTTTGATCACTGAACCATGAAAATGAGGTCAAGGTCAGATGACACCTGCCAGCTAGACATGTACACCTTACAATCATTCCATACACCAAATATAGTAGACCTATTGCATACAGTATAAGAAAAACAGACCAAAACACAAAAACTTAACTATAACTACTGAACCATGAAAATGAGGTCAAGGTCAGATGACACCTGCCAGTTGGACATGTACACCTTACAGTCCTTCCATACACCGAATATACTAGACCTATTGCTTATAGTATCTGAGATATGGACTTGACCACGAAAACTTAACCTTGTTCACTGATCCATGAAATGAGGTCGAGGTCAAGTGAAAACTGTCTGACGGGCATGAGGACCTTGCAAGGTACGCACATACCAAATATAGTTATCCTATTACTTATAATAAGAGAGAATTTAACATTACAGAAAATCTGAACTTTTTTTTCAAGTAGTCACTGAACCATGAAAATGAGGTCAAGGACATTGGACATGTGACTGACGGAAACTTCGTAACATGAGGCATCCATATACAAAGTATGAAGCATCCAGGTCTTCCATCTTCTAAAATATAAAGCTTTTAAGAAGTTAGCTAACACCGCCGCCGCCGCCGCCGCCGCCGCCGCCGCCGGATCGCTATCCCTATGTCGAGCTTTCTGCGACAAAAGTCGCAGGCTCGACAAAAATCATTTCTCCAAATAACTGCCTTCCAAGGTTATGATATGAATTAAGCCTAGTGCAAATTTGTAGATTCAACAAGAGATGAAAGCTCTATCTAGGTGACAACAAAATTACCATCTGACAATTCATGGCAGAGGTACAAGTAGTGTGGAGAAGTAAGAGGTCATTAAAAATGTCCAATGGCTGTAGATCTGTCAATATGTATGTCAAATTAAATGAAATGCAAAGTTGATCTGTCATTGACCTTTATAATACAGCACACCAAAATTCTGACTAATACCTGCAAGTGAAAAAATATAACCAAATTTCCACAAAATTTGTCTAAATCTAAAGGCAATTCCATCAGAGATAAAAGAAATGTAAAATCCATCTGCCTGATCATCATTCATTTTGTACTTATATATACCAAAAAGTAGCTCAACGAAAAGGTTCAGACAACTGTTTTATTTTGGTATGACAAACATTGGAAAAACTCCATTTATAAATACGTTGAATATTTGGCTAAAAAGCAGATATCTTAACATGACACAGAGAAAAAATAAGTCAGAAATATGTCTCACATGTTGGTGATTTTGAGAGTAAAATGCAAATGCTGAAATTTAAATGGCAAAACTTTTACATTTTAACTATGGAAAAGTCAACTGAAAATGGCTGAAGAGTGGTGCCAAATAATCTCCATGGAAATGTGATATGCTCATGCTAGTACAACTGCCTTCCAAATACCATTTACATACCAAAAATGCATAACCTGACTTAATAAAAAACTTTAACATGTAAACTATGTGAAATTTGTTAGAGCTGGCATGGCCAGTTGATTCTCCTCAGTCTGACCCATTACAAACATAAACAAATTGTGGCACCTCTGATGCCAGAAACATAGCATTAAAATCTTGCTGTGGTAGGCGAGACATAAAATACATAAGGAATACACAGAAGTTTAAATAGTCCAATTCAGAAATAGTGTTGCATTATGGGAACGAAACTGTTTTGGACAATCTGATTGGTCTAGAAGACATTTACAGGGATACTGACACTACACAACATAATTTATCAGGACGGAAGGTTAATTTCTTAATTGGACCATAATCTGAAGAAATAATGCTTAGTGGATATGTAAATAACAGGATTAATAAAAATACACACATAAAAACAGCAAAACAAGATATGCAAGACAGCTTGCTGAACTGATTCTAATTAACTCACCTTCTAAGAATGTCTAACCTTATGAAAAATAAGATCCATGAACTTTAGGATAAATAAAAGGCAGTACCTGTTGTGTTATAAAAGTCATTAAAGGCTTTTTGGTCTCATCTAAAAACTGATTTATAAATACCTTGTTCAGTGTTCACTTTAAAATACTTCTTAGGGCTTCTGACAGTATTATTTAAACTTCTATATAATTGGGGGAAAAAAACAAGCATTTTCTACGTGTAGCCAAATTGGAATGTTTAACAAGTGAATTAGATTGTTTGCTTGTTTCCTGAGTAAATAAGCTTGAAATGGATTTCAATTGAAGCTGCTTCAATGAACATTATCATCAAACTATATCAAAGTTCTGTGGATTCAGTACACAATATGTACATTTATCCCTGGAATTTTTTGGCAGTTAACAATGATGAAATATCAATGCACCATTTCATATAGGTGTTGAATTATTGGAATATCTCTCTGTTTGGACATTTTGATTAGTCTAAACATCATTTACAAATCGACTAAGACTTGAAATCACAATTTACCATGACAGAAGTTGAATTTATGAAGTAGTCAATTATATCAATTTCTGTACATGTTATAGTAGAATTGTACACCAGTGATCAGTTTCACAAAAAATCTTACGATTGCAGATAAGTCATGAACAATTCAGTATACTTATGATCAACTTAGTCATAGGATTTTGTGAAACCGATCACAGAAACATGCAAGTTTTACATTAATTTCCGAATCTACAGTAAATTGACCCTAAAGGCCATAGTTCAATATTTTTAAAGAAGATTTTCTTTGTATCTAATAAAGGACAAAGGGAAACAGTAAGACACATTAACTTCTGCAAACAGACTGAGTGATTTCTCTTGTGCAATTAAGTGACATTGCTAAAATTTCAAAGACACTTGTACCAGTTACAGGACATATATCCATTGAAATTCTATTTTCATTGTAAAAATATAATTCTCTCAACATTTCATAATAAAGGCATAATGAGATGCTCCTTAAAAAGACAATACAAATCCTCATAGTACAATATCTTAATTCTCTATTATTTAAAAATATCTATTTCATATATAACGACAAATCAAAATAAATTAAAATATCATAATATATATATATATATATATCTCAATTATACATACACATATTTGTATATAATAAAGTATTTACCATAAAAATTTAAATAAAATACAAGTACTTGATTTTTAGAGTTCTGTGGATTCATGGGTACCAATTTTCGTGGATTGAGGAAAACTTGCATTTTTGTGGATATTTGATTTTGAGGTTTTGCCAAAGCCTGCATATAACTTTATAGAAAAATTGTATTTCGTTGAACACTTAATTTTGTGGTTCACCTGCATCCACGAAAATTGGTATCCAACGAATAGTAATGAATCCACAGTAAGTCAAGAAATTATGCTGTAGTACCCATTGTACCCATTGGTTGTGAAAATATCATTAAAACAATCAAGCTTGAGAAAATAAAATTTATTTAAGGAATAACTGTAACATTTTTTCTGTCTATGAAGAAATAACATCAAAAATGTATTGCACACTGAATAACTCATGTAGCGTTTTATTTAAAAGTGTGCACCACATTTTTTATGTTATTTCAAATAGACGGAAAAAATGTTACAGTAATTCCTTATAATTTAATTCTAAATTCTATTGTTAAGAAGTAAATCATGAAAAACGTTGATGACGTCACAGTCACATGACAAAATTATGTCTATGAGATGATAGACAAAAAACTTTCAGCCAATCAGAAGACGTGTTACATCCAAAATAAAATTATATATATATATATATGTAAGCCATAAAAATTTGGATTAAAAAATTTTCAAAATCAGCAAGAAAAGTCAACTTCCAAGCTATTGCCAAACAGAAATTAGTAAACATAGTATTATACCTCAAATAATCAAACTAGACAAAATATTACATTCTGTATTGCAGTCATGAGTTTGTACACAAAAATACATTTAATATAAAAAAAATTAGGAAAAGTGTGAGGTATTTTTTTGTTGTTTTCAAAACTTACCAAATAATATAAAAATACAGATTAAATGTTCAGAATAGGAAATATAATTCAACAGTGCTGAAGTTGGTTACTTTTGCACAATGATTGATATTTCTGGTACACTGACTTCCTTAAAAGGTCATAAAATAGCACTTTATTATGTACATTTATTTACAAATCTGCCTTATTTACATGTAATTCAGTATTCACATCTATTTACAATAATCATGTGTTTCAATAGATGTAACATGTATATATATATATACAATAATGAATAATAATTTCTTTTGAATAATCATAAAAATAAACAATACATATCATAATAATAACTTTGTGTCATATTTTATAAAACAGTTTGATACAAATAATACAGGTTTTCTTTTAATAACAATTACAATATATGAAGAGTTGAGACCTATGATCTTGATAAAACAAATAATAAACTTGAGGAAAAAGTTTTTGGACAAAAATATCAATCAAGCAAAAGCAACCAACTTTTTAAAAATTCTGAAAATAAAAACAAGTGCAGCAATTAAAACTTACATGCATTTTAAGCACTTTGGTGAATAAAAAGAAGAATACTTGATAGGCAGTGAAGTCCACAAAAAAGCAGAAATCAATGATTGAAAAAAAAAAATGCATGAACATTTATGATTAAAAAACCACCGGGAACTTATAATATTAACTTCTTCTTGTCTTCATTAAATAAAACTCTATAAAAGACCATAAAGTTTATACAAAATGTTTTAAAATACTGACTTCTATCAAATGGAACAAGGCTGTGAAAAAATTTTCTTATAATATAAACTTCTTATTGTCTTTGCTTAATAAAAGTCTATAAAAGACCATAAAATCTTCACAAAAAATTTCAAAATACTGACTAACAATTAGAATAAGGCCGTGCAAAGAGTTTCAAGTAAAAATGTAATATTGGGCAGTTTATGTAGACATCTCACATGTGTATGTCATTCACATTTCTACCTAGAACATATTCTACATGCCTTAGATTAGTAGGTACTAGGTACATGCACAATGTCCTAGGGAAATGAAATAGATTTTTATCTTAAAACATCTGAGAGTCAATTTCTCCTGAATAATTGAATATTAGATTTATAAATTTGCATATAAACTGTCAAGTCGCTGACCTTGTTTGAGAATTCATTTCTATCTTATACATCAAATGGCAATATTCAATCTTAATAAATCACATTTAGGATTAAACAAAACAATATATTCATCTTCAATAATAAAATTTATTTTTCAACAACCAAAATATATTAAATTTTTGGCAGCTTTAGTTTGTTTGAACAAAACTTATGACCAATCTCATTAAAATCTGCTGTTAGTTTTCACTACGATAATCTCCGCCATTAGATTAGATTTTAATCAGATTGCACTTAAGACCTAAGGACAATGATGAAAACAAGACATTTTTTTTCTAGGAGAATGTAAGGCTCATTTTACCTCAAAACAATACCAACTAAAGAAAAATAACCAACAGTCCTTTTTGTGCTAATTTAGGGGGCCGAATTTAGGAGCATACCCAGTTACTATCTCTTGAGGTAAATACATTTTGGACACACATGTAACTATTATAAATTTAACTTTAAATAATTGCCTAAAGGGGATAATACTAAGTAAATAACTTACCATCATTCTACTGAAAAATAATTTTACTATAATTCAACAGAAAAATGAATTTATACCATCATTTTACAGAAAAATTAATTTACCATAATTCTACAGAAAAATGAATTTACCATCTTTATACAGAAAAAATGTACTATGCATGCAAAAAAGCAAGATCTACAAACAACTTCTCTAGACTCCATAAGATTTAAAGCTTGTCCTATAGTATTGGTGGTTTTCAGTTCAAAGTCACATGGTGACCTCAAGATTTTCCTTTTTGTTAATGTGAGTTGTGAGGTTGTTGTCTCACTGATATATGCCACACATTTCCTTTCATCAAATGATACTTGTTCAGCAACATTTTTTTCATATTTATTCCAACCATGTTTTGAGATTTTTTTTCAATGCATTTTTCTGACAATGATAAGCATATGGAGGGATAAGAATTCTATGGACTATTCACAATGACCAATGAAAATGATTAACTCAAGGATTAACAATAAAAGTTCAGCTTCATTATTGATAACTTTATGACTCTTATTTAAAAAATACACAAACTATTACACTGTAATACAAAATACTCATAATCTTTGGTATGCTGTTAAGTTGTGACCATATATACACTGCTAAAAACTATGACAGACTGATATATATCAGAATGTACTTCTCACCTTGCATCAATCAAGACTTAGCTTTCACTGTCAAAAGGCAAGGTAAGGATAAAAAAATGAAGAAGAAAAAATGTCAATTTTGGTTAAGGCATGACTTGTTTATCTACAGACCATGAACAAATCTTGTTGCTATTTCATCAATATGAAACTTCCTTAAAAGTAAGAACAGTTGGAGATATATCTTCCTAAAACATCCACATGTTTGAAATACAATATATAATTTTATTATTATGCATTGACACTAGCTCTGAATTCATGACATGACCTCAATTGTACAGATTTTAAAAGCTAAAAAGTCAAGTCCTGAAAGGAAATTTTTTAAAGATTACTGTCAACAGTAAACCTATAAACCTTTAAATATCTATGTTTATGTTTTGTACATTAAGTTAAAAATGTAAAAAAAAATAACTGTTTTCAATAAAAATACTAGGATTATGGAAATAATAAAAAGTCAAGTCCTGAAAAGAAATTTTTTAAAGATTACTGTCAACAGTAAAACTATAAATATCTATGTTCATGTTTTGTACATTAAGTTAAAAATGTAAAAAAAATATTTTTTTCAATAAAAATACTAGGATTATGGAAATAATAAATATCTTCCTAAAAATGTACCTTCCTAATTTTAGAATAGCTGATCGAAAATCTAATAATATTTTTCTCTCTTTCAGACGTGAAAATTTCTTTATATTTTAATCTGATAACAAAAAAAATCTCACACTTAAAAATACAGCATTAAAATGTATCTGCTTTTTTAAAGATAACAATTAAAAAAACCCAGCATGTTTTTTTTTACATGGCCAGTTTATATCTAACAAAAACATTTCACAATGAATATAAATTTCATAGTATTTATAACGCCAGTTAAAGTGAAAATAAAAATACAAAACATACCAGAAATGATATAAAATTCAACAATAAATGTATTCAAAATACTTAAAAATGACTTTACGTCAGGATATTTTTGAATTATGTATTTACCCATAATACATATCCAAAGATTTTCCTGGAAACTAATTTGATCTGGTATATATTTGAGACAGTAATATCAACATTGTAATTCAGGTATCCAGTAGTTTGCGTGTGTTTTCCTATACATGATGACCTTGGTCATATCAGAGATGAACAACTTAACCAAAATACTGAATATTTGACCTTTTTCTCACTTAGGGTACTCTAACCATATGACTTTATTGTTCTCCAAAGGATCTGCACTGATCTATCCCTCATATGCCACCAATCTTAACCCTAAACCTAACCATAATCTTATCCTACATAGAATCTCTATTTTTAAGTACTGAAAGCATTTAAGTAGAAGGAGGTTGAATATTATCTCTTACTTAAATGTATTATAAATAACGAAAAAACTGCACAGGCAATGCTCAGTGATAATTGCCATTTGAATAAAATACATGTAAAGCTTCATCTAGATTAACCTCCATCTTTAAGGTTTTTGGATCATTATTTCTAGTAGGATTATTAAAAAAGACCCATATGTTCTATACATAGCAAACCTCATTACTTTGGAAAACATACGAAAAACTGTTGAAATCGCTTTTAGCTAAAAAGTTTTTTTAGAGGATCTAAACAGGTTGTAGGGTTTTTCGCTATAGAGAACATCATATTTGCCAAAACTTAATTGTTAACTATTCCTTTGATCTATTTATATAAAAAAAGTAAATATTTGTCTGCCATTCTGATTGTGGTCCTGATATCATAATATCGAAGCAGAGTGAGATAACTCGTAATGCTTGCACACAACAATCTTTCAAAAAGCATTAGTGTTATAAATAAACATTAAAAATATTTATATCTGAGTGCAGCTTTTCAAAGTTTAGAAAAGTGAACAATAGTAACACTACAATTAGCACATGGAATGACGTAACAGGATAACCACTGTGAATTCACTGTTCAGAATCTAAAGAACTATGGGTAATTTTATTGTTCATACCCCAAATTTACTTCAAACCATTGGTTGAATGTCAATTGTTTAGGAGTTTTTTTAACCAATCACAACATTTTGGTGTCTGCTTTTCAAAATATTACCAAGAATTTATTAGATTCTGAAACGGTGAATTGCAGTAGCAGCACTTCTTAGCAAGCACTTGTATGTCTTTTTGATTGACTGACTGAACACAACCCTGTAGCATTCTGGACTTGATAAAGGCACTGTATGGTTAGTTGTGAACAGTACTACTGTACTATCTCTTCGGTTGTTTGTCTCTGTGATTCAATATGGCACGCCATAACCGAAATATAACACCACTTCTGAAGATAGAGAGATAAAATAAACTGTTAACACAGAGATATGTCTCGCCTATTTGTTATTTTGATAATGCAAATGTTGAAATTAAAATAGCAATCTTTACATGTAAGTTATGCAAATATTCAAAGTCAATGAACCATGACTGAAGGTACAGGGCTAAACAATCTCCATGGAAATGAGATGTGCCAATGCTTATACAACTGCATACCAAATACCATTGACTTATCATAAGTCGTTCCTTTTCAACAAACCTAAACACAAACTAATACATGTAAACTAAGTAAAAGTTTCAAAGTCAATAGACCATGACTGAGGGGTAAGGACCAAATATTTTCCATGGAAATGAGATGTGCTAATGCTTATTCAACTGCATACCAATTATCATTGACCTACCACTAACAGTTCCCCTTAAACTGACCTAATCACAAACTAATACATGTAAACTAAGCAAAGTTTCAAAGTCAATAGACCTTGACTGAGGGGGCGGGCCAAACATTCACCATGGTAATGAGATGTGCCAATGCTAATACAACTGCAGACCAAATATCACTGACCTACCACTAGTGGTTCACCATCAACTAGACCTAATCACAAACTAATACATTGTTGACGCCGCCGTCGCCGCCGACACAGGAAACAGAATACCTATGTCTCGCTTTTTGACTCCGTCAAGGCGAGACAAAAAACACATTATTAATTTAAAAAGAAAAACACATAAGTGACATTAAAGTATACATTATATTTAAGAAGGGACCAAAAATGTCACAGTTGACTTTAAGATTGATTGCTAGTGTTCACTGCCATTTCAGCACACTTCACATACTAATGTGGCCACTTTTTATTAGTGGATGAAGCTGAAGTACTTGGAAAGAACCAGGAAAACTGGTAGTATTTATTATGAATACTGTAAATTGAGAAATTATTGCAAGGTTTTTATTAATGCAAATAATGCGACTGAATTAGTATCGCAATAATAAAAACTAGTATTCTCATATCAGATCCATCTAACTGTATGCAGATTTTCATGAAATCACAATAAATAATCTCGCTTTTTAGTCCATTTTTCAAAATTCGCAATAATAAATGCATGTAATAATTTCTGAATTTACAGTATGACGTCATTATGATTTTGGCCTATGATATTTTCATGACCATGATTTATTAGTGTTACGTTTTTTTAATTTTAAAGATTCAAGAAATAATTATACTATTCTTTTAATTTATCTGTCTAACCACTTGTTTGGGTAATTCGATTTACATTTAGAAAGTGTCCACACCACAGTTTAATTTGAATTGAAGCGAATTCGCCAATTTCTTATTCGATTGGAATTAAAAAAAGATGAGTGTGCGAATGCAGTTAGCAAATTCAATTTCGCAATTGATTCGAATTCAATTCCAATCAAATGTAAGTGTAAACGAGGCATTAGAAAAAGTTGGGTAAATACATTCAAAGATTTTTAAGAAAGGACATAAATGAATATAAACCATTCAAGCAAATTAGATATATTTTTATTTTACCTTAGTTGTAATTTACTTAAATCTTCCAATCTGACTAATTCAAGGAGATCTTGTAATAAATACTGTTCTCTGGAAATCTAAAAATAGAGAACAAAACCTATAGGACATTCATTTATATACAATTATACATTATTCATTGTATTTTATTGTACAAATATATATTTGTTTCTTTCTATTTTGTTTATTCCTTAAAATTATTATTTTTGTATGGAAAGTTGACATTCCTAATCAGATACCTAACAAAATGAGTATAACCTTGGCATACCTATGTGCTTGTTCAATTTCAGAAATCTTGTAACTGGTTTTGGGTATGTTTTTAAGTGTTTTTCTATTTATATTTCGTTTTTGTTAGATATCTTTGGATGATTCAAATAAATTACTACTGGTCATGCATTTTGTGCCTTTAAAGACCACATTATGCTATTTTTAAATGTAAGGTTTCTATCTTATTGATATTTACACCAAATCTCCTTTTATTCAATCTTAGTTGTAACAAGCATTCTGTGAGTATTGCATGGCAATACATAGTCCCCTACCGGTTAAAAATTCATTGTATTGGAACAAAATTCTAACTTGATCTATAACTTGTTATGGTGTAAACTATATAAAAAATATCAATTCAATATCTTCAAGCATGACAAAAAAAGTGTTGAAAACTGATTATTAAAGTGAATTTTCTAAGTCCAAGGACCATAACTCTGCACAAAATCATCAGACTGGAACAAAATTCGAACTTGATCTGTAACTTGTCATGATAAAACTATATACCAATTATCAAATCAATATCCTCAAGCAAAATGGAAAAAGTGCGGAAAACTGATTATATAAGTGAATTTTCTAAGTTAAAGGACCATAACTCTGCACAAAATAATCAGACCGGAACAAAATTCGAACTTGATCTGTAACTTGTCATGATTAAACAATACACCAAATATCAAATCAATATCTTCAAGCATAACGGAAAAAGTGCAGAAAACTGATTATTTTAGTGAATTTTCTAAGTTAAAGGACCATAACTCTGCACAAAATCATCAGACCAGAAAAAAATTCGAACTTGATTTGTAACTTGTCATGATTAAACAATACACCAAATATCAAATTACTATAATCTGTGGATTCAAAAATCAATTTTGCTAGAGAGTGAGGCAGATGTTATAATACTACAAGCAAGAAGTAAAAGAAAAAGTCTATTTTGAGATGTTTGGTTATGTTCTGCCATGTTTCTCTTGACAAAGTAGATGGTGCCCTTACTTATCTTTTAAATTCTTTTATCATTTCCCTAATCCATATTGATAAGCAATTTTAATTTAAAAATCCAATATTTACTGATAAATATCAAAATATAATGCTTCATTACATATTTCTTCTTTTTTTTCATGATGCATAAACTACAAAATGTGATTGATAATTCATTCAGATTTTGTGTTTCAGAATACTGCCGGTGTTTTGTTTAAGCTGAAGGCCCTTTCAACATGAAAATGAATAAATTTAACAGGATTGTACTTAAGGACAGCAGTGTTTTACTTTCAAAGTTGTATTCTTATGTAATATTTATTAAGAAAAGATTTTCACACCCTCTCAGCAAAATTTTTTGCCATTTACACCTATTTTTCCTATTTATGGTGAAAGTATAACCTAACTTTCCAAATTTTTATTGTTGTCATTGGCTTTTTCTTACTATTGTGACATGTTCTAGAATCATTAATAAATATTTCATACTTCTTGTTGATGAGGGTAAGCATTTTTTCCATGAAAATACAGCAAACATCCACAAACAACTTGAAATTATGTCAATATTTAAATATAAAACATGGCAATTAAATTAATATAATATTTTACCACATCTATTGTTTCCTGCTCAAAGTTTGCTTTCTTTAACCAGGAAGCTAGTTCTTCATCAGGTGGCTCATGGATATCTGGTACTATAAAAGGAAACAAGATTAAAGTTTTCACAAACATGCTTTACATTTCTTGAAATGATGAATTATTTTTTTTCTGTATTTTATATGCTATAAGTTCCTAAATCTATTTACAAACACTTTTGAAGGAATGTATAATACATTTATCTATTTACAACTGAACATGGATATGACTTGAATGCACACAAGAAAAAAAAAACATATTAAAGGAACAACACTTTTATGATTTGACCTTGACAGCTAAAGGACAACTTAAAAAACAAAAAAATTCCTTTCAAGGTATAAAACACTTTTAACTCTGATTTTTTACCTCTGGATTTAATAGATCCTGGAGAGACAGAAGATGTAGCTATAAATAACTGTACAAAGATATAATTACCTCTGGATTTAATAGGAGATCCCGGAGACACAGAAGATGTAGCTATAAATAACTGTTCAAAGATATATTTACCTCTGGATTTAATAGATCCCGGAGAGACAGAAGATGTAGCTATAAATAACTGTACATAGATATTATTACCTCTGGATTTAATAGGAGATCCTGGAGAGACAGAAGATGTAGCTATAAATGACTGTAATAATTCCATCTGGACCTTTTTGTCATCTAATGACTTCTTTAATAAACTGCCATATGACTGATTTGTTTGGACTAACTGCTGTAATAGCCTAAAACAGAAATAATTTTCTGTAAAATACCAGTTCTCATATTTGCTTGTAATGCTGTGTTCTCCCCAGAAATTTTTGAAGGGAATAATTTGTAGCGTGTAACCCTTTTTTCAGGAGTGAACTATTGTGACAAGAAACAATCCTTCAGAAATACAGTATGAATTGAAAAACTTTATGACAGGCTAGGTGTTTTTTTTTATGTTTACTATTTATAAATTATCACAAAATAAAATATAATCAATTACACACATATAAAACACATTGATCATATTGATAACACAGTCCATTTATTGAGTTAAAATTCAATTCAAGTGTCCAAATTTAGCAATTTCAAGAGAATATTCTCCTGTTCCTTTGAGCCTTCCAGTGCTGAACAGCTTTAGATATGTCCATGCCTGGTGTATCTGCCCCTTCTCACGATATTGTATAATTATGTAGCTTGTAATTTTTGGAGCACAAATTTTTAAAACAAAAGAATTTAAATAAACAGCTGACCAATTTCCGCAGTTTGACATTTCGAGATCGTTTCCGTGCGTATTTGTCACAATCTTTTCTATGGTAGGTAGAAACCTGACAAATTCTTCAAAGTAAAGTCCTACAAAATTATTTACTAGTGACATTATACATATGCTTCTGCGTTCCATTCCAAACTATTGACATCGAGTTGTTTATAATCATTGTCATAGTTTTCCAGTGCAATGACCAAAAACAGACATAACTGATTTATTTTTTTAAACATGACAATAAAAGACAAATTTTATTTGCTAAGAATAAAATTTCACATTCTGACCCAAAATATCCATTCACAGTATGAATTTATCATAAATATTAGTTTACTTTATGTAGTTTTTTTTCATGTAAAACGACTTCCATTCGTAAATATTTGTAGTTGTGTATTGCAAAGTTACCACGTGTTTTCATCATGTTCATTGATTGTAGCAAAATACATTTTTGTTATTAACCAATCAGAAAATTTGATATTCAATTCGGCAATCAATCAGAAAAGATGTGCGTAAGAACGTTTTTTTATTTAAATTTCAATATTTTCCTCTCAATTCTAACACTGAAACATTCAAAAAAAGTATCCAAGAAAAAAATTTATCTATTCGATGATTATCTATGCAATTACGCGATCTGATAAGGCAAATACAGGTAAAGGATAGACTGGAGTCGAACAATAATTGCGTAATTGCGTGTAATATTGATTTTTTTCTCAGCGGCAATTTTTACAGTTGAAATAATAAAGCATGCAAATCAAGAGTTTAAATGCCTTGCTTGCAAACTTTGTTTGGTTATTTGCACAGACATTATATTTAAGATTGACACCTAAATTCAATGGGTAGGCGGAGTAACTATAGCTCACTATACAAATCATTGGCCTACCCATTTAATTTAGGTGTCAATCTTAATTACAATGTCTGAGCAAATAACCAAACAAAGTTTGCAAGCAAGGCATTTAAACTCTTGATTTGCATGCTTTATTATTTCCACAGTTACTTTACAAAATTTATCAACAGTTCATAATAAAAAATTAACATGCTGCAGGGTTATCTTTTAAGGTACTGCATGCCAATTTAAACGCTTCTGGGACAACAAAAATATATTTGGAAGGCATTGTATCCACCTGGGAAGAACCCTGATATTTCAAACAATTGGGGTCAATTAAAGATGCTGTCATTACTTTTAAAGCCATGATAAGTTTAAATCATTAATGTATTAATTTGTTTATGCCTTTTAAATAGCAATTTTCTAAAAATATGTATGGTGAAAGCAGTTTTTTTTTTAAAATTGTTCTAAAACTCCAAATTTTGGACAATTTTTTCCTGAATATTAAGAATTTCATTAATGAAGCAGTATTCAAGGAGAAACTGTTCAGATGTTATTTCACAAGGTCTAATATTTAAAGTTTTTTTGTACCTCATATTTTCCTCCTCTAAGTTATCAATCTGAGTTCGTAGTTCAGCAGATGCAGAATTTCTGTAAGCATGCTGTATAGACTTTATGGAATTAGTTGAGGGTACACCAGATTCTTGTTCATCTTCTTTCATCCCAGCCAAATTGGCACCAAGTTCTGGAAATATAAGAATGCTCTATTGTACAAAGCTAGTTTTTAACGTCTTGATTTCAATTGACATAAAAAATCAGATCAATCAATTTTCACTTTCAGCATATATAAAGAACAAAAAGGTCAAGTTTGCTTGCTTGCTCTGTGGACCATAAAGTGAAAATGATCTTTGTTTACTATCGAATGCAAGAGTAACAATAGCTTTTACTAACCAATCAAATCATTGGACCTGTAACAACCTCAAGACTGAAAAACATGTTTTACACAAGTTTGTTTCCATATTAAAAAATTCATTGCTTGCCAATGCAAACAAGATGATATCCCCACTATAAGTATTGGTCAAAATCAAGCTGATAAGCAATGGATGAGAAATTCCATGACACAATGTAGCATGCTGAAATGAAGCTTCATTCCAAATTTCAGAAAGCCCTGATTTGTTGTTCCAATAGTAAGGTATCAATTTGTCAGTAAATTGAAGAAAAATTGTATTTTTGTTGATATTTGATTTCATGGTACGCCAAAGTCTGCATACAAGCATTAAACATTAAACTCATGATTCAATTTTATCCATGAATTCCTAGAATATTGGTATCCCACGATATCAATAAATCTACAGTATAATAATCAAAGCACCTTGTTTAAAGTACATATATATCAGCTGTAATTTATATACTTTCTTCCATATAAATAAATAAACTTATAATCCTGTTAAGTCAAATTGGATTTTCAAATTTTTGTTGTAAAAAATCAATTTTGCAGTCCAAAGGATAATAAAACATTAAATGTGTAACCTCTATTTCAACTGAATGGCCATCTTTCCATACATACATAAACTTGAAGATTTCTGGTCATTGACCACTTTATTGACTTATAATATTTATTTTTATACCTCAGGTCATCTCTCAATAACCTATGCAAAACTTTATTGATCCTATTATTACATTAAACTGCAATAAAATCTTGCACTTATGAGCTACAATGTGTGAAAACAAACTATATACAGAATTACAATGCAGAAAAACAAAAGATGTATTTTTAGTATTGCTTCAAAATAAGACTCTTTGGGGACTTGATGTTTATCCTAAAAATACCAGATGCAGTGATTGAACAACAGCAGTATAATTATCACTTATCCTAAAAATACCAGTTGTAGTGATTGAACAACAACAACAATATAATTATCACCTTTATCAGTAAGTATTTATAGCTAAGAAGAAAGATTTGAAAGACAATTCCAGAACTTGTTAATGAAAAATATTAAACCTTAAAGCTTGGTGTGATTTACCACTTTTTATTGAATTCCTACAAGCGCAAACAATAAATCTCTGACATTTTTTATAAGATGTAGAAAGTTTTTTACCAGGTTATAGCATCATAATACTGTTGATTCATTTTTTTTCCTGGGATACCAAATGTTTTGAATGTGTTGATTATAAAGGCCAGTAATGGCTATAAACTCAAGAACGTCTTCATAGTTTCGTATGCTTTACTTGGAGTCAATGCTATACATAGAGACATCAGCAAGTGACGACGTTGCGGGCCTATTGTTACGGTAAAAATGGCGGTAAAACGTTAACCAAATAAAAGAGTATAAAATAGACTACACTGAAACTTAACTAATTCGCAACATTCTGGGGGCCGCAAAATGCATTTACTGTTCATGTATGGTTCAGAAAAGGGTATTGAAAAACACTTTAACAAATTACAGTTCAAAATTCCAATGGCACCAGTTTCACAATTGGCCTCGTTGTAATCAGTCCATTTGATGTACGAAGTTTGACAGCTCTCACTACTCCATCATTCCCGGTGCTAGTTTCCACATCATTCTCGGTGAATTGTCCATGATTTGTACGACGGATCCGACTTTCAAATATGCGCTTTGGTCTACGGCGACGCAATGAAATTCTCTATATCCGGTGAGGTATTCCATCCTCCATCGTTTTGCGAAGTGTCAATTAAGGTTACTTAATGGTTGAAAAGTTTGTTCGCTTCTGTGAAATCTAAATTCAAATTATTGTCCTCTGAATCAGAACTGTTCTCTTGGGATAATCTTCTTCCCTGTAGTAGATGTGATGGCGTTAGCGGTTCTGGATCTTGAATGTCGGACGACAAATATGTAATCGGACGATCGTTGATTATACATTCTATTTCTATCAAAGTTGTTCGTAATACGTCAGAATTTACTTGTGATTTCCTGAGCACTTTTTTCAATGTCGTTTTCGTAATTCCAACTAGTCTCTCCCACTAGTCCACCATACCATGGTGCTTCTTTCGGAATAAATTTCCAATTGATTTGAATATTCATTTCCTTCGGAATGTCATGTGAAGCGGAAACAAAGGTTGGTGCAATGTAGGAATACACAGTACTGGGAATTCCTCTCCTACTAACGAATCGTCTAAACGCTTATTTGAATGACTCGATTGTCATATCTGTAACAAGTTCTAGATATACGGCACGAATACACGATTTCGTAATATGTCCATTTTCCTTAACGAAGAGTGGTCCAGCGAAATCAATACCAGTTGTCGTAAACGGAATCATGTCGGTGACTCTATCCCTCGGTAGTGGAGGCAAAATTTGCTGTGGAAACGCTTTTCCAGTCACTTTTCGGCACTTTACACATTTCTGTACGATGTGGTTTACGCACTGTCTAATGGATCCAATATGATTGGCAGATTTGCGTAATTGTCTGTCCAGCTCCTGAATGCAACATCTGCAGGTGCGCGTTCAATATGATTAAGTCCGTTAATTCATTTTTCTTCGGTAACAACACTAGAAATTTCGCAGAGTTGTCTGACTGTGAATTGTGTTTGCGGCCAGCGCATTGAATGACACCTTCTGTGTCTATGAACAAGCGAAACTGTCTTACTAAAGGTAGATTCTTGTCCTGTGACAGGTTCGCGAGTTGCTCCTTTTCACTACTGAATTTTTCATTCTGAATATTTATAATCCATGTACGAGTTGCCCGGTCCATTTCATCTTTCGTAATATGTTTTCGTGTCTAGCATTTTTCCTCAGATTATATGGTCGCTTATTTTTACAGCGATTCACAAATTTAAACACGTAGCATGTAACTCGTAGTAACTTCTTCAATGACGAGAATCTTGATAAATCGATTATTTCCGAAATTCCATTCAATACAAAAGGTTTCATTGTCATCTGTTGTGGTCAACAAAAGAGTCTCTTGTTTCACTTGCGTGGTCCATGTAGGCCAACTGTTCTCATCTGATATCCATGACGGTCCTTGCATCCACAGAGTCAAATCTTTGAATTGCGTTGATGATAGTCCTTGAGTTTGAATATCGGCTGGATTTGATTCAGTTGGTACATATTTCCAGTCATAATTTTGCGTCATTTCTTTAATTTCTAGCACACGATTTTGAACAAATCTTCCAAATGTTTTTGAAGATGAAATCCAGTGCAGAACGATCTGACTGTCACTCCATAATACTGTGCCTTGTGGTTCTAGGGTTTTCGTGAGGTGTTTAGCCATTCTAGCTCCTATTACTGCGGCCATCAATTCTAGCTTTGGTTATGTCTTTTTAACGAGCGGAGCAATTCGGTTTTCTGCAATTACGAGAGATGAGTTGTGTTCTTTACACAAGTAGGCACTGGCTCCATAAGCACGTTGGCTGGCATCAACAAAGACATGCAGTGTTATTTTCTCGTTGCTTTCGTTCTCATTTTCATAGTTAAAATAATGGCATGCGATTTTCGTATAAACAGGAACATCTCAGATGTCATCTAGGATTTCACACCATGATTTAACTATGTTGTTAGGTAACACCTGGTCCCAATTGTATCCCTCTTTCCATAATGTTTTTATCAGTAGCTTAGCTCTTACAGTCACTGGTCCAAGAATTCCAAGTGGGTCGTAAATTGACGATGATTTTCGCAAAACTTCTCTCTTTGTCACTTGTGAGTTGTCAATATCTATGTGATCTTCATTTATTTTCGCAAATGTCAATCTGTCTGACTTCGCATCCCAACGCATTCCAAGAATTTTCGTCTCGCTATCCTTATCAAGTATATTTGCCTTTGTAGCTTCATCGCTAAGTTGATTGCTATTCGACTTCCATGTTCTCAAATTGAATCCTGCATTTGTCATGAGTTCTCTAGATTCTACAAAGAAATTTAAGGCAGCTTCTTCCGTATTAACACTTGTAAGTTGTCTAACATACAAATCACGCTTGAGTATTTCAGCAGTAGCACTTTTAACTGTTGATAAATGTTTCAATAATGTAGCGTTAAGAATAAATGGTGAACATGTCGATCCGAATAGAATTACCTTGAATCTGTAAGTCTCAAGTCCACTGTTGGGGTTACTTGGATCTCTAAGCCAGAAAAATCAAGTGGAATCACGGTCTTCTTCGTCTAGTCCAATCTGGAGAAATGCTTTCTCACTGTCTGTTGTCAAGGCGTATTTCCCATAGCGGAATCTTGTAAGTATATCGGTTAGCTTATTAAGCTGTGGCGGTGTAGAAGAAAGGCAATCATTTAAGCTGGGTGATTCTGAATCTTGGCGACAACTGCAATCATATACTATATATATCGGTGTAGTCGATGAATCTTTTTTCACTGGGTAGTGCGGAATATAATGCACTCGATTAGTAGTCTCATCCGGGGTCTCAACCTTCTCGATAAAACCTCTACTTTCATGGTCGTTGATGATGTCACCGTATATCTTAAGCATCTCTGGTTCTTTTGCAAGTCTGTTTATCACATTGTATGTTATCTTTCTGGCGATCATCTCGTTGCTAGGCAACTCAGGATGTTCCGGTTTCCATGGAAACTTGGCGATGTACCTATTGTCTTTCAAATGAATATTATTTTCTTGGTAAGTGGTAATTTCTTGTAAGTCAGTTTTCACTTTCACTTCGCTGTCTTTTTCTGTTACTATGGATTCAATTTCCAAAAATTTATGTATTTCACATTCTTCAAATCTGTGCAGGGTCATAATATTCATGATCGATGATGTTGACTGTACTGCAAGAATTCAATTGTATAGGTCCTGATAGCAAGTATCCGACTTTGGATTGTACAGCGGTTGGTCTGGATCCTCTAATAACTCTGTCTCCAACTATATCCCAATAATAATCGGAGCCAACTAAGACTGATACCTCAAAGTCCTCGTCCTGTAAAGCTGGGTGGGCTAACTTTAATCCATTCAAATGTGGAAAACTCGACTGGTTCCTTGCGTATGTATATATTGGATAAGCAATCTGTGGTACTATAAGAACTTCAATAGGGATTAGCGTGTTCGTCTGACCTTTTAGGTAGATAGTAGCAATTTGTAGATTTCTAACCTTCATGTTGGATTCCCCAAAACCGGATATCGTAATCACTTCTTTCTTATTTGGTCTCAGATTCAATAAATCGGCCATCTCTTGAGTAATAAAACTCCGCTGGGCTCCTTCGTCGAATAATATATTAGCTGATGTAAACTGTGTCTTGTCACACGTGATAGGTGCTATCGCGGTTTTCAATAATACTTGCGATCTAAACGATGATCTCGATGAATGCATGCTTACGACTGCAGCGCTGGTATCTGGTTTAGATGTGCTGTTATCTTTTGTAAGTTTAGACTTGGTCTGCGGGTGTGCTGCATTCTTTGAACAAATACTTGTATGGTGTGGTTTATTACAATTCTTACACATTTTATCGGAATTGCAATCCACAACTCTATGATTTCTTAGCAATTGAAACATGCCTGTTTCTCATTTACAATGCGTTTTCTTTCTTCAATTTCCATGACATTTTTACAACCTAATGGGGCGTGAACTCCATGACAAAAGATACACGGCTTCTTGGTTATGTCTCTTTTTCCTTTCTGATTAGCGTAGTTGCGATTTGTACCTGTAAAGAATGCTGACGTGGGTATGAAATTTGGCTGTATATAATCACCGTTTACAGACTGACCCGCTTCCTTAATCGTAATCTCGTGTTGTATAGCTTGCCGTGACGTCGGCAAGTTCCAGCAGTCACCTCCGTGGGCACATACCATGTTTTCTCGTATGTTCCAGGGTAGTTTATATAATATTATGGGCACTAAAAGGCATCCGAACGACTAGTGGGACTCCCCTATACCTTCAAGGCCAAGGATGTAGTTCTCCATGCTGTCGTAGAATTTTTTCAAATGTGTAATATTTGACGTTGGACTAGGAAGGCTGATTAAACTCTGCATGTATGTATATACTATCTTGTGTGGTTGACCGAATCTTTTTTTTAGTACATGTAGTGCTTGTCCGTAATTTGTGTTAGTTATTTGTAGATCTGCTATGCACTGGGTGGCTTCTCCGAATAATTGAGATTTTAAGTAATTAAATTTCTGTACGTCGTTTAAAGACAAGTTTTCGTGTACGGTAGCACTAAACGAATCCCAAAAGGGTTGCCATTCCAACATATTCCCGCCGAATGTTGGTAAATTTAATTTGGGCAGTTTGTGGTACATGCTGGACATGTAAACGGACGCTGATGTATTTGCTTGTATGAAACTGGGCTGTGGCTGACTTTCTTGATTCGTATTAATAAATTTGTGTGCATTTGGGTTAAACAATGACTTACTTGACTGTTTGGCTGTGATTTCCGATTCCTTAATGATTTCTGAAAGTTTGGTTACTGCCATTTCTATGTCATACGTGTATCTGTCGGCTTCCTCTATTTCTTCGCTCACTTCCTCTTCTGATAGTTCCTCAACAATCTTCTCGTTCAGTTGATCGATCGTTTCCTGCCTTTTAACAATAAGTCCTCGAATGGTAGAAAGTTCGCTCACGTCATATTCCTGCAAAAGTTCCTCGGAACTCTGTTCCACTTTCTTCAGCAATTTTGTTAGTACTCCTCGATTTCCAGCTCGTCTGGTCTTCATCTTTGTTGTCGCGGTACTCATCTTCTGTATTCTTCCGTTTTGTCACGGCACCAATGTTTTGAATGTGTTGATTATAAAGACGAGTAATGGCTATAAACTCAAGAACGTCTTCAAAGTTTTGTATGCTTTGCTTGGGAGTCAATGCTATACATAGAGACGTAGGCAAGTGACAACGTTGCGGGCCTATTGTTACGGTAAAAATGGTGGTAAAACGTTAACCAAATAAAAGAGTATAAAATAGACTAAACTGAAACTTAACTAATTCACAACACCAATGTTGTGGATGATGTGGATTTCTTCGGTATCTGTGAACCACCAATATAAATGTTTCTAAGCTTTATGCAAAATTTGGCAAAACCACAAAATCAGATTTCCACAAAAATATAATTTTTATTCAATCCACGAAATTGGTACTTATGAAATAAATGAATCCACAGGAGTTTCCAACAGGCAAGACATGTTTAAACAACCCTCCAGTTAGTGTACAGATTGAGTTTTACTTACCTGGTGATAAGATCATAATAGCTTCTTGCACGGCGGCCCTGAGTAGATTATCAATAGCAAACATCCAATGAGGCTGTATTGAGTGTGTTTTTAGGTTCATACTGACCTACAAGTTAATATATGAAAGAGTAATACCAGGTTTTAATAATTGATTAACAGTTTTCATGATAATTAAAAGCCCAAGGCCCAGGCCAGTCAAAATGTTGTCTGACTAGTAAAGTTTCCTACAAATAATCCTCACAAGCCATATGAATTAAAAGAAATTTAAAAAAATTTAATGAGTGATTTTCAGTTTAGTAAGTAAAATAATTTCAACACTTTTTGCAAATTTTTGCGAGTTTATTTCATTATAAAAACCTCTTCATTGGAGGTGTGGAGCAAAAACAATTTCTGCATCTATAATACCTCTTAGAATTTTTTAAATATTTATTTCCCATAATGCACTTACAGCTTCCTGAAAGACATACAAGGCCAGCTGAAGCTCTGTCATTGCTGTAGGATCATATTCAAAACCTGTCCGTAATCTAGCTGTTGGATAAAAGAATGAGTATAGAATAAGTCATGAAACTGGTTTGTACCAAATACAGCAACCTAAATAATTGTATGAAAAAAATTCCATGAATCTATTCTATGAGGACTTGCACCTGCCAATTACAAAAAAGTTCCTTTTTAAATTGATTAAACTTAAACTGTTGGCAAAAACAATACAGATCAACATTTATTATTAAACAAAAGTGCACATGCTGAAATATCTCGCCTGTTCAACTTATCATTGAATTCATGTTGCAAGTCTGTAACATAAAGGTTTTACTACAAGTATCACATAAACTAATAAACTGTTGACACAGAGATATGTCTCGCTTGTCTGCATAAAATTCAGAATAAGACAATCTGATGCACAGCAACATGGTTTATTAATTTAGACGCTGGACCATTATCTAGTGAGCAGGGCCTTAAAATAATCACCAAACTAACATGTACTGAGAGTAATGCAAAAAACTTTAATACGTGTTAAAGAACAAATTCCTGGATATTTTGATAATACTGAACTCCCTCTTATTTGTTATATTTACAAGAAATCTACCCGAAAATTTGTGTTTAATTATAGCCAAGTCTGTAAAGATGTAAATATCAGTGAAAATACACCTCCGTCATGTAATTGTAGTAATTCCGAATACACTTATGGCCCCATTTCCCATGTTATAACAGGAGACCTTAACATAGTTCACGACCGAGAGTTAAAATCATTCCTCAGTAAAGGACCTAAATATCGTCCCCCATCAATTATTAATTGGAATGAGTGTCGTAATATTATCCACGACTCACTTCGTGCTTCCTGTTTGAAATGGATAAAACGGGAAAAAGCTGACAAAAAATCTTTGGACTCTTTTTTTAATTCAGTAATGAAGATAGTTGATATATGTATACAACATTTTAAAGAACATTTTACTCTTAACAACAACCATAAAAATCCTATCTCTCGTATCAAACACAAACTAAAAGAACTAGCCAAGGAATTTGTTTTTGTCCCGGCTGATAAAGCTGCTAATAATATCATTATAGTTTGACATAAATTTTACATTGAGGTTCTGCAAAAGGAAATCACGAATTCACCAACATTCCAACTGACTTCATTTTCAGAAAACGATATCTGTAACAAACATAAACTATTAGCTACTTCTTTACAAGCAGAACCAAATACAATGAAAGTCCCAACTATGTACTGGCTTCCGAAGCTACACAAATCACCTTACAAATATAGAGTTATTTCGTCTTCAAGTCATTGTTCCACTACTAAATTGTCTATTCTACTTACTAGTACACTTGGTACAATCAAAAACCTGATAATAAATTGTTCAAATAAAGCCTTTGAAAATAGTGGAATTAACTACTTTTGGAGTGTCAAAAACTCGTTGGAAGTACTTGATAAATTGCATGCATATATTGGTGATTTTGAATCTGTTCAAAGTTTCGATTTTTCTACCCTATATACCACTTTGCCTCATATTCTTATTAAGAAAAAATTCACACACCTAATTAAATGGGCATTTAAAAAGTCGGAATGTGAATACATATTTTCAAACTCTTTTAGGTCATTTTTTAGTAGCAACAAACAAAAGAGCTATGTCAATTGGACATGCTTTGATACTATATCTGACCTTGAATTTTTACTTGATAACATTTTTGTTCGCTTTGGAGATTCCGTATATCGTCAAGTTATCGGAATTCCAATGGGGACTAACTGTGCACCACTTATTGCGGACCTGTTTTTGTATTGTTATGAGTTACAATTTATGACTAAAATCAGCAAAGACCCATCGAAACAACATCTGATACATAAATTTAACAATACTTTTAGATATTTGGATGATATATTGGCTCTCAATAATGACAACTTCAGTATGTATACTAAAGAAATTTATCCTGTTGAACTTACTTTAAATAAAGCTAATACTAACAATGACCACTGTCCTTTCCTCGATCTTGATATCTATATCATTAACGGGAAGCTTAATACAAAAATTTATGATAAAAGAGATGATTTTTCATTTCCTATCTATAATTATCCATTTTTAGATGGTGATGTTCCCTTGTCACCATCTTATGGTGTTTATATATCTCAACTTGTACGATTCGCTCGTGTATGTAACAACATATTAGATTTTAGCGAGAGAAATTTATATATTACTGAAAAATTATTACACCAGGGTTTTCGATATAATAAACTAGTCAAAACATTTACTAAATTTTATCATCGGTATAAGGACATCATTCGTAAATATAACTCAACATGCAGACATCTTATACGTTCGGGTATTTCACATCCAATCTTTTATGGTAATATTCTTTACAAAGCACAAAAATGTTAGTATTCACCTCAAAAGCTAACAAAACCTTTAAACAGACTTATTAAGAAGGGATATAGTTACGATACTGTTGTCAGGTCATTAAAAATTGCATATTTTGGCTTTAATATTGATTCACTTATATGGTCTTTGCATCGGAATTAACCAGTTGTTGGCATGACACGGGTTATGTTCTTCTCATATATTTTATGACGGTATAATACTAAACCCCTAACAGGAGGGATTGTGCCTGATATTCATATGATGAAGACATAATCTTTCAATCAGTTTAATTGAGGTCTGGAGCTGGCATGTCAGTAACTGCTAGTAGTCTGTTGTTATTTATGTATTATTGTCATTTTGTTTATTTTCTTTTGTTTCCTATTCTGACATCGGACTCGGACTTCTTATAAACTGAGTTTTACTGTGCGTACTGTTGTACGTTTGTTTTTTCTACATTGGCTAGAGGTATAGGGGGAGGGTTGAGATCTCAAAAAACATGTTTAACCCCGCCGCATTTTTGCGCCTGTCCCAAGTCAGGAGCCTCTGGCCTTTGTTAGTCTTGTATCATTTTTAATTTTAGTTTCTTGTGTATAATTTGGAGTTTAGTATGACGTCCATTATCACTGAACTAGTATACATATTTGTTTAGGGGCCAGCTGAAGGACGCCTCCGGGTGCGGGAGTTTCTCGCTGCATTGAAGACCCATTGGTGGCCTTCGGCTGTTGTCTGCTCTATGGTCGGGTTGTTGTCTCTTTGACACATTCCCCATTTCCATTCTCAATTTTATACAAATTATCATTGATCTATCACAAGTATTTGTTATCAAACTGACTTCAGCAGAAAAGTTAACATTGAAAATTTCAAATAGATTCAAAGTCACTGGACCATGACCTATGGGGCAAGGCCTAAAAATAGTCATCAAACTGATATGAACTGATAGTAATGAAACTTCATACAAAATGTCATTGATCTATCACAAGTAGAACCTATCAAACAAACTTAAGCAGAAACTTAACAATTGTTGACACCGTCGCCAGAAAAGCAATCCCTATGTCTCGTTTTCCGCGCCTTTCACCGAAGGCAAGACAAATGTTATCAATGTTCTATGAAAATGAGGTCACTTAGATGAACTATTCAGAACGACATGTGCACCTTACAATAATTTCCTATATTAAATACAGTATTTCTATCGCTAATAGTACCTGATAAACAGATCAAACCACAAAATCTTTACATTGACCAATGAACCATGAAAATGAAGTCAAGGTCATATAAACCCTGCCAGACAGACATGTGCACCTAACAATGATTTCCTACACCAAATATAATTGATCTTTTGCTTATAGTATCTGATAACCTGACAAAATTACGAAAACTCAACATTGTCCAATGAACCATGAAAATGAGGTCAAGGTCATATGAAATCTGCATGACGGACATGAACGCCTAACAATCATTCAATACACCAAATACAGTGGCCCTATTGCTTATAGAATCTGAGAAATAGACCAAACCACAAAAACTAAACATTTTCCAATGAACCATTAAAATTGAGGTCAAGGTCAGATGAAACCTGCCAGTTGGACATTTACACCTTACAATCATTCCATTCACCAAATATATTAGACCTATGGCTTATAGTATCTGATATATGGACTTGACCACGCAAATTTAACCTTGTTCACTGGTCCATGAAATGAGGTCACAGTCAAGTGAAAACTGTCTGACAGGCATGAGGACTGTGCAAGTATGCACATACCAAATATAGTTATTCTTTTACTTGTATGTGAGAAATTAACATTACAAAAAATCTTAAAGTTTTTTCAAGTACATGTACTGTTAATTCAGAAATTATTGTGTGCATTTAATATTGAGATTTTTGAAGAATTAACAAAAAAGCAAGATTAATTATTGCGATTTCGTGAAAATCTGCATACAGATATATGTATTAGATACCAGAATGTGAGTTCTTATTATTGCGATAATCACCAAGTCGCATTATTCGCATAGATAAAATCCTTGCATTAATTTCTGAATTTACAGTAGTCTCTGAACCAAGGTCAAGGACAACAACAACAACAACAATACTTAATTTTAAGAGGGTTACACAGTTAGCTATATCACTTATCTTCCCTGAGGCCCTAATCATAGAAAAGCATAAACAAAAATGCAAACATATACATGGCACAATGGACATATGACAGACGAAAACTTCATAGCATAAGGCATCTATTTACAAAGTATGAAGCATCCAGGTCTTCTACCTTCTGAAATATTTTTAAAGTAATTATTTAAAGCCGCGGCCGTTGCAGGATTACTATCCCCACGTCTTGCTTTCTGCAAAAGAAGTCGCAGGCAAAACAAAAATCTCTATGTGTTGTTGTTTTGGTCAGTGCTTTTTATATTTTAAAGTGTTAAAAGAAACCCTCTTAGTAGACAAGTGGTTTTCATGTTTTGCCTTAATAGGGAGTCATGCATTTTAATTTTCATGGAGATTTCACAATTAAACAACTTAGTATTATCAACAGGCCCATAAAATATGCTGTAAATTAAGAATTTACTGCATGCCTTTATTAAAACAAATCTTAGAAAGCTCGCAACAGTATTATTGACCAATTCTCCCATCAACAGATTGTCCAATATTTTACCATATTTTCTTTCAATATCCGAGTATTCAGAAATTGTTTATGAAGCCATGATTTTCCAAGAATATACTGTACAATGTAGTACTACTTTGCAGAAAAATTACCTATAGTGTCTTTAATGGAATTTGTGTTGTTGTCTTGTATATAATTCCTAAGACTGCTGGCTAACTGTTTCAAATGCTCCTGTAAATCAAACCAAATGTACAATAGAAATGCATTTAATTGAATATAATAAAAAATTAACATATTGATACTAATAATCAAAAGAGGCTACTTTTCATGAGAGTATATGAAATCTTATATGGAAAAGAAATTTAAGGTGTTCTTAAATACGACAACAATCTCAATTTTACTGTTGATTTATTTTTATTTTCATTGGTCAGTGACGTAACTGCAGTGTAGCATTGCAAGCATGTGCTTACAAATAAATCTAGCAATTCTGTTTTTTTCAATAAGAATTTTACGATAATTGTTGAGCTTCTGGGGGCTGCCACCCCCCAGACCCCCTGCTTACAATTGTTAAATACCTATTTCCATAGATTGAGGGAAGATTGTAGTTTCATGGATACATGATTTTGTGGTTTTGCCAAAGTTTGCATATAAGCCTATAGAAATATTATTGCGTTGAACATTTAAATTTGTGAATAACAACTAAATTCACTAAATTTGTATCCTACTAATAATTATTAATCCACAGTACATGCACCCCGACCAAAAGAACAATGTTTTAATTACTGTGTTTCATTATATAGAGTTACTGGAAGGTCTTCAACGAGAAACCAAAAATCTCACACCTAATTCTGTAAGTTGTTTATTTTCATTGAATTGAAATTTTGTGATTTACAGGACAAAAGCTGCATTTTTTACAATTTTCCCTCAATAGTTTAACATATTCTCTGTTTTAATCCTTCAAGTTCGTACATCTATTTCTTTGAATATCATACTTATCTGAAAATGCACATCCAATGAAAAATCTTGCAACTATACATCAAAATACAGATTTTATTATTATACTTTTATGGCAAAATGCCAGATTTTGATTGGTTAATACGAGGGAGACAACTCCTCGAAAAGACATTGTCAACCTTGGCTTCGCCTCAGTTGACACTGTTTCTCAGGGTAACAATCTGCTCTATCACCCTCTCAGCTATGTGTAATTTATATAGTGTCAGTTGATCTTTTTGTCTTTTGTCTGTGTTGAAAAGAGGAGTAAGTGACTCTAAAATTCCTGTCAATATTTGTTTCTTTTTTATTAAGTGACTTTAAAATTTCTGTCAATATTTTTTCAATTTTATCTGAATTTGTCCCAGGTTTGTCCTAGGTGTCAAAAACAGTGAAAAATGCTATAAACAGACCATTCTCGTTTCTCATATAGATTAGACTGTTGGTTTTCCCATATGAATCGTTTTACACTAGTAATTTTTTGGGGCCCTTTATAGCTTGCTGTTCGGTGTGAGCCAAGGCTCCGTGTTGAAGGCCGTACTTTGACCTATAATGGTTTAATTCTATAAATTGTGATTTGGATGGAGAGTTGTCTCATTGGCACTCATATCTACTTTTATCTACATACCAACATAAAAGACAAGTTTATTATTTGTACTGTTACTTCAGTGTGAATAACAAGGATAGACACCAGTAAGGGGGGTTCACTCACAATAGTAGAGGGGCAACTGTCTGTCTAGTAGTCTGTTTTTTCTGTTCTGTATCAGGTTTAAGTTTTAGTCTGAGGAAGTTTATCATGAAGTTGTTGTCAAATTATCTTGAAACTTAGTACATTATAAAAATATGGAGATGTAGTATGATTGCCAATGAGACAACTATCCACCAGAGTTCAAATAACGTGAACCTAAATGATATGAATATATACCAAATAAGGGTTGACCCAAATTTTACATTTCACTGTATATGAAAATTATGTTACAGTGGGAATTGGGGCATGGTGTCCTATGGAGGCATATTCTTGTTTTTTAAATTGTTTTGGTATTCCATACAAAGTTTAGCTGAAAACCTTTATTCTAAACATTTGACATTTGTTATTACATTAATTATATTCAGTTTATTAGCAATATAACATACATGATAATACATTACAGTGAAACTTGCATAAAGAGGTCAACTGTGAATTTCTGGATTTGAGAAGTGAGCTTATTATTCCTTTCATTATGAAAACTAAGGACTATGCAAAAGACCTTTCAGCAGAGGTGTAATTGTATCTTGTGCATTTCACCATTCAAGCATTAATAAATGATGCTTTGTAACCTTTCACCAAAGCTTTAATATATATTAGAAAAATATAGAAAAAAAAAATCTTTATGCTTTTCTTACTTGCAAAAGTAGATCAATATATATATATATATATATAAAGTAAAACAAATATTCCAAAAATGCTCCAGACCAAAAAGACCCATATACTGTATTTCAAAAATCTAAAATTTCATGAATGACTTCAAATACAAAAAACAAATATCTGATGCTGACTAACATAGCATGCAGAAAACTTGATACAAGTGACTCAAAGGAGCTTTTATGGGTCTCATGACAATTCACCAGAAACTGTGAACATAACAATTAAGAAAAAGGTGAAAAAAAATCCAGGGGTTTCAATGTAATAAAAAAAAAGCTTGGTTTTGATATGATTTCAATAATTCAGAAATAATCAAACAAAATAAAAAAATAAGGAGATGTAGTATGTTTGCTAATGAGAGATCTATCCACTAGAGTTCAAATGACGTGGATATAAGCAATTGTAGGTCATGGTGTATAAAGGCCTTCAACAATGAAAAAAGCCACATCATACAGTCAGCTATAAAAGGCCCTGACATGAAAATGTGAAACAATTCAAATGTGAAAAATAACGACCTAATTTCTAACAATACAATTGACAAAAAACAAATATCACAGACATGAACCAACGACAACCACAGAATAACAGGCTCCTGACTTGGGATAGGTACACAAAGAATGTGGAGGGGTTAAACATGTTGGAGAGTGCTCAACCCTCCCCTTACCTGGGACATGGGTGTTACAGCACAACGTAAGAACAAACGGTGAAAATCAGTTACAAATGGCTAACTCAATAGATCAGAACAAAGCACAAAAAATCAAACAAACACAAAAAACAAAACAAACTAACACAAAAACAATAGACACAAAATGCCAATATAAGAGTTATCAGTTACTGAAAGCTAGTTCAAAGCAACTAATAAATAAATCATGTTATTACATTGGTCGCAATGAAATACCATGATTTCCCGCTTAAAAATAAATGTGAAATAAATCTGATACTTCACTCATTTGACGTCATACACACAGTCACTAGTTTAACATTTTTCTGTATTTGAATTCTTTGATTAGTTATTCTATAACTCTCCCACATGCTTTCATAACCATAGCCCCTCATGCTTTTTTTTGGATCTTAAGTTTAGTTTAACTAGTTTTATGCTTTCAAGAAAAAAGATTGTATATACTTCCAATAGATCATATGTAACGGGTTTACAGTTTTGTGGCCACTTTATAGGACCACCGCACCAGCATTTCCTTATAAATTTTTGAATAAAATCATATAATTTAATTTTGGATGTAATGCATCTTCTGATTGGCTGACGTTGTTTTGTTTATCAGCTCATAGACATAATTTTGTCATGTGACCGTGACGTCATCAACATTTTTCATGGTTTACTGCAGTTTAAAATGGAATTTAGAATTAAATTATAAGAAATGACTGTAATATTTTTTCTGTCTATTCGAAATAACATAAAAAATGTGGTGCACACTTTAAAATAACCCGCTATGCGGGTTATTCAGTATGCACCACATTTTTGATGTTATTTCTTCATAGACAGAAAAAATATTTCAGTCATTCCTTAATTAAATTTCAGGCTGAAGATACATCTTCTACATTTACCTTAAAATTTAACTGATGTCACATGTTATTACCAAATGAAAGAACTGTGGAACCACTACTTGTATCCATTCTAATACTATCACATTAAAAATGTAAAAGTAATTTGAAAAATCCTGCCATGCTTTTTTTCTACCATTCATATATTTTCAAATTGAAACAATTCCAGTAACTTTGCATAGAAAATGGCATCACAATTTATAAGCTCTGCCTTTCTTTTTCCAGATTAAACAAATAATATTACATACTATTTATCAAGCAAGGCATGTTAATTTACCAGTTTCACGATTTGCATCTGAAATATCACTCAAACAATGAAATTTGAATACAAACATTTATTTGACATGGTTGAAACTGGTTAACAAGAGTATGGTTTTGGTTGAGATTACAAATAAACTGCTTCGCTGAGAGCAGCTGGATATGCCCGCAGAGGTCCAACCCTGAACAGTTGGGGCAAAAATGGACACAATATTCAGGTCTGAATTTGGATTGTAATTAAATATTTGACATATTATAGGTTTCTGAATAAATGTAGTCAAAGAACTTGAAATTGGTTATATGAATTGAATTAATATTCAATTAAAGATTTGTGCAATACACTATGCTGTTGCGCAATACTTAGTAAATCTGTTGTCAGACTATAAACAAATAAAATTTATAAAATTCTAAAGGGAGCTTACATCAATAGATATAATCAATTTACCAAAGTTTCATAAGAATTGCTGAAAGCATTTTTGAGTTATTGTCTGAAAACTGGAAAATCCCCCCTTTTTTAATGAATAAAACCCCATAACTCGGAAATGTAAAATCTAAAATTTATAAAATTCTAAAGGGAGCTTACATCAATAGATAACAACTATTCATCAAAGTTTCATGAGAACTGCTGAAAGCATTTTTGGGTTATTGTCCGAAAACTGGAAAATCCCCCCTTTTTTTTATGAATAAAACCCTGTAACTTAGAAACGTAAAATCTAAAATTTATGAAAATCAAAAGGGAGCTCATGTCAATAGATATAAACAATTAACCAAAATTTCTTGCAAGTTGGTGAAAGCATTCTTAAGTTATTGTCCGTAAACTGGAAAATCCCCCTTTTTTTAATGAATAAAACCCCACAACTCGGAAACATAAAATCTAAAATTTATAAAAAACGAAAGGGAGCTCACGTCAATAGATATAAACAATTCACCAAAGTTTTATGCAAATTGGTTAAAGCGTTTTTGAGTTAATGTCCGACATGTTGACGATGGAGGGACAGACGGACAGATGGACGGACGGACGGTCAGACGGACAACGGTATACCATACTACGTCCCGTAAAAGGGCGTATAAAAATGCCTAGAACAATCATAGACCATGAACATAAAGCTGTAAACAAAGGGATTTCATAGTTCCAAATAAGTGTGTATAATAAGGGCATTACTCAAAAATCCCAAAATGATAACGATACCATTCTACTAAATATATTGCAGTATTTGTAATAACATGTAAAAACTAGATGTATCAGAATGAAACAAATGGCCCTGCTCGCAAAAAAAGCTTGAAGCCATTTTTAGGAGTAGAAATTTGAGAATGAAAGTCAGTGTAACTGTTATTTTCATAAAATTTTCCAAGTCCAAAGCCCATAATTTCCGCAAAATTCAGCAGAGCAGAACCAAACGTAAAGTTGATCTATAACTCATCATAGTAAATTCACATACTAAAAATCAGCTCAATATGAGAAGGCGTTCAGAAAATAAGTCCATATAAGTGTTATTTTCAAAGTCCAAAGCCCCGTAATTTCTGCAAAAATCAGCTAGGTGAAACCAAACATTAACTCGATCTGTAACGATCATCATAGTATACTCACATACTAAAAATCAGCTTAATATAAGAAGGCGTTTAGAAAAAAAGTCTGTATAACTGTTCGTTGTGGAATGAAGGAATGACGGATAAGGGTAAAATTATATGGCCCGACCACTTTTTGGCGGGGCCATAAAAAGTAAAACTGTGAGCTACTGCTCACTAATCTTATCCAAGGTTTAAGAAACAGGTAAACATGAAGTTGAGGAATGATGAGTCTAAAATGGCTACACACAGTAAAGCATGTTCACATGAAAACTGATGACAAATTTCAGGAAGCTCTGTTTTGTAGTTCCTGAGAAAGATGTGACAGAATTTCATGGGACAGACACATCTACAGTCGGACAGAGGTAAAACAGTTTACACCCTCCATCAGAGCGGGGGTATAAAAATTTGTGCCGACGTTACATTGAGAACTTCTTATGCAGAGGTTAAAAATATAAGATCTTACCACAGTCAGTTTAGGATTAGATATCGTAGCATCTTTGTGTAACATCTGTAACCACATATCACATATCTAAAAATAGAATTTGTACTATTAATTAACAAATTATTGCATGCATCTATTATTAGAATTATTGACTAACAGACAAAATAGTGAGATTAAACAATGTAATTTCAGTAAATGCAGTACAATGTACCAATATACATAGAAAAATGTGATCAAAACTTAAAATGTGAGTACGCTGGTATCTATTACTGAAATGTTTTACAAATCTAGGTGTGTTTTTGCAATCATAAAAGCATTGATGAAAAAGAAACTCCATCAACTGAACATTATTTGTACCATGATTTTTTTGTGTGCATGACTTACTTTTAAAAGAAGTTATAATGATAAACCTTTTTTCTGTATCCCCTTGAAAGAATATCATATCTGACCTCCCAAACTCCATGGGACAATAAACTGATTTTTTCTTTATTTATTCAAAGAGGATTGCCAGCAGCCAATGTCTTAGTGTGGGGTTCCTCATACTGATTTTTGTTTTACATGATTGACTGATTGTTGGTGTTTAATGCCACTTTCAGCACTATTTGCTTTATCGGGGCAGTTACTTTTTATTTTTGGTGTGCCAGGAGAGAACCAAATCCTTCTGTCTGCAGGAAAACTGCAAATCCTTGTCAATTATAAAGATTGGAGTCTAACACTCATGTCACATGCAGTGTTCAAACTCACAATCTCAGTGTTGACAATCTAGTTATTCAGTATATGAACTACTTGGACCACTCGGTAATCGCAGACCCTCAAAACTTCTAAACTCTCTTTACCTGATTGATATCATGAGAGAAAACCGAGTGACCGCAGTCCCTCAAAACTTCTTAACTCTCTTTACCTGATTGATATCATGAGAGAGAATCTGCACCAATGTAGTACGTCTTTCTGAATCTTTTCGCAAGAGATAGAATCCACCATCCCTCCCAGAACTATCCACAGAACTGTGATCCCCTTCACTCACATCAGGGGATAGATTGGAATAACTGGCCGTGTGTGCTAATCCTGGCTCAGAACTGAAATTATACAAATTTCATAGAAATTGTAATTTTCATAAAATTTCATTACATTACATTACATTAAATAAAAAAAAAAATTGTTATACAGTGTACCAAAGGTTTTTTTTTTCTGAAAAAAAAAAGAAATATTCGCTGATGTACATAAAGTTCTAAAAGTCATGGAGAAATGAATAATACAAAAAATTTAGAATGTTTACCAAACAGAATTAATTATTTGTACATAATTATCACAAATACATGTCCTACAATTGTATACATCTTAAAGCTTCATAAATTTTATGTTTGCAAAATATATTCTTGTGTAAACAAATTTTCTTATCTAGAGCTAATTATTTTTTTTAACAAGTATTGAAAGCAATATTCGGGTAAATCTGTTTGAAACTCACCTGAAAGATGTGCTTTATCTTAGCATTATTGTAGACAATATCAAACAAATGTTTGAAGAGGTTATGAGAATAACTGACTAGTTGTAAGAAACACACAGTATATTCATTCTTAAAGTATCGATCACATTTTATATTATCAAATTACCATCTTCCGTGATCACTATAACTGATATGTGCAAAAAAATGTCAGATCACCCAGTAGTACAAAGTATATGAAGAAAACTATGGAATAATCTTGAGAGCCATTTAAAATTTTGTACTATTTGTAGAATTTAAAAAAAATATGTAACATTACTAACACATAAAATTTTATCTGACATATTCTATTTTGAAAGGATGCTCCCTATTTTAAACATCAAATCCAAATAACAGTATAATGTTCAAGATTATTCACATATCTAAATATCAATGTCACCATGTTAAAATAAAGTGTTATTACAAGATAAATGTTTGAATGTATGAAAATTATGTAAATGTTTAAATGTATGGAAACTTTCAAGATGTTCAAGTGTTTGGCAATTATCTAGATGATCAAATGTATGGAAATTATGTAGATGTTCCAATTGCTATGGAAATTATCTAGATGTTCAAATGTATGGAAATTATCTAGATGTTCAAATTGTTTTGGAAATTATCTAGAGGTTCAAAATGTTATGGAAATTATCTAGAGGTTCAAATTGTTATGGAAATTTTCAAGATGTTCAAATGTATGGAAATTATCTAGATGTTCGAATGTATGGCAATTATCTAGATCTTCAAATGTATGGAAATGATCTAGATGTTCAAGTGTATGGAAATTATCTAGATGTTCAAGTGTATGGAAATTATCTAGATGTTCATGTGTATGGAAATTATCAAGATGTTCAAATTGTTATGGAAACTATCTAGATGTTCAAGTGTATGGAAATTATCTAGAGGATCAAATTGTTATGGAAATTATCTACATGTTCAAATGTATGGAAATTATGTAGATGTTCAAATTGCTATGGAAATTATCTAGAGGTTCAAATTGTTATGGAAATTATCTAGATGTTCAAGTGTAGGGAAATTATCTAGATGTTCAAATTGTTATGGAAGTTATCTAGATGTTCAAGTGTATGGAAATTATCTAGAGGATCAAATTGTTATGGAAATTATCTACATGTTCAAATGTATGGAAATTATGTAGATGTTCAAATTGCTATGGAAATTATCTAGAGCTTCAAATTGTTATGGAAATTATCTACATGTTCAAATGTATGGAAATTATGTAGATGTTCAAATTGCTATGGAAATTATCTAGAGGTTCAAATTGTTATGGAAATCATTTAGATGTTCAAGTGTATGGAAATTATCTAGATGTTCAAATTGTTACGGAATTATCTAGATGTTCAAATTGTTACGGAATTATCTAGATGTTCAAATTGTTATGGAAATTATCTAGATGTTGGAATTGTTATGGAAATTATCTGGATGTTCAAATGTATGGAAATTATCTAGATGTTCAAATTGTTATGGGAATTATCTAGATGTTCAAATGTATGGAAATTATCTAGATGTTCAAGTGAATTCAACACATTAAATTTTCCTTTGTTTAACATTGTAATTGCAGTTGAACTTTAACCTTCTGTTTTTATATGGAAAATAAGAATTCATACACCATTCCTTATTTGAATATGAGGTTTGGAAGATATATCTATCTAGCCAGTGATATAAGGGTTTTCATCACAATCTTGACCCCAAAAAATTGGTTAACATAAATTTGGTTTACGCTGTTAAAATTTTTTTGGGTGAAATTTAACCTTTTATCTCACACTTCATTTATCAAAAATTTATTTAACAAGAATGTGTCCATAGTACACGGATGCCCCACTCGCACTATCATTTTCTATGTTCAGTGGACCGTGAAATTGGGGTCAAAACTCTAATTAGAAAGATCATATCATACTAAGTTTCAAGTTGATTGGACTTCAACTTCATCAAAAACTACCTTTACCAAAAACATTTACCTGAAGCGGGACAAACGGACGGACTGACGGACGGACAAACATACAGACGAATGGACACACAGACAGAAAAACATAATGCCCAAAAATGGGGCATAAAAATCCTTTTAACAGTATAAAACACAGTTAGGCAAAGTGAAAAGTGTTAACAGACAGAAAGTTGTGTTGACAACAAAAATTTACCTGTAGTAAACATCTAGTGTACTAGGGGAACATGGTCGTGAAGTAGGGGAAGGTGACCTGTAAATTTGACATGAACTATGATTTATGACATATATGACAAACAAATGCATAATGATTTATGATATTATATTGAAACTTATAATAAGTAATAATGAAACATTATATCAAATCTTTCTGAATTTTAAGCTTTTATCTTCTTTAAAAATCTAAAATTGCTAAACCAAAGCCAAATTTCTATCAATTATATAAAAGATTCAGGCAGTACTTGTCCTGGCAATGGTTGTAATTGTACCTGCTGATTTTTCAACATTTCATCCTAAAACCACTTATCCTTCATTATTAGTTATGTTTGATAACAATTTTTTTAAAGATATTTCAATATGCTAAAAATTCAGAAACATTGGTATAATGCTGTAGGCCCCATATTGAGCATAGGACTAAAACCATGCATTATCATTGGGCTGAAACATAAATTTGGGCCTTTTTGTGAATTAACAATAAAGAAAATATTTGCCTAACAGAGAGTCATTTTGTAATAAATTATAAGTTTGCAATTGAATTAGACTGAATTTTTCCCAGCTTAGTTTTAGTCCTGTGACATCTTATGAGACAAAACTTATCATTTATCATTCCACTCTTAGAGATTATATTCATGTTTTTCTAATTCTAAGCAGATTTGCACTTTTCTTGAACAGCCTAATTTTATTCCAAAATGAGTTTGCTTTTTGTCATTTCTTTGCCATTTGGTTTCATTTTCTACTGTGGCAAAAATAAAAAAAAATGGCGACCAAGTCTGATGATGAGAGATCAGATGAGCAATTTTCACACATCATTTGAAAAAGAAATTAAAAATTTGTCTACATATTGTCTAAAATCATTAGAGAACAGATTTTACTACTGCTTCTTATTTGATACAACATTCTTTCACACTTGACAGTTAAATTTCAAATACTCAAACACTCAGTTAGCCTCCTGTTTTAAAATTTTTGAAAATCTAACTGTCTTGATTGAAAAAATGTTCTATCTCACTCATTGAAGTGGTGGAATCTAAATATATATGGGCGCAGGATATTTGCACTCCAAACGCTATGGACATTTGTGCTTTAAACTTGGAAACACCTGAACAAAATTGACAGGACATTTGCGCTTTATTCCTGTGATAGTCTACCTGTAATCTTCACAAAACTTACCAAAGTCAAGGAAAGATGTTCACATATTCTTTAAAAGTTCTTCCAAACCAACGACAAATACAGAACAAATTATTCGAGTATAAATCAGACATATAATATAAAAAATAATATATATGTTTCTTGGTAAACGATAGAGGAAACAAAACTTTCATGGATGGAACATTTAAATTTTGCTCTAAATTCTTCAAGTAGCTTTATAATTCGTGCATTTAAAATTGTAAACATATTCCTCTTGTCAATTCTGTTGCAAGAATAGTCCGAGGTTGACTTTTAGAAAGAGTCATGGTTGTTATAAGGAATTTACTTCCATCCACCCTCTTAAAGTATTGCCGTATTCATCTGACACAAGCATGATGGGGAAATGTTGATTCTTTTAGCTGTATTCAAATATATGAATGTTTTGTGTTTTTGATATCAAATGTTTTTTTAAACTTCTGTACCATGATAACTCATATGTTATGTTGATAAAGCGCAAATGTCCTTTTGAAAAGCGTAAATGACCTTTTTTTAAAAGGGCAAATGTCCTAAAACATAGACCGCAAATGTCCATTTAAAAAAGCACAAATGTCCATTAAAAAAAGCACAAATGTCCTATCAAAAAGCATAAATATCATATCAAAAAGCACAAACGTCCAGTGCTGGATAACCAATACATATATGTATATCACACATTTAAAATGGTAGCTATTCACACAAATATCTGTGTTTCCATATGATAGGAATATAATATAATCAAGCATAATGATAATTAATGTCTACCAAATCATGAAACATTTAGTTCTAATTTACTACTTTAAAATTTAAAATCATTATTTCAAATTAAAAATTGATTAGTTTCAGTGCAGTAAATAAAAAAAACATAAACTGACATGAAACATTAAAATTACAACATTAAAGGGAATATATAGTTATTATGACTAACTGATTTTGTTCTTCTCAATTTGTGATATAGCAAGCATTGAAGCTGCTTGAGAATCAAATGTTTTGAAATATTTGTATTGTTTGCGAACAAAATAATTAATAAGTAATGGTAGACTCCTTGAATTTTGAAATAAACAAGAATAACAATTTGATGGTGATCGGTTTTTTGCAACTTAAAATTCCTGCTCGTTATAACTGAAATGAAAACATTATTTACTATAGTGTGAAAAAGCAATCATAATTTTCAGACTTTAATCAGAAATCTTTTTTAATAACATTAACGGTACCAATTTTACTGAAAGTTGTCAAGTGATTTGAAAGTTATACAACAATAATTTTCCCTAGAAAATTTGTACCTTTACAAGAAGTCACTGGTAAAAAAACAAATAAAGAACACCATGGTAAGAAAATGTCTATTCCTGAGTACAGAGATGCAAACATTGAACTTGAGCTTATTGTCATGAAATTAAGTTCATAAAAGGTCAAAAGTGTTTCACCATTTGATTATTTTGCTATATATATTTCGTAAAAATCTGACTTGAAGTATGAATTTTTAAAAAAATGCGTTTTATTATGAAATATATAAAATTTCTTCGTGATGTGATGCACTTTTGACCTCTGACTGTATAATGGTGTGAAGCTCAAATGTTAAATTTGCAGGCAGTGAGTTACAACATCCAGCATTCTCATGCAAAATATACCGTTCTTCTCGCCGAAAGCTAAATGAGAAGGAAACTTTCAAACATAAATATTTCTCATTTCCCTTTTCAATCAAATTGGTCCAGATAATCATGATGTCTGCTGAGGGCATTTTTTGATTTTTTTTTTAAAAGATTCCTCAAAAGGAAAGCGTCAAAGCAAAAACTAAAAAAGCCTTCCACGACACCTTAATTATTTGGACTACCCATCAATCTGATACTTTACTCTATCACTGATTATAAACTACCTAAGTTATTTTAATAATAGAACATGAAGTTCTGTCATATATGGTGTTAACCATTTTCCCTCTATTACGCAACATTATAGCAAAATATATTTAACTAGAGTACTAAAGTTTTATTTTCTTCATTAATATCATGCTCAGCTCTTAATTATTTAATCCCTTGTCCAAAAGAACAGTAACCTTTACATGCGAAGAACACAAGTTACAGGCATGATTATGTAAACACGAGTGATTTTATTTTCATAATTATACATGCTCAGTTTTACTAAATCCCTTATCCAAATTACACCTCTATGCCAGGAACATGAGAATCATTTTTATCAATTAGTAAATAGTTAATAATAGATAGTAATTAGCTGAAGCCAAGCACAAGCATTGGTTAGTATAGGTGAGTGTAGGGTTACTTACCGTGCCATATACAAAAACCGGCTGTCTGAACCTGACCGACGACGAAAACCAAAGCCATGATTCCTGAATATAAAGTAGCCAAACCTTGTTGCAGGGATTCATAAATAAAGCGTGCTAACTAAAACTATTATTAACATGGTATCAATTTCATAGCAGTTAATCCTTGTAATTTATTAATAATTTTAATTAATTAAAAGGTGGTAGAGCTGGTTGCTGTAGTTTGGTAATTATGTGAAATAATTTACCACATTAACCTGACTGAGGCCCCTCATTAATACTACCCTCTGTTATAGATAAAAATAAAAATTTGATTCTACTGGACTGTCGATGGAATTTACAAACCATAAAGCAGGTACCTTTTAGATTGGAAATGTCTCTTTATGCCAGTTCCCCCTTCCTCTGCTGACCTTGAACTTCAAAATTTCTTTAGATACACTTTCTAGCTGGCAACCAATCAAACAAGATATTACATTTAACCCTTAGCTTTAATCAAGATACTTGCATGATTTGTAAACTTGATCCAAAAGTCTACAATGCCAACCTAAGTTTGCAGTTTTGAATTTTAAGATCGAGTTGAGTGACAAACCTCATAGCCATGGTGAAAAATCAAACAAAGTACCATCAATTTACTCTAATTCAAATGTACTAAACTTCAAAACTAAACTAATCTTCAAGCTAGAGATTCTTAACTTATTTACCATATAATTTTGTGATGCTGAACAATCTTTCAATGTACCCTACTTATAATCCAAGCTGCACTCAAAATGTAGAGCAGACGGTATTTGCAAACATGACTTTTGGGTCTGCAACATTAAAACTAAATTTTTTTGCCCTCAAATCTCATCTTAAGTGAACAATCATAAAAAGTGTCAGCCTTGAACTCAAAGGTAGCTTATGTAAACATGAACTGGACAGGGTATGCAAAACTAAAATATAAGAATGACCTTGACCTTAATATTACATTTTCAAAACTTGTTTGCATCACTCCAAATAATTGTGAACAACAAAACAAATTTTAACAAATAATCTGTAAGTGGTTTTTATGATACAGAGCAGACATGAACAACCTAATAACTATATGGATCATGCCAAAGGTCAGAGGTGCTCCAATAAACCATCTCCATTTCAAATCACTTTAATCTGCAACAGCTGATGATGAAGTCATAAAAAACCTCTAATAGTAACCATAAAGATCTGGAATCTGCAGCAATCTCCCCCTTAATAAGACAAGATCCCTATAACTTATATCAGGAGGAAGACTGTGATTTATCGAATTGGAATTGAAGTGCTATTCAGTTAGTTATTTCATGCAAAAACTGGTGGCTAGATGGATGATTTGCATATTATGATCATATGCAAGATAGTAAAACCACAAACTTATTAGTATTCACAGTTAAGGTACAGTTAATTTGAAACTGAATAGGGTTTGACACTGATGCCTTACCACTGGCCTCAAGCTTGTAAATTTCCAACTGGGCTAGGGGAAGATGCTTTAGTATATGCCTCACTGAGACACTGGTAGGTAGTAATTGTCAGTTTTTCTGCTATGTTTTGCAATATCCAAAAATATAGTTGGGTAAACTGTAAAAACATTTCCAGTATAAGTTCATTGTTAATTTTTTTAGGGCAAGCTCTTTGCCAATTGTAGAATTCAAACAGTAAAATGTATGCTATCTTAGTGTCCTTGCCTTTTCCTATGAAAAAATTATCTGCACACTGATATCAAATGACAAAATTAAAAAAATCAAAAATAATAATCAATCAAAATTAAAATAAAACTGCTATGAAATTATTTAATACCACAACATATAAATTACTTCAGGACTGTTTCATTACAACATACATGACACAACAGAATGCACAGAGAACATCTTTTGTGAACATTTGTGTTCATTCATTTTTTAATGCAAGAAATTACAGAACTTATTTCTATTTAATAGTGCCTTCTGTAGGTGTTGTGTATTTTGATATGGAACAGTCCTCTTTAGCAGGTACATATAATTTGGAAACACACATTAAATTACTTGTTATATCTTTTTACCCATCAAAAGTTGAAACAATACTTTACTATTTTGAATCTATCGAAATCTCAATCACTTTCAATTTCAGATGATTTTAAAACAATTCTAATTTGTTTCCATATTATATATCCACAGATTAAATGCATTTTATGGACAATAAGAATCCCAGAAAATAATTACGGACTAATCTTAACCTAATAACTATGCTGTTTCTTGGAAAATTTTCGCTCATTTCTTGATTCAAATAAAATTTCCAATCTATCATTTTGAGCTAATTTAATCTTTTAAAAACAGAACTAGGGACAAAAAAATGGTGAAAATTAAACCTTGCTACCAGGGTAAAAGTCTTAAAGACGACCCTAGAAATTAACTAAATCTAAAGTAAACTCAGCAAAAATAAACCACTTTACAATCTTCCTTAAGAGACCCTAACTAATTAAATTTGAAATTATATTCCAACATAATATAAACTACACCTGAGGCCAAAAATAAAATTTAAATTGTTTGGTGTTGCCTACCTACCGACCTAAAAAGCAGCCTACTCGAAAAAAAATTATGACACAAATCATTTCAAATTTTATTTCAAAGATTTTTTCCTGCTCTAACATTGTTCTTTTTGTCTAAACCATGTAACTTGTGCTGTTGGCCAAAAAAAATAATAAAATCCCTCTCTCCCTACCCAACCCTACAAGGCACAAGTAGGCAACATCAAACAAAGAAAATGTTAAGGGTGGCCTAAGTTAGAGTCAGTAATCAAGCAATCATTTAAGAGTGTAAGAAATTCCCTTTTTGTTACAAGTGAAAGAAACTGAAAAAAGACTAAAAACTTTTACACAAGTGGAAGAAACTCCCTCCACCTTCAGTTGTCCATAAAATGCATTAGAAATACTGATAACTGAGAAAAATAATAATATAATAAAAACATGTATCTAAAATAAATCAAAACAGCTTAAACCTTGAATCTTTGTGCTTTTTGAATAATTGATTTTTTTCATGGTTTAATATAACACTACAATATATGTACCAAATTTAATGTATGGTAAAAATTTGTAATAATGACCATTTAACCATATAATGAATTGTATAAAGAAGGGTGGACATAAGTTGTTCCTCTTTTGAAAATGTGCAGTGTGTATTTAAAAAAAAATCAATCAATTTTCAATAAGTTATATTGAAGTAAAATCTTCACCAAACTTTTGCCTCTGAACATAGTCATTATAAATAATTTCTGAATATTTTTTGGAAAAATTGTATCTATCCAGCACTGATAACAGAGAAAAAATGAAAAGGAATGACCTATGTCCACCAGCTGTATATCATTATATAATGGTGTTTAATTTGGCATTGCATAAAACTTTAAGGGGGCCTCCATGGCTAAGTGGTCTAAGTAGTTCATCTACTGTATCACTAGCCTGTCAACAATGAGGTTATGAGTTTGAACCCTGCATGTGGCAGGTGCGTTTGACTCCAATTTTAATTGACTAGGATTGCTAGTTTTCCTGTCGAAGGTAGTGGTTTCCTCCGGGCACTCTGGCTTCCTCCACCAATGAAAACTGGCTGCCAAGGTTTATAGTCAAGAGTGTTGAACGTGGCTTTAAACACCATCAAACAATCAATCGCTCTGAAAACTTTAACTGCAGATTTTTGTTTTTATTCAATATTGTTATGTAAATGACGGAACATGAACATATTGAAGCCATTGACAAAGGTCAACAGATTCTGCCTTAACTTATTGTCTTCATACACAATGTAAATGTTCTCCTGCTTTTTTTCAAAGGGACACAATTTTAGAAAACACCTCCAAGCTGACAAGTTGAACTTTCAAATCTAATTGTATTCAACAATTTTTAGAATGTCCCAAAATAATCACGTCTTTTTTTCAAATAAAACTCAAGTTATCATTTTAAAAACCATAAATTTGGCTGATTTTTCTTTTTTTTTCAATATAAATTTCATAGAAAAGCTCTGATAATCAAAATCAAACTTTTATAATTATTGTTAATTTCCTTACTGCAATTTATATTCAGTCATACTTCTTCCAAAATGTAACTTAAGGATGATTCTCAAAGTATATTTAAAATATGTCAGTTAGTTTTGAACAGATTGACTTTGGGGTCACTATATGATATTTAGAATTTTCTTCTTATGCAGCATAAAGACGATATTGAGATAGCTTTACTCAAAATGCTTTAACAGATTTAAATACACAAAAAAGCCAAAGTTTATGCAAAAATAACACAAGAAATCAAAAGCTAAATATAAAAATCATTCCAAAAACTAATGCAAAGACAAATTACAAACTCCTTACTCTGCACTGCTAACTACTAAGTAAATACCAAAAAATCAGTGCAGCAGCACTTTATTAATTTTTCTTTATTATTTTTTTTATATTGTAAATTCAGAAATTTTTGTGATAATTGCGACAGGATAAGATTTCGCAAATATAAAAACTCACTTTATAAATATTGGTGGGTTTATTAGTATGGAATATTTTCTGAACTCGCAATAACTAATCTCACATTTTTGTCCATGGTTCAACAATGAAATAATAAATGCATGCAAAAATTTCTAAATCTACAGTCTAAAAATAACCTGTTTATATTAATACAGACAATTTTTTTTTTTTTTTTTATTGCTTTCCTGTCAAGCCTTTTAATATGGGATGTAAATTGTGAAAATAGTTTTCAAAGTATTAATGATTCATTTTTGTAAATGACCAATGCTTTATGACTTAAAATCCTGTGGCAAATATTTCATGCAAATTAATAACCACCTTTATAGACATACGAAATTTGAAAAACACAGGTTGCAACCTCTTTGTGTTTCTCAGTGTCTGTTTGAATTACCATAGCAACTATTAATATTCCTAGCAAGCCAATAGAAAACCACTGGCATTACACCAAATAATCCCATTACTAGCCAGCACCACAACATAACATTTAGCTTTGTACATTAAATTCATTAAAAGAAAACCAAGGGCTACTGAAAATATCAAATCTTACAATTTATCTGTAAAAAAAAAAAAAAAAAAAAAAGAAAAGAAAAAAAAAAAAAAAAAAAAAATTTACAACAGCTGAAAATTAAAGTAATCACAAAGAAACTAACATGTACATGAATTGGCGGAAATTAATGCAAAATACATAGGAAATGTTAATTTATTACAGAAAGTAAATGAATAACATGCTTATGATGACTTTTAAATTAAATGGAGACAAAAGTTACATACTGCAAAGGTTAAGAATGATTTAAAATGCAATATATGTATATTAAAAAAACACATGTCTACTAAGTATACCACTACCATCAAAAGCTATTGTTTCAGAGGAAGAACTATTCTATACTAGAATGAATGCTAATAATGATGTTATGCAGAAGTAAAGAAAGTTAAGACGATATTCAATATGCATCTCTGGTTCTAATTCAGGAATAAACAGAATAAATGTTATTTGAAAATAAAGGTTTAAAAAATTTAATAAAATTATAAATTTATCAATATACTACCTAAATAATAAAACTCTAAAGACAGGAACTCCGGTATGTCTAGGTTTGGCAAGTGACCAGTTTTTCTGAGATTTTAGTGTGTTTAAATTAGTAATAAGTGAATAAGGAAAAGGATCGGCAGGGATTGCAAATTGTGTATTCATCGACCATTATCATTTCCTTTGACAGGGAATCATTAAATAAATGAGAAGCATGGGAAGTAATCCAAAAGTATGGGAGATAATCCACAAGAAACTTTTACAACTACAACAGGAGTCATTTAATAGAAACATATCACAGGAGTTATCAATAGGCTGAATACATATTGACATTAATATTGTTATCGAAACAAATATTATTCGTAGAAAAACAGTAAAAAAAAAAATCGGATAAAATTTGGATCTACATAAAATCGGGTAAAAAGTAGTTATGATGATATTTTCTACTTTCCGTTCATTTAGTCTATTTCAATGAATTGTGGGAGAAAACATAAACTTTGTGATTAGGAGATAACTTTTGGGGGTATGGCCAGGATTTTGTAATTTCAAATGCCGCCATTGATTACTATATAGTGTCATTCGATTTTCACTTTAGTCAATTATAATTGAGACTTAGGGATAGAATCATGTACAAGTCCCAGATTATAATAGTTTTAAAGGAATCTTTTTTCCATGTTTTTTATATAACATGTAATGTTGTCTTTTGGGCCCTTAAATTTTTAAAGAGATTTAAGGTACAAAAAGTACCAATTAAAATAAGTACACTTTTGAAAATTAATACTTTTACAGTAATTCTCATCTGCATGTGCAAAACTATTTCAAGCATTTTCTTTTGGATACAAATACTAATTAACAGTGTAACCGTAAACCATTACATAATTTCGTATCTTTGCATGCTGTGTACAAAGTGAAAAAAAAACATAAAGCCAAATTTAGATATATATATTCCAAAATGTTGCACATGTGCAGAGGGCTATGCAGTGACAAAATACATACTACCGGTAATACCTTTTACGAACCAAACCTAGACATTATAAGCATGGGGAACTTTCACACAGTACTAAACCTACCTGTCGAGATCTGCATCAGTTATATTTAACAAACCAGAGTGGAGGCTACGAGAACGATGATATTTAGGTTCCGTACTAAAAAATAATTAATTTATATACATTACTGTAGACAGAACGGGGAATATTTATATAATTTAGAATTTTGGTAAAGAATATAAAAGCAGTTGAAGACAAAAGAAAACAAGATCTAGCAATAAGTCAGTAAATATTTTTACATCAATTATGAGAGAGAAGAGTTTAGGCAGTATCCAGGCATTTAGATTTAGAAGTAAAGATTGCATGCCAGGTTATCAAAATATGACAATCTTAAGCAGTATAAAACTTCCTATCTCTAACTTCAACTAACTATCTGTTTTTTATTAATACACATGTAGCCTTAAATTTCGTGTCTTTTGATAAAATCTAATATATAAATAAAAACGCAACATTTAGGTAAACATTGAAATTTGCATCTTTTTATTGTTAAAAATGGAATGAAACTCTACTACATTTAATCATGCCTGATGTCTAGAACTATTTACAACACTAAAAGTATTCTTACTAGTTATGAACTCATGCACTTTTTATTCTTTTCAAACTGTTTTGGATCGAAAAAATTCGTAAGGGTTCCACGGAACCCAGTGTCTCGCCTACTTTTGCTGTTAATCGCAGGCTCAACAAAAATGAGCAAAAAAATTAATAAAAATATTCCTCTCTATACTATATTTTCATTGTAAGTAGCTTCTGTCCAAGTTTGGTAAAAATCCAGGATAGTTTATGAATTTAATAAATGTTTTAAAAACTTAAACTGCAGACTGTATGTAATGTTAACTGGAAGAAAAACTAAGTCCATTTATAAGTAAAATACGGAAAAAATAGAACAAAATTTTAACAAAATTTCCTTCTAGATACTAGCTTTTAATAATAAATAAGCTTCTGTCCAAGTTTGGTACAAATCCAGGATAGTTTAAAAAAGTTGTTAAAATTTTTAAAACTTTAACCAGAGTGAATGTAAATGTTAACTGGCAGAAAAACTAAGTCCATTTAAAAGTAAAATTCAGAAAAAATGGAATTTTTTTTTTACAAAATTTACTTCTGGATACTATCTTATGATCATAAACAAGCTTCTTCCCAAATTTGGTAGAAATCCAGGATAGTTTAAGAAAGTTATTAAAATTTCAAAAACTTTAACCACAGAGTGAATGTAATGTTTCTTGGCAGAAAAACTAAGTCCATTTATAAGTAAAATACACAAAAAATAGAATTTTTTTTTACAAAATTTACTTTTGAATATTATCTTATGATCATAAACAAGCTTCTATCCAAGTTTGTTAGAAATCCAGGATAGTTTAAGAAAGTTATTAAAATTTCAAAAACTTTAACCACAGAGTGAATATTTGTGGACGCCGCCGACAATGGAATGTAGGATCACTATGTCTCGCTTTTTCAACAAAAGTCGAAGGCTCGACAAAAAAAACAACTAAAACAGCAAAGAAGCCAATGAAAAATCAAATAAATTTGTATTAGCTGCAACTAAATTCAAACAGACACTTTTCTATGAACACATAAAGAACAAATAAATAAATTGTTAGCATGTGATATATGTGTTGTGTACCTTGTAGGTGATTCACTGAAATTACACATAAGAAGACACATTGATTAAACTGTAGATACTAAAAATGTATAATGAATAATTTAAAAGGGCATTTAAATATTTGGACTATTTGGAGACTTTTGAAGGACATTTGAAAAAACAATCTTTGGGACTAAATATAAATATATTACTTTTCAATTACCATGATTACTATATTTTTCTTAAAATGTTTCCAAATTTTTTAACATGTTTCCTACTTTAGCACATGTTACTCTAGTATTGAATATAAAGAAAGAACAGAATTCCAAACTGAAAACAATATTTTAAAGAAATATATGAAAACCTTATAGCTAATCAAATGAAAACAGGTTTGGCAAATCTTAGCTAAATAAAATATAAAAATAATCTGAATTCAGCCATTCCACCTCAAAAATAACGATTACCTAGCTTGGAGTAGGCCTTGTAGAAATCTGTAAAGATTTCAAAAATTAAAATATATTGAATAATATGCATATAGGATACCAGTCCTTCTGATAAGAAGATCAAATGGACTTTTAACAATAATTGGTCTTTGAAAAAAAAATGATTAATCAAAATTCCAATATAAATGCAATTGTAAACAAAACAAGGCCATTCTGCACATTTGGGATTTTCTACACTGCACACTAATCCAATAAACATTCATCTCATCAAAAATGTTAAAACAATGAGATGCGACAGAGAATTAATTCCATACCTTTCATCTTCGAGGAATTCTGGATTATTATCCGTGTCATCTAAATTCTCCATACTGCATGACATTTGTATTCCATTCTTAGCATCTCTACTGTAAATACACAAATACACATACAGGAAATAAAACATGTTCAAGTATTTGTTTATGTGCCAAGAAAAAAAAAAATTAAAACTTTAAATCAACATAATATCAACATCTGTCTATTTATCAAGTTCAATTATGATAAGAAAAGACAATTACTAAACTATAACATATATTTTCAATTAATGATGCTAATTAGAATTAATGTGTAAATTTTGGCCAGAATCAATTTGCGACAATTATAGTTTTGAAAAAGGCATCAATTGTGCCACTCTCTAATTTTTCTTATGGTATTTATTGCGCCAAAAAATGATATCAAATTGCGTCACATTTACCTGTTTATTTTTTTACCTATATTATACATGTAACATGTACTATAATTAACCTATTGACTTTAGATTAAACTGAACACTCATCAAAACTAAGAAAACTCACCAATAAATAAATTTATAGATGAATCTTGTACAGTTAGTTGTTTTGAGTAGGGAATTAGACATGAAACTAATACTCAAAAAATTGAAAGGCAGATTTTTGTGAACAGCATGCAAATGAAAAGCAACTGATATGTTATTATGTTATCTGAGCGACATTCGAAAATTATCAAATCAGAGCTCTTCAAAATCGATGAAGAAAATTTAGAAAAGAAAGATTTGAAATATGTTTGTCAATCCATATACAGAGAAAGAAGGATACAGCAACAAGGTCAGACAAAAAATGGAGCAGAATTTCACAGAATGCTTGATATTGGCAATGTAACAAACAAAGATGATGACTTGACTTTGTTTTGTGTAATGATTCAGAAAGCGGGATAATTTTATTTGGATGCAAGGCCAATCTGAAATTTCTTTGTAGTTTTTTTTGAATTTTTTGCTAATGGTACTGAAAAATGTTGTCCAAAATATTTCAAACAACTCTATAACTATACATGGCTTTAAGAATCACCATTATATTCCATGAGTATTTTGTCTTTGTCTGTTTCCAAGAAAATGTTTTCTTTACTTGATAAAAGCTGCAAGAAATTTAATCTGCCAGTCCCAAGCCAACATAAAGTAGGAGGGAAGTCAATCATTAAGTAGATAAATACATGTAAAAATAAATGGTGCAATTGTATGATTATTTTATTGGCACAAATGTCACCTATAGTTTTCAAAATGAAGGAGTGTGGAAGTAGCATTGGCACAAATGATTTCATTTTTAGCACAAATAGGTTTTGGCCTAAATTTTCATCCATTCTGTCAAAAAAATTAACAGTAGGAAGACTTTATTTTTGAACTTCAGAATACAAGTAATTTTTTCAATGAATAGTAAGACATCCATTGAAGGTTGTGTTTTTGACAGTTTGCTTTAAAAAAAAAATCCTGACACAAAATCATTGTATTCACTAAATAGTTTAACACTGAAACTAGTAACATACCCCCAGAACTTTGGTGATAATAAAAACCAGCCATGAAGAAGATGATTTACTCAGTTTTTCAATAATGACAAGACAAAATTCACACTACTGTAGATTCAATTATTTCCGTGTGTACCAATTTTCATGGATTGAGGAAAACTTATTTTTATAGTGGATATATATAGATTCCACCACTGCAACAAGTGTGTTTCGATATTTCTCCACTCGAGACAGTTAAATTTTAATATTTAAAGCGCGAGGCTTGCCGAGCTTTTTAAATAATTAAAATTTAACTGCTGAGAGTGGAGAAATATCGTAATACACGAGTTATAGTGGTACAATCTGTTTCTCTAATGATTTTTATCCTTCCTTTTCAAAGATTTGCAGAAAGTTGTGTTCTTTATATGTGACATCATCAGGCATGGTCCCCTTTTTTCGTGACGTCACAATAGGAAATTCAGAAGAAACCAAGAAAATTTGACTTCATAATTAAATTTTTACCAATCATTTGCCGAGGACAGATATTTCACTAGTGAGGAGAAATATTTTTCTCACACCGATCAAGAAATGTGAAAATAGCACAAAAATTAGAGAAAGTTAATTTCATGGTTTTGCCAAAGTCTGCATACACATCCTATAGAGAATGTATAATTCTTAGAACATTTTGAATTTGTGGTTTACCTATACCCATGAAATCCACGAAAATTGATATTCCATGAATAAAAAAAGAATCCACGAAAATTGATATTCCATGAATAAAAATGAATACACGAAAATTGATATTCCATGAATAAAAATGAATCCACAGTATTTGAAATTTTAGTAAAAATAAATAGTGCACAGGCTAAAATATCTCACCAGTTTTTAAGACTACAACAAAAGACTTAGAGATAAAGTTCATGTATCAATAAACAATGAAATAGTTGTACTACAAATGTATTACCATTGTAATTAGAAAACTGAATGTTAAACATTTAACACTGGAAAGTAGTCAAGGTTTCATGACTTCTGAAAGACAGATACATCCTTCAATGATTCTATAGACCAATAAAGTTACCCTAATACACACAGTTATTGAAAATCTGACCTGTGAATGAAACTTAACATTGAACTTTTTATTTATTTTTTACGTATTCATTAAAGAGGTCAAGGACAAGCGTAAGAAGACATGTTGCTGAAGCCCGCCTCCGGGTGCAGGATTTTCTCACTGTGTTGAAGACCCATTAGTGGCCTTGGGCTGTCTTCTGCTCTTTGGTCGTGTTGTTGTCTCTTTGACACATTCCCCATTTCCATTCTCAATTTTATGTTGCATACAATAGGAGGTAAAACCTAAAACCTATAAAATTATTTAAACTGGTCACAATTTTCTAGCCTTTCTATGAGTTTTTAATTATCATCCTGCTAAATTAACCTAAAAATATTTATTGAAAAAATAATCATAAATTTGTTCATCTCACTAATAACAACTAAGGTTTCAGTCAAGTTTTTGAATTTACTGTTCTGATTTTTGTGGTAATGCTTACAAAATCATATTACATATAGCACAATTTCTAACATAATATTATTCCATTATCAAAGAACTGAAATAATACCAAAACTTAAAACAGCTTTTTTTCAAATTTAAGAAAAAAACACTATTTGTCTTTGGTACATTTTCAAAGTTTTCTATACATCCCCTTTTTGTCATTGGTACATGTTACTCCTTCTTTTTTTAAAGTGTTCAAAATATTACCTTTTTTTCCTTGGTACATGCAATTCTAACTTTGGCTTTTGTTTCTTCTTTTCTGCTGCTGGCACTAAAATTTTAAAGTTGTTAAAACTAATCACAGCAATCAAAATTTAAGAATCTTGAAAACCTGGCACAACGTAAAAACTATAAATGTAAATTGTGTCTTATATTTGGCAATTTGAATATTACCCTAAGAGCAGAATTATGGGTGAAATGAGTTAACTGATAACCAGTAAATCATAGAATCCTCAAAACTACCTAGGGTAGAAATTTGAAACTTGAATCATTAGTCACATCACAGATGCAACATTGACCAATGGTATAAAATTTGTATGCTATCAATCTATGTGGACGGTCAGTTGTAGATGCAATGGTGCCAAAATATCCATAGCTACCATTTCCAATCATCTTATGCTGAGACTTAAGTTATCAATAAATTTACACTTCTTTCCCAAGCCATCCCTCTAAACTCTACTACTATGTAATATAAACTTACTTGATATACTTCTTAAATACTCCACATCACTCACTCGTTTCTTCTTCTTCCTGGGACTCAATGTTCTACAAATGTAGAAGGTATAATTAAGTAACATCCGGACAACCAAGCAGAAAATTTTAAATGCCATAAAAATAATTATTTTTCATATTCAGTTTAAGATACAAGTGTAAAAATACCATTTGATTTTCCATTAAGGCCCTATTTATCAAAAGATATAAATTTTATAAAAGTGCAGCAATATGGCCACTTGGAGTATTTCTTTTTCCTTGATCAAAATTTTCATGTAATATGTAATTTTGTACTTCTAGGGTGGTGAAATAATTCCATCTCACATGAAAGGTGAAAGACAATATTGACTTGAAACTATTACTAAACAAACTTTAAGGAAGCTCTGTCAAGAAGAGCAGGAAAACAGATAACTTGATGGGTCAGTGTAGATGAAAATTAAATGCCGATATAATTCAATGGCAAAACTATAACTTTATGAAACTCTTTACATCCAGGAACTGCACTGGTCTCCAAATAGTTGTCTCCTCAAGTCTGTACCAAGCCAGGAGCCTGTAATCTAGTGGTTGTCATCGGTTCATGTCTACCATAGTGTAGAAAATCAGGTTGTTAGTTTCTCTTTTGAATTGTTTCCCATTTTTTTAACCCCATGCCTTATATATATTACTATACGGTATGTTTTTCCCTCATTGTTGAAGGCCATACAGTCCCCTATAGTTGTTTACATCCTCTTCTTTGGTCTCTGGTGGATAGTTGTCTCAATGGCAAACATACAACATCTGCACAATTGACCAATAAATAACTTACTCTACAATAAATGGATGTTTAAGTAATTCTGTTGCAGTATCTCTTTGTGCAGGTTCTGGCTGGAAACACCTGTAATGTACAAATAATCATATCTTATGAAACTTTAAATCAAACAATTATTGCAACATTTTTATTAAAACGACAAAATGACAGGATGCAGAGTTCACGAAAATGGTCGGTCCTGTCGGTCAAAATGAGGTTCGGACCAGTATTTTGAAGGCTAGTGCCGGTCCCAATGACCGATGTAAAAACGGCCGTTGTAGTGCATACTTCGGCACTTTTTTTACATCGGTTATTAGATGTACCGCAACTGTTTCAAATAAGTGTTTACATCGGTTATCAGATGTATCCACTGCCAATTTCCGGTACTGGTTTACGGATTTATTATAAACAAACCAAAGCGGCGATCTACACGTGGCCTACTTAATTTGTCCATAGAGCCATCCCTGGCAAACAATCGCCGATTGAACCCTACAATGGAGCAAACAAATACTGTAACAGCCGAGAAAGTGATTCAGATGATGAAATGGATAGTGAAGATGACTTTAAATAAGAACAATCAGAAGACCTGAACTGGTCTTTCATTGTTAATTTGCCTGTGGGTGCGAAGAATAAAACTAATATTAATAAAGTTATTTTACGATAAAATATGTTATTAATTTTTTTTCAGGATAAAATTGAGAGATTTTGTAGGACTGGCTAAAATTTTGTAGGACTGACAAATAATCATGCTTTGTCGGTCCCATGACCGACGGGTCAAAATAAGTTTTCGCGAACTCTGAGGATGAGATACATCTGATCTTGTTTTGTGTTTTTCCATTCCCTGTTTTAAAGAATCTCATTGTTTACTACTTCTCCATAACCTTAGAACAGTAAATGTTAATTCCACCAAACTCAACCTGTATTCATTGTTAATGAAATGGAGATATTTCAAGAGATATCGTAAGTGGTAGAGAGGCATGTTCAAGAAGTAGTAAAACTATTGTCCAGAAAGTAAGATATATAAGAGAGTGAAAAATAAACAAATAGACAGACACACAGATGGCCATGTAGATCACTTGATACACTAAAATCTTTTTATCAGTTTAAAATGCAAATTCCATGAAAAATTTTTAAATTTTAAATCATAAATTTTTTTTCTACATCTAAATATAAGTGGGGTGGTCTATATTATCAATTTATCATGTCCCCTCCACCTATAATGTAGAGACACTCAGTAACATATAAATGATGTGATACAATACCTGAGAAGAAAATCTTTGGCATTGACCGACATTGTTTCTGGAATTTCTGGATGCATTTTATAAAATCCTACTTTAAACATAGCTGCCTCTGGGCTTTCAAGCTAAAATCCACAAATGAAACTTGATATAAAATAAATTTATAGTAACATTTAGAAGAAAAGAAATCTCTTAAATCAAAATCATATGCAATCACAGCTATAAACATACAGTAAACAAACTTGTCACATTTTTTGAATGTCTGCATAAATGATGCTATAATAGTGTTTTTCAAAGTTCATATAAACTTTTAGAGTTCTTAAACAAATACAAGAAAAGCAATTAACTGTAAACTTCATCCCATATATAAAAAGTAAAATAAAATAAATTTTACTATTCATTTAATTGTACACTTTTTCAAATTGGCAAAACTGATTTCATTTGATGGTATATGAAAGATAATTCTTGTGTTAATCAAATGCCAACAATGACATACCTCAATAAATGGAATTTTACCCGTTGCCATCTCAATTACTGTACAGCCAAGAGACCAGATATCAGCCTATAACGAATAATCACATTATATTATTTTCATTATTTCATACGCGTGACATAATGCAAAATCAGTCAGTGCAATGATGTTCAAAAGTTCATGATGAAAAAAGATATTCAAAATTGATTCAATATATCATAATTCCTTATATTTTTATAAGAGGAAACAACCATATCTCTTGGTTTTTGTGTCATTATGTTGGTGTCTCATTGATGTATACCTCACATCTCTTTTTATTCATACTTTTAAGGAAAATATACAGTCAAATATAACATATTCTCCTATAGAAAAAAAATGAAGTGGCATGAACATCATTAAGACAGCAGTCTTCAAAATAAAATTTTCCAGCCTGAGGTTAATTCATTGAAAATTTTGAATAGATTCTTTTGGCCTGTAGTAAAAATTCTTACAGGTCTGATAGAAATATTACAATCCTGGGCTAGTGGGCCTGTTGCTAAGTCTGAAGACAAGAAAGTCAAGCTCTGTATAGCCCATAGTCCAGACAACTTGCGAATAGATTCAATAGACCACAAAGATCAGCAATCAACACCAAATTCTTTAAAAGATTTTCACATTAAGATATAAACATATGTTTAACCCTGCCACCACAAGTCCCTGTGACAAGTCGGGAGCCAGTAATTTAGGGGTTCTTGTGTGTTGCCATCTGTTATATTTGATGAGGGGCGTAAAGGGGGGGGGTATCTGCACGGAAGAACACGAAATAAAATTGCCATTTCAGATGAACGAAAAATTAAAAATTTCTTGCACGTTGATCTTTTTACCGATTTCACGAAACACAGTGAATAACGAACCTTTTTCACAGCTGCACGTGAAACAAAAATGGCAAAAAACGTTGCACGAAAATAACCCTTTACCACCCTCTTTGATTTTCTGTTATTGTTTTGTTATAATTCAGGCCGTATTTTTTCTTTTGAATTGTTTTGACATATTGTCATGTCAGAACCTTTCTGAAATGTTGATAATACATAGAACAACTAACAGTATCAAATAATAATTAATATTTCTTAAATGAATAAATACATACTGAAGGACCATATCCTCTAGCACCTTTATCTATAACTTCAGGGGCCATATATTGTATTGTTCCTGTAAAAAATACAACATTTTCATGATTTTGTCAACAGAGGGCCATGTTCTTTATGGTTTATTTGAGGGCTGTTCCATTTAAACAGATAATGATTTTTAAGACAGTTTATAAACTACTAGCATTAAATGCAAATATCTTGCAATGCTTAAAGCTATAAGAAATTCTATTTCTTTCAATGTTGCACGACTTTTCTTTTGGATAAAAGTAATCTATAAATCACTTATAAAAGTTAGAACTGATACCAATGCTAAAAAGTTGAAATCAGAGATTAAACAATTTATTAGAAAAAAAAAAAATTGTTGTTGAATTCACATTTTTTTTACTGAAATGGAATAGAGTTCAAATTTAGTTATCAGAAATGATGATTTTCAATCTTACCTGCAAATGTATCAGCACATGGATTAATACCAGATAAACGTTTCGAGGTTCCAAAGTCAGAGATCTTTAGTACACCACTGTATGTATTGACCAGCACATTATCTCCCTTGATGTCTCGATGGACAATTTTATTATCGTGCTAAAAAAAGACCAAATATGAAACATACAAGTTTAAATATGGAAATCACAATTTTAAAAAAGCTGCTAGGTGATTTTTAATGAGTAAGTAGGTGTTAAAATTATACAGCATCTGAGCATCAACTTTACCTGTTATAAATTTTGGCCTTTTGGTCAATTAAGGCAAGCACCAGAAATCCACGGCTAAAGATTTTTTTCCAAAACATCTGAAATTGATATCCTATTTTGTTGTGTTTGACAGCACCTCTTTAGAAGTGTGCATCCTTAATTACACGTACAATGTAGAAATATGTTTCGCTCTTTTCTCAAGGTTGTACAATGACCTGCGATTGTTTACATCTTTGGTCTTTAATGGTGTAGTTGTCTAATTGGCAACCAAACCACATCACCTTACTTAACAAAGATTAGAAATTTTATTTCTGTAAAAAAACATGTTTCTAATATCATTTGTTACATTAAATGGAAATTAACTTGGTCTAGATGAAATACTGTTGATTAATTTTTGTGGGAACCAATTTTCCTGGTATTTTCATGAATAATTTGATTTTGTGGTTTTGCAAAAGTTTGTATACAAGACTATAGACAATTTATACTTTGTTGAACATTCAAATGTGTGGTTTCCCTATCAGTGTTTTCCATTCAGCATTTAAGCCGGGTGTGCCGACCACGTTTCCATTTTAGGAGGTGGTCTGCTTTTTTTTTAAATTCCGGATTTTTTTTCGGTTCCGCACCGTAAAAATTTAAATACTAATCGCGCCTCGCATTTGTTTTCATTGACAAAAATGGCTGATCGTCAAATTTCAATGTTTTCTTTTTATTAATCAGGGGAAGAGAAAGGCAGGTGACGATGGTGAAAAGGAAAATTCTATGCCAAATAAGTCAACTAAAACGGATAGTTGTATTGAAATTGTTGAAATTGAATAAAAAGTATCAAACAACGGAAAAGGCACGCAAACGATCGCGAAGATGAACATGTTGGGAACAATCCCCCAAATGAGGGATATCCCTTAAATGAGGGACTGTCTCTCTGGCAAGAGGTCATGTCAATACTGTTGAAGAAAAGAAAAGAGAAAAACTTAGATTTTTTAACTTAAAAGGGGGAAAATCGTTATATTTGGAACAACTTTTTTAAAAGAGGGTCCATTTATTTTTAATGATAAAGCAGATATAAGTCCAGGAATATTACAAATTTCTTGGACATGTTTTGATTATATAATACCAAATAGATGTATAGTTCTTTGTGAAAAGTTTCTGTAAATAAAATAAATATGAGTTCATTTCGTGAAATGTACCCCTCATAAAAGGGGTAGTCATTACATTGAGAGTTAAACTACCCCTCATTTGAGGGGTTGTTACCAAGCTGATAAATATGAATAGGACTTTAAATGGCTAATCGGCACAGAAGGAGGATATTTCTGTTCTGTGTGCCAAAAATACAACACTAAAGCGAGGAACAGGACAGAAACTTGGATCGATAAGCAATGTATATGCAGGAGAAGGGAGTCCTGCAAAAGCCATATCTGCTATCCGAGATGCTAACAACTAATTTGTCAAATAAAAGGCTAGCAATGATAGCAAAGAACGGTTCAATTTTATTAAATGTGAATACAATACTAATCCTTCTTTTTGTGTCCCAAAAAACAGTAAAGTAAAACCGTGTTGGAAATGTTAAAAAAAAAAAAAAAAAAACCGGTTGCAAGTGATTTTTTCAAAACACCCACCTTACCTTAGTGAAAAATGGAGAACACTGCCTATGACCACTAAATCAACGAAAAATTGGTACCCCACCAATAATTTTGAATCCACAGTATGTGAAATACCATTACAAATGTATCAAACATACCAGATATTTCAGACCATCCAGTATCTGTTTTGTATAGTAGGCTATTGTTGTTTCATTATCCTTCAGTGGGCCCCATTTACTGTGTAATAATTGTGATAAACTTCCTGTAGAGGGAAAATATAAATAATAAAAAAAATTTCAATTAGCTGAATATTTTTGTGTTATAGATTCGGATTACATGCAAGTTATAATTATGTACACTCATAATAATGATTTGTTTTTCTCTTAATTTTGGAAAAACACAATTAAAAGGAATCATACAAGCATTAAAAAGGCTAATTCCATATAAACCCTAACACAACTCTGTCTAGCTTGATTATATGTAGCCATCTAATGGAAGGACATAGTTTTTTTTTTGCAGAAATTGCTTGCTTAAGATAATCTTTGTTGACTCTGCAACTTATTAGTTTAATATGTAACACTGAAAGGAGAAATTTGTTGTAAGAGATAGTTTACTTTGACAATGAATTAAAGTTTGTAAGACGTTTTCTTTATAGTAAGAAAAAGTTCTATGATGATGATGATGATTGATGGCTGTTTAACCTCCAGTGACAAATTAAAGGCAAATCAAGTATGAGAACTTGATATGTTAATGCCATATGAATAAACTCATCATAGATACTAGGATCAAAATTTATAAATATGGACCTTCCATATAAAAGAGTGACATGCTGAACTGGATTTTTAATGTGCTAGTTCATAAGGTAACAGTCTGCTGGAATACATGTCACCCTATCCAGTCACAGCATTCTGAATCTGAGTCAATCAGTCTCTGATCTTTCTCCTTAATGCACATGCTTATCAGAGAAGTAGCAAATACAAATTTTAAAGCCGTTGGCTTGACCTGGCTGTAGATCAAAACCAAGAACTCCCTCACTCAAGGCCAGCACCACTGCTATCACAAGATCATTGAGGCAATAAAATAGTTGAACACAAAAAAATTTAAATTTTTGTAACTACCTCCAGGAACTTGTTCCATAAATATTTTGAACAATCCATCCTCACTGGTAGATCCTAGATATTTAACAATGTTTTTATGGGTCAATTTACTTTGTAGTTTGATTTCTTCATGTAATGGCTGAACTTCCCTGAAAGATAACAAATTCCATTCAAATACTAAACAGTTTTATCCTGTTTCAATCAAATACTAAACACAGATATTTTTGTCATGATCCTGCATGTCACTTGTATTATGCTTACTACTATTTAAAATCATATCTTTTATTATTCACAAAAAGCTGAAAAAATGGCTTGTCATAAAATCACAATAATCAAACTCATTTCTATTTCATTCTTCAAAAATTGCAATAATAAATGCATGCAATAATTTCTGAATTTACAGTTTTAGGCCAAAAAAAATAATTCAAATAGGTAATGTCAAAACACATAATTAACAGCACCTGGTGATTCAAAAACAATAATACTTCGGCAAAAATTGTGTTTGCACAGATCTACCGAAACCCCAAAAAAAAAAACTACCTCAATCAGAAATGTTCTTACTGTGAATGTTTTTCCGGAACTTCCTTGATGGCTATTCTGACTTGTGTTTTCTTGTCTCTGGCAGCATACACGATCCCATAGGTACCTCTTCCAAGGACTACTCGGTTATTTTTATCATCTAAATCATATTCAAACTAAAAAACAAGAAAAAAAAAATTCTAAAAACTTTATAATTATGTATATGTTATAAGCTTTATGTAGCTAACCCCAAAATGTTTCTACTTTTGACTATTTTAAAGTTTATAGTTAAAATTACTAAAAACTACAAAATACAATATTTTATTTAGTTTCAAATATACACATATATTTAACCTCTTGTCATGTATGGTGCTTTCAGGCATGTTTGATTTGACACATTGTGTGTGCCTGTCTGCACATAAAGTGCTGTTTTCCTATCTATCAAGGACAATAACTCCTGAACAGCAAAAGAAAAACTATGTGATATTGAAATATCATCATCAGTAACAAGAGATTAAAATTTCAAAAGCAATGGTTGAGCAGTTCATACATAGTTGCCCGCGAACGCCATAAGTACAATTTTCCAATCCATCAAGGACCATAACTCCTCAACAGCAAAAATGAAAAATGTTAATATCAAACTTGATCTCCATTTTGTCAACCTCCATTTTGTCATCAGTAACAACATATTAAAATTTAAAAGCATTGGTGGAACAGTTAATAACTTATTGCAGAGAAACTGTTGGTAGTAGGCTTCTCATCCCATGCCTGCCATTTCAATAACTAGATTTTTCCTTGATTTGAAAAACCTGGTTAAAAATTAAAACTAAAGGTAACCGTTCTGATACTTACGTCAACAACTTCCTCTTCATCCATACTTGTAAAGATTTGAGCATTGGCCTGGTCTGATATCATGTCTGATACCATTGTATAAAAACTGAAACAATAAATAAATTGTTTATTTTTTTGTGTTTAATGCCACTTTCAGCACTATTGGTTATTTGTGGCAGCCATTTTTTATTGATGGAGGAAAAAACCACCAATTTTGGCAGGAAAACTGGCAATCCTAGTCAATTGAAATTGGGAGTCAAACGCACCTGTCACATGCAGGGTGCAAACTCACACCCTCATTGTTGACAGGCTAGTGATACAGAAGTAGAACTACTTAAAACACCGAGCCATCTAACAATAAATAAATGAATCTTCTGTAAATTTGATTATTTTTGTGATTTCAATACATTTACTATTCTTGTGGGGGTTTAATTTACGATTTGAACCATAAGTTTATTCTTCACATCAATGCTAATGCTTTCAACAAACTAATTGTTCGGGGGATATTTTTGTACGTGATTGTGAAAGAAGTAAAAATATCTCCTGCTTGAAAATTCCAGTTTCACAGTGTTTGACTTTCCATATAATTATGCTGTAAATACATATTTATCCTGTTAAAAGTATTTTTTTTTAAAGTTCTCCTAGAAAAGTATCTGTTGTTTAACCATGTCACTTTTACTTGTCAGTGATGCTCTTGAAGATTTAAACTTACAAGATAGTTAATTACTAAGGGCTGCTTCAGACTTAATTGCATGAGGGTGGGGGATTGGAGCCACTTTTTTTAGGACCAAAACCACCTATAATATAAAATTCAATTTACTTATAATTCTAACAAAATTCTAAAAAATGCAAACACAATTTATTAATTTAAGTGCCTCCCATTCCCCCATGTGTTTAATTCTGGAACAGCCCTAAGCACATTGTAAATCTGCTTTTGGTCTTCAGTTTATATAATATGCCAACAGGTCAAAATGTCTTATATTTATGGTTACCTTGAACATAAGTAGAGTATTTGTTTTAACTCAAAAACATTAATTTGCATGTAAAAAAGCACTAAATTTGTGCTTTCAATTTTTTACTCAATGAGCTTATGAACAAACAATCAGCTGAACATTTTCATTTTGCAGGGTATTTAACATATTAAATAGGAAGTCATATTTTCTTCTAGATTCATGCTACCTACCTTAATCTCTGAGATTCTGATGAAAAGAATATGTGAAAATCATCTGAATTTTCCATGACATATATAAATACTGCTCGACAATCTCTCTTATATAAACTGGAAATAAAATAAAAATATACTAGTTTTTGTTCTCTTCACTAGCTGAGGACAGTTAAAATGAATGAAAGAAGATATGATGTTAAAATGTCAATGGGACAGCAACCCAAGGGCACACAAAATTTCATAATATTCTTTGACTTTTTTTCATTTCCTAACTTTTAGCTTAGATTACACTAGCTGAAGTTTTCATGAAAATGCTTCTAATTTTCCAAAATGGATGAAGATTCAAGATGAAATAAGTCATTTTTAGAAAATGCTGCAAAATATTATTACATTGGTTGCAATGAATTACTGTGATTTCCCAACAAAATAAAAACTGATAATTTCACATGTAAAATATATCTGATAATTATACTCCTCTGACATCATATAACGAGTGTTGTTAAGACATCGTCATGACTTTGCATCAAAATGAAATAGGAATGCGTAGAAAAAGATATAGTTCCTTGAGCTTTATTTTTTATATCCATTGAAAAGCTCATGGCCAATGTGATAAAAAGAATAACTACTGGAAGAATAAAAATATCGAAAAATATTCAACTCGTGACTGAACATCACTGATTATTATCTCATGCGTTATGCACATTCATGAATTATTGTGGTGTTCGGTCATTTGTTGAATATTTTTACTATATCTAAATTCTTCGATTGTTATTCTATAATTATTCAGTCAGTGTCTGTGACTTTTGAACTGTAGATTGAAGACTTTTTTACTGCAATGAATTTTACTTAGGACTTTATTTTATACCTGACTCCTTTAATACTGGTAGCTTGGAATGTCCATTGTGACTGTTGTTTAGTTTCTGTACTTTGTGCTACATTCCATAGTCTTACTTCCTGCAAAACAAAATAGAAACTAAATGTGTGGGAATGACTGCTCACAAAAAAAATCTTGAAGGCATTTTTAGGAGAAGACATTTTCAAAGTCCAAACCCTATAACTTCAGCAAAAATCAGCTGAGCGGAACCAAACGTAAACTTGATCTGTAACTCATCATAGTAGACTCACATACTAAAAATCAGCACAATATGTGAAGGCATTTAGAAAAAAAGTCTGTATAACTTTTCGTTGCAGAATGACGAAATTGACAGAATGACAGAATGACGGAACGATGAATAAGGGTAAAACTATATAACCCTGACCTAAGTCGGTTGGGCCATATAAATATACACACTATGGATTCATTATTATTTGTGGAATACCAATTTCTGTGGATTTTGTAGCTATAGTCAAGCCATGAATTTAAATGTACACCGAGTACACATTATATTTAGGCTTGTCATTTTGGGCCCTTTATGGCTTGCTGTTCGGTGTGAGCCAAGGCTCCGTGTTGAAGGCCGTACTTTGACCTATAATTGTTTACTTTTTACACACTGTGACTTGGTTGGATAGTTGTCTCATTGGCACTCATACCACATCTTCTTATTTATATTGAAAGGATACTTTGACAAAACCACAAAAATAGATATAAACAAAAATGCAATATTCCCTGAATCCATGACAATTGGTATCCACGAAAAATAAATGAATCCATAGTAATATATAGTACTATGATAAATGCTGTTAACTTGTATCAGATTGGTCTTGGTAAAAATATCATTAAAAAAAAATTAGAATTTTTCAAGCCTTTGAGTAAGGAAATTTTAATTTCAAGAACAATAGTACAACACTAATGAAGATTTGAGAGCCTGAATTGCTCACCTGGCAAAAATATGCCATTTTGGTATTTATTTTCTCCGTTTTAAGATTAATTCTTTTTTCCAGAGACAAATTATAAATTTTTAAAATATACAGCTTTACAAGTGCATTCAAGTGAAATCAAAAACATGTCTAAATCTTGCATCCCCTACTTAATCGGGTCTAGAAAAAAAATATAAGTTAAGAAAAAATCACCCCATAACTTGAATAAATAGATCATTCACTGCAGGCACCACAATAAAATTTTACCTTATTTTCACCATCTGAATTAATCTGTACATAACTAGGCATAAAATTCTTTGTTGGTTCTAAAACCAGGACCTGTAATAATGATAAAAATTATATAATGTATTCATTCAGCGTCTTGAAGTCAGGTTTTGCTCCATAAAATTTCTAAATAATTTTCTTTCTTTAATAAAGATATGTATTAAAGATTAAGCTATGCTCAATTATACAAACAATGTTTCTACATTATCAAGCTGGATCTAGCACTAGAAAAACAGTTTCAGTACTACTTAAATTAATATCGCAATGATTCATATTGCCTTCACCATCCCTGTTCTGTAATTATAAACTTCCAAGTGGTAGCGTGTACAACTAACTGCTTGAGGTCCTGAGTTCAATCCATGTCCTGGTCACACACAAGACTTCAAAATAAGTATCTGCTGTCTCTCAACTAAGCATGCAGCATTTAGGGATAAGTGTAAAGGCTGGTCAGCTGGCAGTCAAAATAATTTGTTCAGGTAGGGTGATATGTCTTCCTCCAGGCTGCAACCTTGTTAACTTGCATTGTTAAAAATCTGGCTCAATGGCAATGTGTCTGTCTAGTTTTTCACACAATGTATTATTTTGATTTGGATATTTTAATTTTTTTATTTTGATTTGTATATTATATATTCTTTATTTTGATTTGTATATTATATATTCTTTATTTCGATTTGTATATTATATTTTTTTCATTTCGTTTTGTATATTATATTTTTTTCATTCTATTTTGATTTGTATATCATATTTTTTTTTTTTTTCATTTTGATTTGTATATTATATTTTTTTATTTAATTTTGTTTGTATACTATATTTTTTACATTTTTTACTACATCTACCTCTTTAACTGTTTTATTTTTTATAATGATACATTGAACTAAATGATTGTAAATTAACTATGTGTAAATATCTGTTTTTGATTGTATTTTATTGTAATTTGTATGTGTTGTAACTAACTGTGTCTACCCTCTTCAAATAAATGATTTATTATTATTATTATTATTACATGTATTATTATTATTATAGTACAAATCAGGGTTCATATCCATATATTAACAATTTGTTGTCCTGATATTGATGTAATATTTGTCACTGCACATAAAACACAAATTCATCATAATCATCATTCATAAATTTACAAGTCTCATATTTCAATCTCTCAATTATTTCTATAAGTTACAACCATCTTTAAAAATGTAATGTAAGTAACCCTGGTTTTAAATTTGACATTGCTTATTTTGAAAGTCAAACACAGCAAGTAGAATTGTTGCCAACATTTGGTAACTTAAGTTTTCTAAATTATTATCAAGTAAACATTAAAATTAACGGCTTTTAACAGCTTTTCTATAAAAGCATGCAAAGCCAACCTTTGATCGACTTGCTTGCTATGTTTGCTTGGATGTTTGTAAACAAAAGGGTAGGCGGAGTTTCAGTCTGTTTAATATATACTGGTATTTGATTGGACATTAAAAATTGCCATACAATGTGAAACTTAACATTTAAATGAAGTTAATGTTTATTGTCCAATCAAATTCCAGTATATAGTAAACAGACTGAAATAGACTACCTACCTGTTGTTTACAAACATCCAAACAAACATAGCAAGCAAGTTGATCAAAGGTTTGCTTTGCATGCTTTTATAGAAAAGCTGTAATCCAAGCTAGGATCTATGAAAATTTATTAAAGAGTTAAATTAAAACCATTCTTCTCATGTAAATTCTGAAACTGAACAATATGCTCAATTAACAATGGCTTAACTTCTTAAGAAAATGCCTGTACTAAGTCGGGAATGTGACAGTTTTTTTCCTTTCGTTCCATAGGTTGATCTAGTATAATGTTTGATTTTTTTCAGGTTTTATGGACTTCCCGTTTTTGAATTAGCCTTGGAGTAAGGTATTTTTGTTAATACTTTTTGTTTATATCATCAAAAGTTAAATGAGATTTCTAATAACACATTCCTGAATTCCCCTTCCCTGGTAATTTTTCAACTTTTATGGATGAATATAATACTTACTGGGAATGTTGTAACTGATGTTTCAGTTTTTGTTGCTTCCACAAAGAAATCCATCCAAAAACAGAATAACTGAAATGTACAACAATAATGAAATTTCAATTAAACAGCAACATGTACATTTGAATTGTGTGTAATGCATAACTATTATGTGCATTCAATATCTAGTGACAGTTTTAGTGTACAACTGATATAAAATATTTCCTTTTAATTAAATTTAGTTTTATATATTAAATATAATGTCAAGTTATTCTTTTTAATTTCTTTCAACAACATTTTATATTTGATATAAAACTAATTTTCAGTGAAAAGAATTAAATTTAGTATTATGAAATGCAAACATTTTGCCTGAAATTTCTTTTGAAAGAAATAAAAATAAAAGTAGAATGTGTCTGAGGACACCAATGCCCCACTCAAGCTTTGCAAAAAAATGGGATGGATGGACGGAAAAAGACGAAAGACAGAATGATGGAAAAACAAACTGTAAAGGGTAACACTTAATTAATGCCCCTGTAGCCTATGGTGGGGGCATAAAAAATGTTGAAACTAAACAGAAAATCTACTTTTAAACTTAAAAAAATAGATTTTGCCAAAACAGTTCTTATTTTTTTTCTTCAGAGCTCTGATTTCATTATGCTATGCCAATTAATCTCCAACTTTTTATTTAAACATACCTGATAATCTCCTGTCTGACTTGATGTCTTCCTAAATCTGTTGATCAGGGTTATATTACCTACTGTAGACTTCAAGTACCTGTATTATAAATAAGACATCGTTACAAAAACTATCACAGATATACATATGGCAGAACAACATATTGTATACAATTTTGATTTCATAGTTCAATATCATTTTTAATATCACTTTGTACAAAATCTTCATTACCCAATATTATATTTTAACTTAATAAAAAATGTGATAAAAATTTCAGTAGACAAACACACATACAGACGGATGAATTAATTTGAACTTGTCATAACTATGGGACACAGATGCAGGCCATAATCTTGCCGGCGAAATGACGATTTAAGTCGCCAAAGAATTTTGAAAATCGCTAAATCTCGCCGGCCGACTGACTTCATAGCGAAGTCAAATCGCTATCAAAATAGGTAAAAGGGAGATAACTTGTGATTGACAAGTCTCACAGGTAAAAAAAATGGCGGCTGACAAGGAAAATCGAGATTTTTGAAACGACCCAGGACTAATACTGTCAACGATCAAATTAAATAAATACAATGGCGACTTTGAACATCCTCGGATATAACTTTCAAAACTGTTCAAACGGAAAACTGACCGTCTGTTTTAAGTTATCATTTTACGATAATTTTCATCTGAGGATGTTGCGTAATCACTCAGCTGATTTGTTTTACTTTTACAACTTACACGAGTCGATCAATTTTACTATTCGGTAGGTAAAAGGTTGGAATTAACGGTAGATTTATTATATTGATTGAATAAAAATTGAAATATAAAAGGTAGAAAGACTGCTGATGGATAATGGGATGGTAAACGTACGACACTCGACCAGGTTGTGATCAGCAGTGGATTGTTTCTCACGACAATTTCGTTGATATGGATGATATTTTTAAAAAATGATAGAAATGAGCTCTTTGTCGGATAATTAATATGCGATTGAAAAATATTTTCATTTATAGACTTACAATCTTTAACGATAATCTCAATTTACAACTAACATAATGTCCTGGACATTCAATAATGTTTTACAAAATAATGACAAGTGGTGATACATGTATAAATTAAATTCCCAGTCATGTGAAATTCAACAGGAAAACTGGGAGTTATATTTTTTCTGGACTTTTAAAAATAAATTGAGGCAGATGCACATGAATTTAATGCATCATTATCATGATAATATTACTAGGCTACTCCCTCATGTCCCAATCAACAAATTTTATTTAGAACACAATGGTATCAATAAATAAATAACAACTATATATTGTCTAAACCTTTTTATTAAGAATTTTCTATATATACATTGTGTACAATAACATATGAAAAAACTGCAAGTATATCTTTTATTGAATATTAAAACAATTTCCGTAGTGATAAGCATGAAAACACGATGCAACCGAAACGGTAATGGAATCTCACTTCTCCAAGAAATTGACCACTTCTCCCTTCTCTCTCTTGGAAGGAGAAGTCACTTCTCCCTCTTCAAAATCCTAGATTAGGCCCTGCAGATGATGCCTCCATTTGCATATAACATTATAAAGGGACATAACTAGAGAACTGTAAAAGTGACACCACCTAAATTCGAACTTGATCTGTGTTTGATGGTAATAAGCATTGTGTATAAGTTTCATAACATTTGGTAAAGGTAAAAAAATTCAAACTTGATCTGTGTTTGATGGTAATAAGCATTGTGTATAAGTTTCATAACATTTGGTAAAGGTAAAGAATGGAAACCTATTTTGGGACGTACGTACGTACAGATGGACAAGGTTAACACTAAATGCCCCCTTCGCCTAGTTGTGATTTGTGAACTGTTGCTTGTCTTCTTAGTCTTTTTTCTTTAGGACATAACACTTGCAGAATTGTTTAATTTATGAATTTAATTGATACTAATTACTAATACTTACCAGTATGGGGGTTCTAAACTGAACATACACTCTGCAGCTTGAACAGCCTTTCCAAAATCCTGAGCTAACACCGAGATTTCAAAGAAGGTAGCCACATCCCAGTAATCTGTTAAGGATGGTAAGCTTCCTTTCTTACCAATCAAATTATTCAATATCAAACCTGAAATTTTAATCATGATCACTTATTATTTTTATGCATAAACTATGTCTACCCAGAATGCATTGCAAACAATTTGGCCTAGATTTTAAAGAAGGCAGCCACATCCCAGTAATCTGCAATCAGGTTATTCAATATCATACCTGAAATCAGGTAATTATATTTTTTTTCAACAAAAGTTCTATATGCTTAAATCTAAAGTCATTCGATTTGATGATTGATTAATTACTGGTGTTTAACACCATTTTTAGCTCTCTTGGCTATGTAGTGACGGCCTGTTTTTATTGGTGGAGGAAGTCAGAGGACCCTAAGAGAAACCTTTGGCCAGAAAACTGGCAATCATAGTCAATTAAGATCAGAGTAGAATGCACCTGCCACGAATGGGGTTTGAACTCACAAACTCAGTGTTGACAGGCTCTGATCTTGCTGTAGTTGAACTTCTTAGACAACTATGCTACCTATGTCATTAGGTCTCTGGTGGAAAATTGTCTCATTGGCAATCATACCACATATTCTTATTTTTATATTGTTAAATTGTATTTAACCTTTACTTTTAAAATCGGAAAAAACAGTTTTAATACATTCAAAATAAAAGACAGATTTTTGTATTCTGAAAATTTGTATACTGTAAATTCAGAAATTATTGCGTGCATTTATTATTGTAATTTTGTCATTTTAGACTAAAATGCGATTCTAATTTTTGCGATTTTGAGAAAAGTCCTGTTTAATTCATATAAAAAATTTCAAAATGCGAGTTCAAGTTATTGCGATTATAACCCTGTTGCATTTTTCGCAATAATAAAAACATCGCCATAATTTCTGAATTTACAGTATGTTTACCTCTTGTTTCACATGTGAATGTGTAAGAGTGTTTTAAATAAAACATATTGTATTGTATCATTGTATTGTATTGAAAACTGCTGATTTAATTTATTTTTGATATATTGATTCAAATCAATTTTAACCAAACAAAAAATTGATCTAAATTATCTGTTGATTTTTCAATACCATGAAAAAACTGCTCTAGCAAGAAGACTTTAATTTTCATCTACAAATAATTTGTAAATTGATCATATGTAATGTTTCTACCTATACATTGCAACATAAATAGGAGATTCATCGCCATTTAAAAGCATTTATGACACTGGTACACGTAACAAACCTATTCTTTGAAGTTCCTGGCATGTAGAGAAGTCTTTCCCTGATATCACTAACAATGTAGCTAAGTTTATTCCAGCATATTCATGTGGTTGTCTCTCAAATCCTTTTCTATACCTATAAAAAATCAAATACACAAATAATCTTCAAGGTATAAGTAATAAATAAATTAAAGTCTTCACGAGTAAGTTTGGCACGGGTCATATTTGGCCTTGATTATTAAGTTAATAAAATCAAGATAATAATTGTTTTAAAGTGATAAAAAGATGTGTGAGAAAGTTGATCATATCTTATCTTGTCAAAGTTTTTGTTTTAAAGTGTTGAATTTTACATCCAAATAGGTCAACATGGAGATTTTTGCGAAATTTGACAAAATTGTCCAGAATTCAACCTCAGAAACATAGACCGCAGGCATTGATAAACTAAATATCAAGTCAGTTAAATGTTATAACAGAAATTTTATTAAAAGATCTTCTTTGTAGACACATGCACTCCATGTTTCCTGTCCAGAAAATCAAGAGAAATTTACCCGTTTTCATTGAATTTTCATGGAAAATCAAAATGTGTGCTATTTGTGACATCATGAATAGAACACAAGTACGTAAATTTCAACAAAAAGACATATTTCCTTTCTAGTCAATGTATTAGCTATGATTCATTGTGATATTGGTCAATAAATCCTAATTTGAAATTGTAGCTAGAAATGGGGGCTGTTTTAAGGTGTTATCAAACCTACTCCTTTTATAAAAAAAGATGTTTAAAAAAAATTTACAAGCATTGAAACCAAAATTGCTGAAACTTGCTTTTATCATCTGTGTAACTATTTTTAATAGTTACTTTAATATTTTCAATATCTTTTCTATCATTTTTTAAAATAAAATACAAGATAGTTTGTCATAAGATTTAACATTTTTATAAAACTAATAATGCCAGTTCACTGCATATCTTATTAGCAAAACTTCAGTCAACTTGCTCAGGTACTAATTATAAATATGACATTAGTTTATCGACATTAAGTAAGGGCTGTTCCATTATAAAATGAATGGCGGACATTAGAGGCACTGTTTCAGACCCCAACTACCGATAATACTAAATTTTCATTTTACTTAAAATCTTATAAAATTTCAATAGAAAATGCAACAATCTATAATTGATTAATTTCCCATCTCCTATCATGATTAATTTTGGAACAGTCCTAATCAAATGATTTATTGGTGTTTAACGCCACTTTCAGCAATATTGTGTTATTTCGTGCCAGTTTTTATAGGTTGAGTAAGCCGTAGTTCCCCGAGAGAACCGACCTTCGGTAGGAAACTGACAATCCTAGTCAATTAAAATTGGAGTTGAGCGCACCTGCCACAACAACATCAGTGTTGACAGGCTAGTGATACAGTAGTACCGTAATCCACAAGTAATCTCCAACACCATTTAATTTTAGACTACTAACCATAAAATAGCATTATCTAAAGCCTCTTTGTCAGTATAATCACTTTCCACAAACATGTCCTTGTATATCCTACCACAGAGACACAACATGTCTGGCGTCTGGTTGTCAGTCTTTGATAATGCCTACAAATGCAAAGTTAACTCAATAAAATTTCACAGTAGTCCTAACCCCATCTACATATATATAGGTACATATATACTTTTACTCCTATTAGTTGATACTTCAATCAAATCTAATTTTTTGTAGTAATTAAACCATTCAAAAATAAAATGCTCCGCTGGGCGCAGCTTGATATGACCGCAGAGGTCGAACCCTGAACAGTTGGGGCAAGTATGGACACAACATTCATGCTTGATACAGCACTGAATTTGGATTGTGATTAAATATTTGACACAGCATAGGTTTCTGACACAGAATGAATGTGGTCTAAGAACTTAAAATTTTTTAATTTACCTATTCAAACCATATCATTATTATTTGCTTTTATATATAAATCAGAAATAACCAATTTAAAATGGAAAATTTTAAAGAAAAAAAAATCCCTCCCCAAATTTTTTGAACCCCCTTATGATTCATCACCCCCAAACTCAATCCCAGCCTTCCCTTTGTGGTATGGTACCTTGCAGTACAATTTCAGAGAGATCCATACACTTGAACACAAGTTATTGTCTGGAAACTAGAAAAATGCTTGTTTTTAGGCCCCTTTGTGGCCCCAAATTCCTAAACGTTTAGGGCAATTACCCCCAAACTCAAACCCAGCTTTCCCTTTGTGATATGGAACCTTGTAGTACAATTTCATAAAGATCCATACACTTACACACAAGTTATTGACATGAAACTAGAAAAATGCTTGTTTTTTTTCCCTTTTTGGCCCCTAATTCCTAAAATTTTGAGGCAATTACCCCTAAAATCAATCCCAGCCTTCCCTTTGTGGTATGGTACCTTGCAGTACAATTTCAGAGAGATCCATACACTTGAACACAAGTTATTGTCTGGAAACTAGAAAAATGCTTATTTTTGGCCCCTTATTCCTAAACGTTTTGGGCAATTACCCCCAAACTCAATTCCAGCTTTCCCTTTGTGATATGGAACGTTGAAGTACAATTTCAGAAAGATCCCTACACTTACACACAAGTTATTATCATGAAACTAGAAAAATGCTTGTTTTTTTGCCCCCTAATTCCTAAAATTTTGAGGCAATTACCCCCAAAATCAATTCCAACATTCCCTTTGTGATATGGAACCTTGTGGTACAATGTCAGAGAGATCCATACACTAACACACAAGTTATTGTCTGGAAGTTACAAAAATGCTTATTTTTGGCCCCTTTTTGGCCCCTAATTCCTTAACTGTTGGTACCATAACCCCCAAAATCAATCCCAACCTTCCTTTTGTGGTATTGAACCTTTAGCTTAAATTTCATAGAGATCCATTCACTTAAACTAAAGTTAGAGTGCGAAAACCAATGTGTCTTCGGACGACGACACCAAAAACGCCAACGTCATACCAATATATGACCGCAAAATTTTTTTGCGGTCGTATAAATATTACTACAATAATGTTAAATATTCCTATAGGAATTTCTTCACTAAAATCGAATTTGTACTCCAATGTTTTCAATATTAAAGCTTTAAATTTTTGTTCACTATTCTCAAATCTACGTCAAGACATGCCCAATGGAATTACTGGACAGTGGTCATTGACCTTACTATTAAATATTAATATCTCCGTTACTATTTATTATAATAGTTTATAGTCATCATAATAAAATTTATTTACAAAATCCTAGAAATTCATTATATTAATTTAATAATGTTTGTGATGTTTCCAAATCACATTTATGTTTATAATTTGAGGAAGAATTAAATGTTTGGTGTGTTTCTTAAGTTAAAAATGAAAGAGACAAAATTTAATATCTTCTTATCATGATTGTTCATAATTTGAGGATAAATCAAAATTTTACCATGTCACTTAAAAATGAGAGAAAAAAAATAATATCTTCTAAACAATGATCCTCTGCCTAAACAACCTATTCCTGATTTTTTAATTAATTAATTAATTTCATTCTATTCTCAAACTGTATGTATGAGCATTGCATAAAATCAAATGGTTGTTGTGTGAATACAAGTTAAATTATTGCGATTTTAGGAAAAGCTTCATACAGATGTATGTATCAGATATCAGAATGCAAGTTCTGATTATTGTGATACTCATGGAGTCGCATTATTCGTTTTAATAAAAAACTCGCATTAATTTCAGAATTTACAGTAATGGATAATTTTATAATAAAGAGAATCAATTTGGACTAGCATATTGTATCTATATGTCAATTTTTATTGAAATCCTAGCACAAAAAATGTTTCTCAAAATTTATGGGTTTTTTAAACAAATACATTATTATTAAACACATCTGATAGAAATAATTCATACCTTTGTTACAACATTTAGAGCTTTCTGTCGGTCTCCTTCCTTATTTCTCCGATTCAATGCAAAGGCATAGTGATACTGTATACCAATAGATGATGATATCGTATTATTAGGTATGTTTTCTAAATCTTCTACTAACTTAACCATAGAATTGTATTCCTGAAAAATAATGTGTAAATTGTGGTAATAAACATTGTGTATAAGTTTCATAGCATTTGGTTGAGGCAAACTAAAGTTAGAGAACGGAAACGAAAAATTCAGCAATTTTTCCATTTGTAAAGGGGCATAACTCTAGAACCGTTGAAGTGACACCACCAAAATTTTCAAACTTGATCTGTATTTTGTGGTAATAAGCATTGTGTATAAGTTTCAGAGCATTTGGTTGAGGCAAACTAAAGTTAGAGAACGGAAATGAAAAATTAGGCAATTCTTCCATTTATAAAGGGGCATAACTCTAGAACCGTTGAAGTGACACCACCAAAATTAAAAAATTGATCTGTGTTATGTGGTAATAAGCATTGTGTATAAGTTTCATAACATTTGGTTGAGGCAAATTAAAGTTAGAGAACAGAAACCAACTATAGGACGTACGGAGGTACGTACATATGTACAAACCTACAGACGGACAAGGGTAAAACTCAATGCACCCTCCGCTACAGCGGGGGCATAAATATAAAAATTTGTAAGGATTCTGCGGAACTCAGTGTCTCGCCTTCTTTTGCTGTTAATCGCAGGCTCAACAAAAATGAGGAAAAAAATTAATAAAAATATTCCTCTCTTTACTATCTTTTCATTGTAAGTAGCTTCTGTCCAAGTTTTGTAAAAATCCAGGATAGTTTATGAATCTAATAAATGTTTTAAAAACTTAAACTGCAGACTGTATGTAATGATAACTGGAAGAAAAACTAAGTCCATTTATAAGTAAAATAAGGAAAAAATGGAAAAAACTTTTAACAAAATTTCCTTCTAGATACAAGCTTTTAATCATAAACAAGCTTCTGTCCAAGTTTGGTACAAATCCAAGATAGTTTAAGAAAGTTATTAAAATTTCAAAAACTTTAACCACAGAGTGAATTTAATGTTAACTGGCAGAAAATCTAAGTCCATTTATAAGTAAAATACTGAAAAAATGATTTTTTTTTTACAAAATTTACTTCTGGATACTATCTTATGATCATAAACAACCTTCTTTCCAAGTTTGGTAGAAATCCAGGATAGTTTAAGAAAGTTATTAAAATTTCAAAAACTTTAACCAAAGAGTAAATATTTGTGGACACCGCCGCCGAAGACGATGACGGAATGTAGGATCGCTATGTCTGGCTTTTTCGACAAAAGTCGAAGGCTCGACAATAATAATAAAAAACTGGACAAAACCAATGTCAATGTAAATTAGTTTCTGGAACTTTGTCGGGAGATGTAACTAGAGGCTCTAAAGAACCTGTGTCACTCACCTGCATCTTCAACAATGGCCACTTTTTAGCAAAAAATCAACATTAAATGGAATAACTCTATTAAGAATTAATTGACAATTTCAATCATGTTGACAACTTTGTAGACCTTATCTTGCTGATAATTTTTCCTTTTTAAAGTTTTTAATTATCTATAATAATATTCCAGATAATAGGCAAAAAATGCAAATTAATGATAGAAATTATCATTAAAGAGCAATAACTTCAATAATGTGTTGAAAGAAGATCTTTTTAAAATTTAACAGCAAAAGCTCACACTGGCCCTTAATTTAATCCATGTCATTGAGTGGTATATGTGTAACTTCATATTTTGTTTTAAATATCATTGGTGGAAAAGCCGATTTTTTTTATGATTGTCCTGTTTATATATCTGTCTTTCGACTCAAAATTAAAATGACTTCGGCCATTAAAAAAATTTCTTAGATTGTCATCAAACTTGTTTTTTTAATTTGACAGTCTCTATGTTTTTGGTTGTCCTTTTAGGCGAAAATTTTAAGTAAAATGAACAAAAAACCCCATAATCCAAATAGTTTGTTATGGCCTCTGAAAAAAATCAGGGTAGGGATAAGAATAATTATGGCCTTACATATATCAACAGATAATTGTCAAACCATAAATTTGAAAAGAAAATAACCTATTGATGGGGAAGTGTTTATGGACTTTTTTTCCTTCTTTTTTTTTTAGCTGTCTTTCTATGACTTCTAGTTTTTAATTGCCCTTTAAAATTATCTTCTCTTTTTTAAAACAAAAAATTTCAAATCAGAATATAAACACCAGTCACATACCTGAATATCTCTGAATGATAGCAGCATATTAAACACAACATCAACCGACAGTAACTGTGGGTCATCAAGTCGTCTCCTCATACCGTCTAAATGCTGAAGAAAACACAAAAATCCAGATTAAACAAAATGTTCATTTTCTACTCATAAGTGAACAACAGTGTGATCGGTAGAGATCAGTTAAAGTCGCCTTATATTGTTAGACTGCTGTCTCATTGTATACAATTTAATTATAAGGGATAAATATCTTGACACAAATGATGGTGTAAAAATAATTAGTGGCTATAATGAAAATAAAATTCGTAAGGGTTCCGCGGAACCCAGTGTCTCGCCTACTTTTGCTGTTAATCGCAGGCTCAACAAAAATGAGGAAAAAAATTAATAAAAATATTCCTCTCTATACTATATTTTGATTGTAAGTAGCTTCTGTCCAAGTTTGGTAAAAATCCAGGATGGTTTTTGAATCTAATAAATGTTTTTAAAACTTTAACTGCCGACTGTATGTAAAGTTAACTGGAAGAAAAACTAAGTCCATTTATAAGTAAAATATGGAAAAAATGGAACAAAATTTTATCAAAATTTCCTTCTAGATACTAGCTTTTGATCATAAACAAGCTTCTGTCCAAGTGTGGTACAAATCCAGGATAGTTTAAGAAAGTTGTTAAAATTTTAAAAACTTTAACCACAGAGTGAATGTAATGTTAACTGGCAGAAAAACTAAGTCCATTTATAAGTAAAATACCGAAAAAATGGGATTTTTTTTTTTACAAATTTTACTTCTGGATACTATCTTATGATCATAAACAAGCTTCTTTCCAAGTTTGGTAGAAATCCAGGATAGTTTAAGAAAGTTATTAAAATTTCAAAAACTTTAACCACAGAGTGAATGTAATGTTTCCTGGCAGAAAAACTAAGTCCATTTATAAGTAAAATACGGAAAAAATGGAATTTTTTTTTTACAAAATTTACTTTTGAATATAATCTTATGATCATAAACAAGCTTCTGTCCAAGTTTGGTAGAAATCCAGGATAGTTTAAGAAAGTTATTAAAATTTCAAAAACTTTAACCACAGAGTGAATATTTGTGGACGCCGCCGACGACGACGCCGACGGAATGTAGGATCGCTATGTCTCGCTTTTTCGACAAAAGTCGAAGGCTCGACAATAAGTAGAACAGCTTAAAAGGTGTCGTAAAAGATCTTGTTCCAAGGAATAATATCCAAACTGTAAAAGAACTAAAGGACAATTTCAATGTGTTATTTATACAAAGGGCATATGAGGACTTTACCTCCATTTGTCACAGCTTGTTCTTTTCTCATCCATACATTTATCATAATAACCTTATTTGTCACTTTTCAAATTTGTTTTGACTCTTTCTTACATAAACATTTGTATACTGTGGATTAATTTATTTTCCTGGGTTCCGATATTCTTGGAATGAGGAATAATTGTTTTTGTTGATACATGTATTTAATTTCATGGTTTTGCCAAAGTCTGCATACAAGCCTACAGAAAATTTGAATTGGTTGAACATTTAAATTTGTGGCTCACCTATACCCTAGAAAATTAGTATCCCACGAAAAATTATAAATCCTGAGTATTTCAAATCTAAACCTTTGTATAGATATAACTCATAATAACATTTTTACTTTGACAACTTTATTTTTTCTATTATTAAGTGTGACAATTAAACATTTTACTTGCTCTTTTTGTAAAATTCTGACAGCTTTTATCAGTTCTACTGTTAATTTGGGTAAAGTTACTCAAAATTGTGTGCGTGCAACATAACATTTGTGTTTCCAGATAATCACTTAAGGTGTCCGATGCCTGATGATTTCCTCACATGCCCTTTGAATGGTATTCACATGTTTTAAATTAAAACTTTTAATTGATCCTTTGGTAAATCTACTGTTAATGTATCCTTAGTACAATAACCTTTCACCTAGCTTTGAGCAGTTCTACTGTTATTTTGGATATAGGTACTAATGAGAGATAAATGTATGCATCATTTGTATCAATAATTTTTCACTTAGACGATACAGAAGAAATATGTGATTATTTACACATCACACATCGCCATGGTTAATGTTTTTTTTATCATCACCTTGGGTATCATTGTCATCTATTGTGTCCCTTGCCTTATTACTTCTTACATAAAACTTACATGTTATATATTTCAAATTTTGTATGAATGATAGATATTTATATATTATGACCTTTTTATCTATTATAAGATTAAATTGTCGGCAATAGAGTTCATATCCTAATATGCCCTTTATTTCATTCACACATTTAGATTTTCCCAACTGATATAATGCCCTTTCTGACAGCTCCTAAGCTGGTGTACTGATATTATGGATAAAGTCACTATTTTTCATTGATATGGCACCTTAAGAAATCTGAATATTTGCATGTCAGACACAGCTCAATTTTAAAATTTTGAGAAATTAATCAATAAGGTATTTGGAAAAAAAGTTGACACATTTTTTTTCTATGCTGAAAGTAGTATAATTAATATTATAGGTTTTGCTCATTATTGAAGGCTGTACAGTGACCTTAAATTGCTTACATACACGTCATTTTGACTCTGTTGGATAGTTGTCTCATTGGCAATGATACCACATCTCCTTATTTTATACTGTGAAAATAAATATACATGCTATCTGTGAAGATAATCAGTGGCACATCCAGGATTTTCAAAAAAGAAAAAGGGAAGAGGCTGGACATAGCGCCCTGGCAGAAGAATAATAAGTAAACACACTAAAATAACAAAAATTTTTGCTCTAAAAGTGGGAACGAGCCCTGTATGGATCTGCCCTTGGGAATAAAGTTAGATATATACATCAACCAAAGGAGAAGGTATGATAAGGCCACTTTTTCGGCCCCTTGAATTCAAAAATCAACAAGTATTATGAATCTACCAAAAAATATCCTTCAGATGTTAAAAGTCCATTGGACATCAGTATTTATTTGATAAATTTTGCCTTACATACTGGCACTAGGGTTTCAAACATTAGTGCAGAACAGCAAAAACTGCCAAAAATTTTGAAATCTTGTCATAAATTTTTAGATATGAGCAACTGCTTTACCAAAAAAGATATTTTGCTACAAAATATTTTTTTACAAAGATATTTAATAAATAAATGTGTATAAAATATGTTGTTGAGAAAAGCTGATACTGATATATATTTTGACAAAAAACTATGCCTGAAATGGCAATATTTTTATTCATGTCAAATACGTAAATTTCAACATGTTTATGACAGCATAGTGACATCACTAGTGACTCCTCTGCACTTCAGTGTCAAGATTATATCATCTTGTTCAGATCTAGGAATGAAATTAACATTATTTTGAAAGACATGAATAAGATTACTATTTTTACAATTGCAAGGGCAAAAAAATGGCTCTTTAGATACCTCCTTCTTTGAATTAAAATATATATTATAAATTGTACTTCATTAAAATGTACAAATTACTAAAATTGTTTAACAACAGAATAAACTTCTTTTGGGAACCTTTTTATGTCTTATAGCATTGTCAAACTTATAAGTTACGCCTGTTGAGTTAATTATAATAATTTGAAAACTATAAAAAATTCACATCATAACTAACATGATTACTAAATACCAAGTTGATGTGACCACAACTTCATGGTTAACTAACTAAACCAAATACTTTAACCTGAAGTTGGGTGGACAAAGGGTCAAACAGACAGAAGAAGGAGCAAACAGATTGATGGATGTTGTAGAATCAGTGCTTAAACAAATTTTTATTTTTATTTGGGAGTTTTATTCAGAATGCTATATATTACCTTCACAAGTTCTTCTCCTTTGTAACTTTGTCTTGCTTTTCTTAAATCATTTAAAAATCTTTCTTTTTGATGAGCACTGTAAAAAAAAAAAGAATATTTATGAGGGTTTAAAAATATTTAAATAAGTAGAATGTAATTTTTCAAATGGCAGAAACATCATTGAAAGTTAAATCGGCCTTCTTTTACTTGAGGGGTCCCGACATTTTTGGATTTTACTTACAGGGTCCTGGTCCGTAAAAGTATGTTTTTTGTAATAATATTAAATATTTACTTCTTTACCTGTTGTAAGTGTATTAAATTTTACATCCTCACATCCTTTTATCTAAATTCTGTCGTATAGATATTGACTAAAACTTTAAAAAACATATCACTTTCTTGTTCTTTCATGGACGCCGCACAACCTATACATAGGAAATTTTAATGGGACCCCTAAAGTAAAAGAGAGCAATAATGCCTTCTTTTACTTTAGGTATCCCACAACCTATATACAAGCCAATACTATATAAACAAGCAATACAACAGTAAATAATAAAACAACAGCACAATGCATTTTAAATACACTTTATAATGTGGGACCCTCCATTTTTTAACAGTAATGTTGGGACCCCTAAAGTAAAAGAAGGCTGTTAAATCTATCAGGTCATTGTAACAAGATATGAACATATTGTTAAGTGCATACATAAGTTTTATTAAAACATGGCTAATAGTAAGTTACCAGAACAACACAATACAGCATTCCTGTCCAAGACAAAACTTTTTTTAAGCTTTGCAGTCTACCTGTCTCATCCAAGCTATTATTAGCTTTCCAGCCTACCTGTCCCATCCAAGCTATTATTAGGTTTGCAGCCTACCTGTCCTATCCAATTCATTATTAGCTTTGCAGTCTATCTGTCCTATCCAAGCTATTATATATTAGCTTTACAGCCTACCTGTCTCATCCAATTTATTATTAGCTATACAGCCTACTTGTATCATCCAAGCTATTATTAGCTTTGCAGCTGTCCTTTTCAATTTATTATTAGCTTTACAGCGTACCTGTCTCATCCAAGCTATTATTAGCTTTGCAGCTGTCTTTTTCAATTTATTATTAGCTTTACAGCCTACCTGTCCCATCCAAGCTATTATTAGGTTTGTAGCTGTCCTTTTCAATTTATTATTAGCTTTACAGCCTACCTGTCCCATCCAAGCTATTATTAGGTTTGCAGCTGTCCTTTTCAATTCATTATTAGCTTTGCAGTCTACCTGTCCCATCCAAGATATTATAAGCTTTGCAGAATACCTGTCCGATCCAAACTATTATTAGCTATGCAGTCTACCTGTCCCATCTAATCCTTTTTTAGCTTTGCAGCTTACCTGTCCAAAATCCAATCTATTATTATCTTTGCAGCTTACTTGTTCCATCTAAGCTATCATTAGCTTTGTAGTCTACTTGTCCCATCTAATCCATTTCTAGCTTTGCAGCTTACCTGTCCAATCCAATCTATTATTAGTTTTGCAGCTTACCTGTTTCATTCAATCAATTATTAGCTTTGCATCATACCTGCACTATCCAAACTTTCATTAGCTTAGCATCCTACCTGCCCCACCCAAACTTTTATAAGCTCTGTAGCCTACCTGTTTCATCCAAACTATTACTAGCTTTTCAGACTACCTGCCCAATCCAAGCAATTATTCATTGGAGAAATTCTAGGGTCTGATGAGGAAAGTAACCACTGAGTTTGTGCAATCAATAAACAAATCAATTGGATTGTAAATTAAGTTATTTCATGATTAAAATTCATATGTTTAAAGTTTCATATTTATAAATTCTAATATTTCACAGTATTCCACATAAATGTTTCATCATATTCATGGCATTTGTCAGAAATCAATATTATCCCAAAATACATGACTGTTACAGCCAATATGTTTAAATTCATCCCTGTGATAACAGACTAGAAATTATTTAAATATCTTTCTTTTGGTATGTAGATGGCTAAAACGGGGCTAAGTTTTAAAAATATTTTATATCATTTCCTCTTCATTATGTAAATAAACAAATTAATTTATATAAATTCGCAATTGATTAAAATTATCTTTGAATGTAACAACAGGAAGTTATATAGACAAAATTCATAAAATAAAAATCATTCATATAAAAAAAAACACAATAGTAAAATAAAATGTTTCTCAACTCTTAAGGTGTAATACCACCAAATCATAGTACGTCACATCCGGTTGCATACGAAAATAGGTCGAAAAAAAATATTCCCTTGAATTTGACAGTTGTAGGTAATTGATCCTACATTTCATTGCAGTAAAACATTTCTGAGTCATAAACATATATCTTGGGTATTTCAAAGCACCATTATTTCTTTATTTGGGGTTCCTATAGAATATTTTGGAAACTTGAGGTTACATGGTTACTAAAGCTTGTACACAGGTTAAAAAAGGGGGAAAATTTGATTGGTTAACTTCCAGTGATGGTTATTTTCTTATATGCAATGAAATGTTATGTGAAATTTTTTCTATAGTACTGGACAGGATAAAACTTTACTCATGCCAAGTATTTCTTTATTTGAAACAAAGATAAATTCTGCACAATTTTTTGAAAAGTGCAAATTTAACAAAGACTAATAGGGGAAAATCAATGGTGGTATTACACCTAATATGGGAAGCTGTACATGCACCTTTGACCTTGTGAGTACTCTCATGTGTTAAAATTTCTTGCTATTTAAGTGAAATATTACAAATAATGAAATATTCTGAGTGGATTGAGTCTCCAAAATACATTTTATGAGAAAATTTCCTTGAAATAGGACTTTACCATGAATATTAGTTGACAGAACAAGCCATACTTAGAGTCTTGGGGAGCTTTTTCTCCTTATTTCTTATATTCTGCTATACTAGAAAATTTTTCCTAAGAAATACTTTAATAAATATATAGTTTTAAGTAAATGAAATTATTTTTAAAGCAGTAACAACAAATTATTCACCAAAAGAGAAGTTTTTTATGTCCCTCTCTGGAACGCGGCGTAAATTTAAGTTTTACGCAAGGACTTATTGAAACCTCCTTGGAGACAGTAAACTTTTATACGGATAGTTCACGCAGCTTGAATACTTCAATTAATCATTTATAATAACATTCCTATCATAAATGAGTGAAAGTTACCCCAAATGTTTTATTTATTGGCCTAAAAAGTAGAAATTTTGAGGAAATGAGAGGTATAAATGGACCAAAAGAGACTTTATAAGGAAGAATAAGAGGTCCATTAGTAGTATTTATCATCCTAAAGTCATCTTTTGTATCATATTCAACTGTTTGTAGGCAGATGAGATAAATATTTGATCATTTATTGGTCCACACTATATTCTATCATGATGCGGCTTTATTTGAATTTTTCGAAGAAATTTTGCTCGAATCGCTGTAGATGTCGACTTACATTATACTAGATTTTTCTCAAACTATTGAACTGATTATGACAAAACTTGACAGGAATGCTTGAAATAACCAGTATTACAAAGGAAAAAAGTCACATTCAGTTTATTCAACAAAAAAGTCTTCTTTAGGTGTAATACCACCAAATCATAGTACGTCACATCCGGTTGCATACGAAAATAGGTCGAAAAAAAATATTCCCTTGAATTTGACAGTTGTAGGTAATTGATCCTACATTTCATTGCAGTAAAACATTTCTGAGTCATAAACATATATCTTGGGTATTTCAAAGCACCATTATTTCTTTATTTGGGGTTCCTATAGAATATTTTGGAAACTTGAGGTTACATGGTTACTAAAGCTTGTACACAGGTTAAAAAAGGGGGAAAATTTGATTGGTTAACTTCCAGTGATGGTTATTTTCTTATATGCAATGAAATGTTATGTGAAATTTTTTCTATAGTACTGGACAGGATAAAACTTTACTCATGCCAAGTATTTCTTTATTTGAAACAAAGATAAATTCTGCACAATTTTTTGAAAAGTGCAAATTTAACAAAGACTAATAGGGGAAAATCAATGGTGGTATTACACCTTAAGTTCCCTCCCAAAAATAGTTCTTACATATTTTCTTTCTGTAATTCTATCAATCTTTTCTTTAGCTGATAATATAAAGACATTCCTTTTTCTGGGTGCATACACATATCCTGAGGCAGTGTTGAATTTTCTACAACTACTGGTACATTATTAGCGTCAACTAAATATGGTAGGAATTCCACATTTGCACCACATGATAACTGAAATATGAAAAAAATTAATATTATATTAGCTAACATAGTATCCGTGAAAGCACTTTGATTTTTCATTTAAAAATTCCGTTGATTCTCAGGCTTAATACTTTTTAAAATCATGGACAAACAAAATGATGGATTAGTGAGGATGTGCTACTGTAAATTCCGAAATTAATGAATGAGGGTTGTAATGGGGGTGCCTTCATGATGAATAACAGTAAAAAATCTGGCCAACCTTAACGGTAATTTTTGGTGCATGACGATAAAATGTACTTTTTCTTTATGACAACAAAAAAATCAACTGATTTTGACGAATCACGTTAATTTTTTTCCAAAAATAACGGTAACGGATAATTATTTGAGACCTCTGACTAATCACGATAAGGATATTTTGACGAATCACGATAAAATGATAACCAATTTGACGCAAACGGTAGCCGAAAATGACCATTTGACGCCTGACAGTAAAGGGCATTCCTACCCTCATGAATGCATTTATTATTGCAAATCACTGATTACTGGTAAAAATATGGAATCTTATTAATGTGACTGCTAAAATTTTGTAAAGGAAAATCACTGCTGAAATCATAAAGGCGAGTTTTTTATCATTGCGAGCATGAAATTGTTGAAATTTTTCGCATAAATAAAAACATAGCAATAAATTCTGAATTAACAGTACTTAAAAATATTATCAAGTCTAGCATAAAAAATTCTTGCATTATCAAGAAACAAAATTCTGAAATGTGGACCTAGTCTTTTTCAACCATTAGACATGTCCCTCAAGAAAAGGAAATATTTTGTACCTCTCTGGACAACCTTATTTCCCTGGACTTTTTTTGTAAATTATAAAGTGCAGTCAATCATACTATTCTGATTATAAAATATGAATTTTACAGTACCCCTTTTTTTAAACTACCAGATTTATTCCTTTAGTTCTCCAATTTGCATAATAGAAGGTGTATTAAATCAGATTAAACAAAGCTTCAAAAGATCATTTTCACAAATTCCTTTCATTGGTAAAGTATAATTATTGAGTTTAATGTCAACTAAGATTTCATCGTGATGCTAATATGATGTTAAATATGTACAAATATTGTGACCTCAAAAATCAATCTAGTATTCCAATCAATTATTCTTAAATAAAAAAATTTTAATTAAAAAATTACTGTTAATTCTGAATTGAGAGGTAAAACTTTCATAAAAATTGTAAAAAAAGGTATATGAAATCTTGAGAATTTCTGGTAAAATCAATTTTAATTTAATTTATCAGGATATAAAATTGAGAATGGAAATGGGGAATATGTCAAAGAGACAACAACCCGACCATAGAGCAGACAACAGCCGAAGGCCACCAATGGGTCTTCAATGCAGCGAGAAACTCCCACACCCGGAGGCGTCCTTCAGCTGGCCCCTAAACAAATATGTATACTAGTTCAGTGATAATGGACGTCATACTAAACTCCAAATTATACACAAGAAACTAAAATTAAAAATGATACAAGACTAACAAAGGCCAGATGCTCCTGACTTGGGACAGGCGCAAAAATGCGGCGGGGTTAAACATGTTTTTTGAGATCTCAACCCTCCCCCTATACCTCTAGCCAATGTAGAAAAAACAAACGTACAACAGTACGCACAGTAAAACTCAGTTTAAGAGAAGTCCGAATCCGATGTCAGAATAGGAAACAAAAGAAAATAAACAAAATGACAATAATACATATGTCTATTACATAATCAACTCACAAATGTTACACTTTATAAAAAGAGCCTTTTTTCTCCAATGAAAATCAATAAAGTCCAGACAACAATTTTTTTAAATCTTGCTTTATCAATTTCAATTTTTACTGATGTTTAACAGACTCATTATGCCTCAAGCCTATAATCTGATCGAAATTGAAAACACTGCATAATAGGACACAGGATAAATCAGGGAGTAGGAGGGTATTAAGTCATCTATCAGTTTCTAAGGAAACCATCGCACTTGTCTTTCTGAGGAAAAAAGGATGAGAGACAATGTTACTTTACATTTTTTTTAAATTACAAGATAAATGAGAATAAATCTTTAAACAAACTGGGAGACTAAACTTCTCTATCTGACATGTGAGAAAGACTTAATTTGCCATACAAAATACTGTCTCTCTCTTCTCCCTGTGAGAGCACTGGTATTAAAAAAAAAATCTGAAAATTTAAGAAATTTATTACATTTTCTGCATTCATTTAAATCATACAACTGTGATATAGTCAATTCATGCTGTTATAGATTCTGTAGTATTTTACAAATAAAAAATAAGGAGATGTGGTACACTTTTTTACAGAAACCCATAAACTAAAGATGATTTCAATGTGCAGTTCATTAATACAAAACTTTGAATGATGAATGAAAAATGTTTAAAATACAAAACATCATCAAAAAAGCAAGCTTACCACATTTAGCAGAAACTATCCACAACAGATCAGCTTCAATATTAGATTGTGAAAGTATTTGTCATTTGAAACAATACAATTCCAATGAAACAAAAATAACTTGAGTATTTTAGTTGATTATCACGCTGAGCTGAACATGCTGATAGCTTTCAAAATAATCCAAATCGGGCCAAATGATGAATTTTGGATTAATTGATCACGGATAAATCCCGTGTTTCAGACACATGTCTGTGATACTACGTAGGTTGATATCATGTCAAATGAATCAAATTTCACTTTTTATACTGAAATAAATGTGACTTTACTTTCGCCATTTGAATTCAATATTTTGAATATAATATCAAATATGGAATATTGCTGCAGCACATTTATTGACTTATAAATGTCACTGTTCTTGTCATTTGGTAAGAAGTTCCTAATGACAATCTTATCACACCTTCTTATTTTTAAAATATTGTCATACTTTAAAATCTATTTTACGGATATTTTACTTTATAAATGTACCTTTGGCATAACATTACATATATAAAATAATGATTACGCTAAAAATAATTGTCCTTTGGGAAATCTGTTATGGTTTATTTGCGGCTTAGATTTTGACATATTACATAAAATAACTGAATTAATCCAAGAATTCAATTAGGATTATATAAGTCAGCCTACTATAAAACATATGTAATGATTTAAACTCATTTTCAAACAGATTTATAAATTGGTGCGAGTTTAATGTACCGACAACATCCTTACAGTCCTGTTCATAATAAAAAACCTTCAGTAAACAGGAATGACCATACAGTATCCAATGTAATCCTAGCATAACTACTATTAAGAGTAATAATTATTCTAAATATAATAATTTTTCAGGAAATCTTATTGCTTTTATGATAAATTTGTGATTTTATTCCAGAAATATTACACAAACTAACTGTAATAATGACAAAAAAATCTATTAGGAATACTAAATAACCACTTAATTATACTCATTTTCAAACAAGGTTATAGATTGGTGTGTTTAATGTACAGACGACATCCTTGTAGTCTTGTTCAGGATACAAACATTGAAAACAGGGATGATCGCACAATAAATTTCAAGTGTGATACTATAAGGGTGGCCAAAAATAGATTAAAATTCAGCTAACTTTATACATTTTTGTAGTTCAAATATGGAATTAAGTAGTCAAGGGGTGCCATAAATTTCAAGGGTACAGGAGAACAAAATAATTCCAGGGATTAAGATGCAATTTAAGATTGCTAATTTGGTAGGAGAACAAGAATTTCTCTTTAGCAATTGTATAAATAAAGCTTAAGTGGTCAAATTTTCCTTCCTCATTAAATTGTTACCTGTGCCATGATTTGATTGCTAAAAACAACAATCAGCACTCTTCCTAAGTAATAAAAACAAATGTCATATTGATTTCATGGTTCACTTAACAAGTGAACAAACTTAACTTTATTGTTCCATGAACACACTCAACTAGATAAGCTGTCAAATTTTGAATTCCTTTTAACATTATAGAAATATAAAATTGAGAATGGAAAAATATGTTTGAATATATTGGGATGGATTATGATGAGTCAGTACATTTTGCAAGGATTCCTGTGCACTATAAAAGTAGGCTTTAGAGATCCCTGTAAAGTGATAATTATATGGTTCCTCTTTTGCATCATGTTTAATTGAAAGCCTAATATAAGTATTGAAATAATTATTTCCACTCAAAACAAATCCTGCCCATGGTCATGTAATGGACATGTCAGATAGACTGATTTTTGTCTCAAAAGAAATTTATATACCAACTGTTAGAGACATTTATAGCTTTCAATCGACAATAAATAACAAATCTAATCCTGAAAGCTTGGGCATGAAAATGAAGGCAAGGCCATATGTCAGTAGATATTTACTCCTCAGAATGAATCCACTTACCAAAATGTGTTGACATTTCATTTATAGCAATCAAGAACAGATCAATTCTTCAAAATTGACCATAACTATTGAATTGTGAAAATGTGGCTTAAGACATGTATGGCATAAGGCATTTTCTTGTGACATACAGTGAATTCATTTATTTTCGTGGGTACCAATTTTCATGGATTGAGGAAACTTGCCTATTTCATTGATATCTTATTTTGTGGTTTTGCCAAAGTTTGCATACATTCCTATAGAAAATTTATTATTTATTCAACATTTTAATTCGTTGTTTGCCTATACCCACAAAATCCATGAAAACTGGTACCCAACGAATAATAATGAATCCACAGTAAACAGCCAGTAGAAAAATAAATCCAGGTTGAAATGTTAGAATTTTTTATGCATAGTAACACAATCATGTCAAATACCTATTTTACAAACAAATCAACAAATGATTTATTTTAATCTTTTCACTTTCCAATTTTTAGCTTCCTTGAATTTTTCATATTCAAACTTCCTTAAATTGTTCATTTTTTATTTCCCTTCATTTTTCAATATTAAACTTCCTTAAAATCTTAAAACCCTGATAAATAAATGGCAAAAGAAATCCTTTGCTTATTTCAACCAAATTCTCTATGTTATTAATGACCAAAATTTCTGATGCAATTGGTATTTTTTTCACAAAGTGAGTCATTTAGAAAAGATTGACATTAGATTTTTTTTTTATTATTAAATATCAAACCAAAAAATTGGTAAAAAGAAAATAACAAATTTTTATTTTTTACAAAGTCTATGACAATGACATATGACTCATAAATCAAAACAGTATTAGTTTGCCCAATGTAGCCTGTAAAATTTGCTGGTATTACCTCATATCTGTGTAAGTCTTCAATGCAAAGTTGTAGTGTTATGACATGTGCCAAGAAATACACTAAATTCAGTCCTTATGATGGTCTTTGTACTTGCAGTGAGTCTTTGCTCTTAAGATGAAGAACAGAACTAGAGGCTATAAAGAGCCTGAGTCGCTCACCTTGGTCTATGTGCATATTTAACAAAGGACACTCTCCAACATTGTAGACAAGAATAGAATTCATGACAAAAATCTCTGTTTTGTTGATCTTGTATTACTGATTATTAAGTCTGTTAAGTTTCTCTCTATCTTCTTTAGTTTTTGCTCAAAACACAAAAGAGAGTAAAAAATCCTCATTTAAGGGCAATCACTCCTAAAGAGTGACAGTCTACATGTACTTACTATATTGACAAAATTTGACTTGTTAGTAGATCTTGCCTTGCTGATTATTTTTGTGATTTAAAGTGTCTATTTATCTATATAATTTTTATCATATAAGGCAAAACACAAAAAAAAATGGTAAAAATCGTCATTAAAGGGCAATAACTCCAATAAGGAGTCGTCAGACGATTTCCTTCAAATTGTCTTAATTGTAGATCTTGTCTTGCTGATCATTTTTGATAATTTAAGTTTCTATCTATCTATTATAATTTAAAGATATAAGGCAAAAACGCAAACAATTGGTAAAAATCGTCATTAAAGGGCAATAACTGTAATAAGGAGTCATAACATGACATAACATCTCAATGGCATACTGTCTCATTGACAAGACCAGCTCAATGACATTCCATCTCAATGAAATATTGTCTCAATGACACACAGTCTCAATGAAATACTGTATCAATGACACAAAGTCTCAATGACATAGTCTCAATGACAGTCTTAATGACATACTGTCTCAATGATACACTATAAATCACATACTGTCTCAATGGCATATTGTCTCAATGAAATATTGTCTCAACTATACCATTTTAATGACAACACTATCTCAATTACATACTGTCTCAATGACAGACCACCTCAATGACATTCCATCTTAATGACATACTGTCTGAATGACACACAGTCTCAATGACATGCAGTCTCAATGACAGTCGTAATGTCATACTGTCTCAATGACATACTGTCTCAATGATACACGATATAAATTACATACTGTCTCAATGACGAACCGTCTCAATGACATACCATCTTGATGACATATACACTCCACATCCCCTTTTATTCATATATACTACCATGACAGTGCTGTCAAGAAGCAACACTTTCAGAGAACCCTGTTATCTTTATGCTCTGGATTCATTTTTCACCAGAAATTTATACCTTTTATTTACAAAACACCCCTCTGCAGCAAAATCCAAAACTTTATTCCCCTGAACCCTTCATTTTTAGTGACATACTTTTGCTTACACTCAGATATTGTGATCTTGGATAACTTCCTCGCATTACTTAAAAAACAGGAGCTAATGCATGCAAATAGATTGGCATGCTCTATTTATCTAATTTGCATACTACAGGAACCTTGGATGAAATGGTAAAACTTGATAATATATGTAGGTCCACCCAGTCATGTGCATGAAATTTTCCCACAATTTTTTTTACATGGAATGAACTAAAGCTGACAACTTGTTCATAGGAAAAGACATGACTACATATTGGTCGATGAGATTATATTGTTATATGAGAATATGGAGACAACATGGTTAATAATCAAACAGGTTTACAACAAAAACTAATGCACCTTTTGTCTTGCATCCCCCATAAATGCCTACAAACAAATAGTATACAAATCATTGTCAGACTGTATGTTGCTAAATTTATGAAAATCCATGAAATAAATTTTTTCTTTGTAAAAATAATACATATGGTTGAAATATGATAGATAGAGAGGTAAGAGGTCCAGGATCAATCTCTTCTATGTTTTGATGCGTAATACAATTTGTTTGTTTTTTTTATCATTTTTTCCCATGTTTACATACTTAAATTTTGATATATCAAATAAGAAAAAATTTCTTGTCAAATATTTGGTTATATAATTGGTCATAGCACGACTGTTTTCCTGTTGAAACAGACAGGTTCTGTCATTCCTTACCACACTGCCAATGCTTTCTGATGAAATTAGTTGGAAACAAAGTTTGTCATAAATAGAACTAACCTATTGAAATTATGTCAGACCTCTCATTTTATCTCTTATTAATCTAAAATACATATTTTTTTTGCAGGACACATGTCCAACATTAGATCAAGTAAGCTTGAAACTATGAATTCTTTCCAAATTGTTAGAAAAGTTCTGTAAATTCATAATTTCTGTTCTAATTTATCAAAGTAAATTTCAAACATGGTTAAATATTTCATTATATCCCTAGCGGATTGTTGTTTCAATTTCAAATTTCCGACATAAGTGCCAATTCATATTCAAGATTAGCAATTTTTTTCAAATGAAAAAATGAACATAAGAATAAATAATTAAGAATGATTAAGTGACAGGTAAAACCTTAAAAGTTGTAAATATGCAAATTTCTTTTTATCTTACAATGATCTATTGCTCAATACAACATATTATTGTACAACATGTTCATGCTATTAAGAAAAACATAACACTGCATGAAAATACAGAGCTTTTATGTGATTTGATTGCCATTGATTGCCAACTCTCTGTCAAACCCAAGGGCAAGGATGTCAACAACAACAGGTCACTGCATGACCTTCAACAATGAGCAAATAATATTGGTACCATACAGTTAACTTCACTGCATGGCCCTCAACAATGAGCAAAAGGTATACCATACAGTAAGCCATAAAAATGCATGACAAAACGTGAAACAACTACAAAGAGAAAACCAACTGCCTTTTTTTTGCTAAAACAACAAAAGAAAAACAAATATGACAAACAGCAACCAACAGGAATCACCGAATTACTGGCTCCTTACTTGGCACATTAAGAGTGCTCTAAGCTGGTTTTAATAGTCAAATGTAATTTGAAAAACAATTGGGGAATAAAACGACATGCATTTTTTTCTTATACCATGTCTACACTGAATGTATGACTTTCAATACACTGTTTCAAACAGGGCTATATCTCACCTACATGTACTTGGAAAACAATTGACAAAGAATCTATCTGACGAAATCTCTCAAACTTCAGGCGAATATGTGAACGTAAGTTTTGGTGTCAATATAACATGTCAAGTTCTCCTAACCCTGGCTTATATGTCAACTTCTAGTGACATTCATAACTGAGAGAACAAAAAAAGAAGATTTTACAGGGGCAACACCACTTCTGAAACTCACCTTAAGTGATAAAGACTGTTCCACATCAGTGTCATAAAACAAGACAATGTTGTGCTTCATGCCCATACTCTGTCGTACACCAATATGATAAAATAAAGCAGACTGTTGAACTGGTATTGTCATATCCACAACAACAACATCAGCATTGTAAAACTCTTCTAACACTGATGTACTTCCAAAATCTAACTTCTTAAAAGGTACATGCTCTAAGCTGGCTTCAACACTGAAATATAAAGCATTATACATTGTAGGTCGCACTTCTGTAAATATAGACAATGCAATTTCCCATAGGAGTTTAAACTTATACTAAAATTCTGTACTACCCCTCCCTTTACTTTGAGTCTTCCTGAGAATTCAATTTGTCTGCTATTCAACAGTATTTATACTGGCAAAACTCCCAAGTTGTGTCTCTATGAGGTGAAACATGGAGATCATACATGTACATGTATCTGGGAACTAGTAGGTAAACAAAACAAAATATCTATGAATATCAAATATGTCCCCAAAAGAGGTGTGGTTTGTGAATCAGCTGTAACCTACATTTTGTATAAGAACCAGAAGTGGTTTATATCATTCCTTTTTTCTAGGAAGGCCAAAAGAATATTTTGTTCCATTTTCTTGCCTCTCTACCTAACCTAAATTTTCATGCGTACCCTATAATATTTTTTGGCACTGTTAAAGTCAATACTTTCTGTTGAAGTACAGAGTATTCCCCTGTATTATCTAGGTAAAAAAAAATAAAAAAATAAAATATTTAACCTACATTATAATACCTAAATTTACCAATTTTTTGACAAGAGGTAGGAAACAAGTATATATAATTTTTGGCCTTAGCAGAATGACTCCTACATTGCTGTTCATTTATCTAATTAGTTGGATTCCCTCCCTTGTCATCTTGGTATTTGCTACCAATGATGCAAAGGTTAGGAAGAATTCTAACACAACCAAATGTAGATATTATATTTGGAAACTATTTCCTACATGTCCTATAACAAATTTAACATACCCAGCATTATATTTTTTAACAAGCATTCTGTGAGTATTGCCTGGCAATACATAGTCCCCTACCAGTTAAAAATTCATTGTACTGGAACAAAATGCTACCTTGATCTATAACTTGTCATGGTGTAAACTATATAACAAATATCAAGTCAATATCTTCAAGCATGACAAAAAAAATTGTGGAAAATTGATTATTTGAGTGAATTTTTTAAGTCCAAGGACCATAACTCTGCACAAAATCATCAGACCGGAACAAAATTTGAACTTGATCTGTAACTTGTCATGATTAAAATATATATCAAACATCAAATCAATATCTTCAAGCATGACAAAGAAAAGTGTGGAAAACTGATTATTTGAGTGAATTTTCTAAGTTCAAGGACCATAACTCTGCACAAAATCGTCAGACCAGAACAAAATTTGAACTTGATCTGTAACTTGTCATGATTAAACAATACACCAAATATCAACTCAATATCTTCAAGCATGAAGAAAAAAAGTTTGGAAAACTGATTTGCTGGACTGACGGACGGAGTGCAAACCTCAAGTCCCCTTCGACTTTGTCGGTAGGGGACTAAATCCGACTAATAAAATAATGTATTTTGTCCAAAGTGATTGAAAGTCAGTCATTGTTATTCACAATTTCCCAAAAACTATCCATGGAATGACACATACTTCCCAATTCTTCAGTGCAAATGTATTTATAAACAGTATCAAACAGTGTCCAGATGAAGCAGATTTGAGCATCTATGGGTCCCCAAGGTTTATTGAACAGCCATTAACAAAGGCTTAAACCCATACTATGAAAGGCAGGACATAACAAAATGTGAAACAACTCAAACAAAAGAAAAAAAACGCCTGCTTAATAACAAAACAATAAATGAAAAAAATATATATGACAGACAGCAACCAATGACAACCACTGAATTACTGGTTCCTGACTTGGGACAGGCATGTACTCATTGTGGCGGGGATAAATAACTTGTAAGCACTCAACCTTCTCCTTTATCTCCCAAAATCAACAGCAATCACTTTAAAAAATTCTCTATGATATACATTTCTATCACTCCCCACTCTGGAGATTTGGTTGCATCTATTTCATTGTATTTCTGAAGTAACTGTCATCAGGCTATCATTCCATTCAAAGTATAGTTTTACCTTTTCCCCAACAAAATTCTTAATCCAATTTTATCCAGCCAGGAACTTTCTATCTTATATGACAAAGTATTGCCTTCCTGATTGTTAGCTTGGTTGAAACAGTATCAAAACTGTTTGTTGGTCAAACTTAGGTGCAGGTTTACCCACAGGGGTTTGTTACAATTTGCCAGGTTTACTATCCATACGAACCCCGAAAAAGTTTTTCCCTCCTCCCTTCCTGAATCAGATGTCAAATACACACTTACCTTTTACAAACTTTTTCTAAGACACATAATGCAGCCCTTCTTGGAGAATCGATTGCCCCTAGGTTTGTAGTAGCTGTTACAGACTGTCTATCCACATTGGGTGTGGTTTTACCCCAGCTGTCAAGCACACAAACTACCTTCATCCTCCTGTAATTTAAACATTATATATATACTATAGTGTTATATTGCTTTTTCCCTTAAGGAAAAAAATTTGACCTTAAAAACAGTTCATTGAAACAAATAATATTAATTATCAGTTCTAAATATAATCCAAAAAATATACCAATTCACTCTTTGTACAACACAAATACACAAAGATTAGTAAACAGTAACATCTTATTTTCAATATTCTGAGAATTATAAAATACCTACCCTGTATGCCTTTTTGAATTCCAATTAACTTAAAGATGGTGAAGAAACACGTATGAGCATTTAACGTCCTTCTGCAGAACTTTATTTTCTTTATAAGTCGGTCAGATGATTGACATTAAGTGGATATTGATAATTCATTAACAGTATTGTGACCAAGACACCTCTTTTATATAAATGTAGACTTCCAATGTCTCAATTTCATATGTCAGAATTTTGAAAATTCCAACATCCACCTACCTTATGTTTGATTTAAAAAGAAATGTTGAATTACAATAAAAATCATCACATGCCTTGTACTTTTTTAATAATGTATTTACACTATTAACAGTTCCACTGGGGACTTGAAATCAAACAAGAGGCTCTCAAGAGCCTGAATCGCTCACCTGTAATTTTTTGCTTAAATCTTTCATCAATGATTATTTTTGCTTTTCAATATATATTAATGAATGGCCTAACACTTCCATTGAAATGTTCTTTGTATCTGTCATATTTTCTTCAAAATCAAAGAAATGCATTTTACCCCTATGTTTCATTTTAGCCATAGTGGCTATGTTTCTTGACGTACAAGAAAATAAAGTATAAAATTTATACTAGATACTCTGAAAATCATTCAGCCCTAGTTTGGCTAAAATTGATTCAGCAGTTTGATTCAAAGGAGTAGATATTTTAAAGTAAGCAAACTAAATGAAAAAATTGTGAAAAATTGATTTTAAAGAGCAATAACTCCTTAAGGGGACAATTGAAAATTTTGGTCATATGAACTTATTTGTAGATCTTACTTTGCTGAACATTTTTGCTGTTTACAGTTTATCTTTATCATTAATAATATTCAAGATAATAACCAAAATCTGCAAAATTTCCTTAAAATTACCAATTAAGTGGCAGCAATCCAACAATGGGTTGTGAGATTCATCTGAAAATTTCAGGGCTGACAGAGCTTGGCCTAATAAACTTTTTACCTCTCATCAGATTAGCTCTAAATGCTTTGGTTTTTGAGATATAAGCCAAAAACTGCATTTTAACCCTATGTTCTATTTTTAGCCATGGCCGCCATGTTGGTTGGCAGGCGGAGTCATCGGACACATTTTTTAAAATAGATACCCTAATGATGATTGTGGCCAAGTTCAGTTGAATTTGTCTATGTAGTTTCAGAGGAGAAGATTTTTGTAAAAGATTACAAAAAATTACGAAAAATTGTTAAAAATTGACTATAAAGGGCAATAACTCCTTAAGGGGTCAATTGACCATTTTGGTCATGTTACTTATTTGTAGATCTTACATTGCTGAACATTATTGCTGCTTACAGTTTATCTCTATCTATAATAATATTGAAGATAATAACCAAAAACTGCAAAATTTCCTTAAAATGGTTGGCGGGCGAGGTCGGCGGACACATTTTTTAAACTAGATACCTCAATGATGATTGTGGCCATGTTTGGTTAACTTTGGCCCAGTAGTTTCAGACGAGATGATTTTTGTAAAAGTTTACGGACGACGGACACCAAGTGATGAGAAAAGCTCACATGGCCCTCTGGGCCAGGTAAGCTAAAAAGGATTGAGATGTCAAAAAATTGTTTACCCGCCACCTGTTAATATGCCAGTGGTAGTCTCTTGTCATATAATTCACTACTTTTCTAGACTCGTGGCAAAAGAGGGCTTGACATGTTGACCTCTAGATGTCTTTTGAGTATTTTTTTGTGTTGTTGGGTTGTATAATTTATTGTATACCTCACTTCACCTTTTATTCTTATAAAAGAAGCATCTCAAAGTGCTGAAACTGTAACATAAATTTAATTCAAATAAACATGAATGAGAGTAAAGGAGATGTGGGATGTTATCTATAAATAATATCTATAAGTCAATGAAACAGCATCCATATTCAATGGATATAATATTGTCTCTACAATCCAGTAGCCAAAGCATACCTGCCAACTTTTGAAACCTTCAAAGAGGGAGATCTCCCCCTCAGCTATAGATTTTGCGCTAACAACATTTTCAAGTGAAAAATTATGACCTGTTTATTTATTCATTTACAAAACACAAATAAGAGTAAATAGATATACTTTATTTCTTCAATCATGGTTATATCCTATACAAGGTGTGTTGGTTTGTTTTTTTACTTTTTCAACATCTTTGACATTTATGTCCCTTCTGGCCAGCATACCTCAAAGATGTATCTGTTTCAAGTGATTATCTTTAATGTAGAGAATGGTGCGATATATGTGTGAACAGTTACATTGTAATCGATCTTATGACATACATCTCTTTTAATAATTATAAATTTCAATTTAAAAATTGAATAGAAGTATAGATTTATTAAATGATTTTCAAAATATAATTATATTTTTTGTCCTAAGGTCTTCAGAATCATTACATTGCCATCCTTTTATGATTCTTTGTTCAATTTGTATTTAATTTATATTCTTTAACTAATTCACATTATTTTAAGTAGGGTAACTTAAAACAGGATTAAACAGGGGAAGTAACCCGAAATTTATTTGAGTGTTTTCAAATATACAAAGCTTGAGGTAAAAGTCGTTAATGATCGTTAATTAGTATTATGTTTGACACCCAAGCTGTCATGTGAAGCCATTTAATTTTCACATGGACTGATTTACAGGTAAAAAATACCCTCATCAGTGACACAAAAATGTTATTAATGTTGACTGGTCAATTCAAGGTAAAATATCCAAAAGCGGGAGATTCAATACTCCCGCGCGGGGGGACCGACAAGCGGGAGATTTCTGGAATTTTGTCATTTGAACGGGAGGGTTGGCAGGTATGAGCCAAAGTATAACAAATTTATTGCACACAGGACTTTTCCTCCCATGTTCTGTATAAAAATAAACATTAAAATATAATAACAATAATGGAAGATATGATGTCATGATACCCCTTTGAATTCAACTGACCCCCTACGGATCCATAGCAGTTCACCAAGTGACGACATTAAACCAATCACATCATCACTAATTTATCCATGGTGCGATAAACTTGCAGTGAGAGGGGAAAGAGGGGATGTCCTAAAATGTCCCTTAAGATTATAGCCCATAATTTTAATTTTAAGTTATTTTTGTTTTTTTTTAGTATTTACCTGATTTTGAAGTGCACCTCCCCCCTTTTAGGATATAATGTTTGACGAGCCCCCTTTTTAAAATTCATGAATCAGTCACTGTCTAATGAACATTTGTTTATCAAAATATTTGTAATCCACATAAAAGATTAAAAAATTACAATGTACACTTTACAATTCAAATACAGAATATGCATATATAAGTGCCTGTACTACAAGTACAAATGTACCACAGCAACTATATTTGAAGTTTGTCAATTAATCACAAATGTTTAAAAAAAGAAATATGATCACAATCTTAGCTGCATTGTTTCTTATTACAATGTCTAGTTCTAATTGAATGCATACATACTATGTAATATATATTGTAATTTTAAAGTACATGTTGTTCTTTGAGGTGATTATATCAATTACAACAGTATATAACACAAAAGAGGCTAATGAACATCATTGCAGAATCTATTACCTATTGTACCAAATGTCATTGTCCTTATTAAAACATAAACATGATCCTTAAACATAAACATGATCGGAATGATCAATTAATACAGCCCTTGTGTCAGAAATGTAAACAAAATACCATACAATGTTTGATTTAAACTCTGCATCAGCCGCAGCTGGTCGATAAAGTAAACAAACTTTGCAAGAAAAAAACACATTGTTTACTTTCTACAATATCTATCTTCTTAGGGTGTCAAGTTAACTTAAATAATTATTCATCTAATATTCTAAGGAAAAAAAGATTAAAAATTCCCTACCTGTTATGAAACATCTCTATTTCTTATTTGCAATCCTCACAAAAAATCTATTTCAAATCCTAATTTTAAGGTCTATTATCTAATAGTGCCCTCACATTTATAAGCCAACTTTTCTTGGAATTGCTATGTAGTAAGTAATGGGTTTAAAATTGAGAACTTTATCAGGGGACATAACTCTAATCAATGCAAGTTATAACTTTACCCAAATCTCTGGGTTTTTTTTGCAGTAGACAGTCAATTTTTGTAAACAGCATCCATTTATAGCACACTGTCATACAATCTTGAGAATAATGATGTAATTCATCAGTATCCTGGTTAACCCAACATCATGTGCTAAAGGATAAACATAAATATCACATAAATATATCTACTTATTGAAACTAACATTTTGTTCCTATTTGCTTATGTTTCTCATTTTTTTTCAACTCTGAATTGTAAAGATTAAAAAGAAAAAACATTGCTATACATGTACTTTTAGGATACAATGTATATATTAAATCAACCTCAACAAAAATAAAACATTTTAGATATTACAACAATTAACTAGAAGATCTATGTCAGACATCAAGTACTACAAGAGATAGAGGCCTTTAAGTACATTGCATTAAAATTTATTTTTGTTATTCATGTTTCTATCAGTTTAAGCGTATTTTGAGGTCAACTTGAGGTATACCCTAGATCTTCTTTTATTCATATTTATCTTTCAAAAACAAGATAACACATGCTATTTTGTTTTATAGAGTGACAGGACAGGACAGGACATTGCCTTTCTTTGAAGTTTTAATTCAAAAATTAGTTTTAAAGTAAAAATTATTACAAGCAGCACCTTGAGTGCATGAGCTGAGTTGAGATCTTTATAGATTTGTAGTATATGGAAAAGACTACTATGTCATTGTACAATGAAGATTGTTTCGTCTGCAGACAATTTGATGTCAAATAGTAGG